CTTCATGGTCATACATATTAACAAATGTACAAATAGGAAACTGCCGGTGGATGGACGAGGCTGCTGGAGGACGATGGTAACCCTAGAAAAAAGAACCATTTACCGCTGCTGCCGTGAATTATCGTCTACAACTCAGCCATCTAAGGAAGAAAAACGAGAATAAATTAAGAGAAACTGCGATTTAATAAAGATCACTGCGGTTAGATCACGCCAGCCAGAATGACGCAGACGGAAGACATTGGGAATCTGATAAGGTTTATTTCCTTTAACTTAGATAAGCCCGAGTTTGGTTCATAGAGTAACCTCCCTTTATTATTTAGCTAGTATTTATGGATGTAGGTGTTTAAGTGAAAGTTTGTCACAGCTAATAGCCTAATCTGGTACAGTTTATATACATTATATGATAATAAATTGACTCAGTTTCACTTCTTTGGCTTTCTGGGCTTCTTATCAGACTTACACATGTTAGGGGTTTTATAATGTGCTAAGGTGTGGTTACTCATCCACCAACATACAAGTCTATTAAAGGAGATAGCCTAATGGCAAACGATAAGTTAAATTTTATATTTATATCTAATGACTTTGTATCAGCCTATGTTTTTTAATGCAATAATGTTTAAGCATAACAACCATAGTACTACTTACGTTCTTGTAATCACTCGCACTTACGCCTTTTCAGTCCTCAAGTTTGCGAACACTGTTATCTTAACAAAGAGAATAAGACAAAACTATAGTCAAGATACCTTTGTCTAACCATTAGAGATATTGTAGGTGGTACTTTCCTCGGTAACGCAGAATGACTTAGCATATCATTATAGGCCTTCACCTTTACGAAGAAGATATTATTCTAGCATAATCAAGTAACTCAAGCAAGTAGCGTTACTGCGAACTATTCGATAATAATTTTGTTCAATTACATGACAATTTCCAATTTGTGTCGGAAACAGACATAAAACTAATAGGTGGGTTTATAAAGTTGCTGAAACAGTCAAACAGAACTTAGATAAAATTATTCCTTGATTCCTTTCGCAAAATCATAGGTATATTATATTTTGCATGTATGTTATAGAAGAGGACTAATATATAAGGTACCAGTGGAAGTAGGAGACGTGATACTTGTCTAGAGCTCGAGCCTTCTGCAAAATGATAACAAATTAATAATTATATTCACGGTATTGACTGAGATGTTTCCATCTCGGATTCCTCCTACCTCTCGTATGACTGAAGGTTCAGCTGATAAAAAAAATAGTTCCAGGTAGAAGCAGAGGAACCTTGTGAGACAACATCCACCTCGCCTCACTCCAGGTTGGAGTAGAGATATTGTGTGAGGTAACACCCACCTCATTTGCTTTGGCGGCGACTTTGCAGCAGTAGAACTTTCCGTCGCTTTTCATGCACCAGATGTCACAGTCCTCCTCCTCCGTGGCAGTGTGATCGTCGACCTCCACGCTTGTCTTCGAGTCCTCCTCCGTGGGAGTGTGATCGTCGACCTCCACGCTTGTCTTCGAGTCCTCCTCCGTGGGAGTGTGATCGTCGACCTCCACGCTTGTCTTCGAGTCCTCCTCCGTGGGAGTGTGATCGTCGACCTCCTCGCTTGTCTTCGAGTCCTCCTCCGTGGGAGTGTGATCGTCGACCTCCTCGCTTGTCTTCGAGTCCTCCTCCGTGGGAGTGTGATCGTCGACCTCCACGCTTGTCTTCGAGTCCTCCTCCGTGGGAGTGTGATCGTCGACCTCCTCGCTTGTCTTCGAGTCCTCCTCTGTGGGAGTGTGATCGTCGACCTCCACGCTTGTCTTCGAGTCCTCCTCCGTGGGAGTGTGATCGTCGACCTCCACGCATGGCTTCGAGTCCTCCTCCGTGGGAGTGTGATCGTCGACCTCCATGCATGGCTTCGAGTCCTCCTCCGTGGGAGTGTGATCGTCGACCTCCTCGCTTGTCTTCGAGTCCTCCTCTGTGGGAGTGTGATCGTCGACCTCCACGCTTGTCTTCGAGTCCTCCTCCGTGGGAGTGTGATTGTCGACCTCCACGATTGTCTTCGAGTACTCCTCCGTGACAGTGTGATTGTCGACCTCCACGATTGTCTTCGAGTACTCCTCCGTGGGAGTGTGATCGTCGACCTCCACGCTTGTCTTCGAGTCCTCCTCCGTGGGAGTGTGATCGTCGACCTCCACGCTTGTCTTCGAGTCCTCCTCCGTGGGAGTGTGATCGTCGACCTCCACGCTTGTCTTCGAGTCCTCCTCCGTGGGAGTGTGATCGTCGACCTCCTCGCTTGTCTTCGAGTCCTCCTCCGTGGGAGTGTGATCGTCGACCTCCTCGCTTGTCTTCGAGTCCTCCACGTCAGCGTACCTGTTTGACCCCGTTCTGTGCCTATAATATGAATTGTAATTGTTTATACTATTATTGTGTCACTCATCACACTGTGCTTCCCACCACACTGTGCCTCCCATCATACTGTAGTAGGAGGCACAGTGTAGTTCTGTATATTCTTTGGCATCTGCCGGTCGGTCTAACATCTAATGATGACCAAACTACACACCAAAAGATGAAGAGCCGACGACGTTTTGGTCCGTCCTGGATCATTAGCCAGTTCATAATCAAGCATGTTTATTGTGACTCATCGTCTAACATTTAATCTAATGCTATAAAGTATATATATTTGAGGGTTGTCAGCTAGTAATAAAATACGAGTGCCTTACTTTTTATAACCGCCACTTGTAGCAAGTGAGGTGCCTTCGAGGAGACTGATTGCTTTACTGAGGAGAGGCGTCAGTACGGCGATGAGCTTCTCACTGTCGTCAGTTGCTTCTTTAAGGGATTTCGCGCTGGAGAGGTCTTGTGTTTGTTGAGCGAATGCCAGCCCCATTAGCAGCCCCACCACAAGCCCTGTGTACAAATAGTGAAGTTGTATTCAGTTCAACGTGGTTAAAATTATGTTTAAAACTCAAAGAAATGTTGCCTGAAGTTTCTAGACATCATGTTAGGACTGAACGGACTCCGTAACTGGGGATTGCAACCTCGGATATTTGTCATCCACATAATAGTTACATAGGCCAGAATTGCTGGCTGAGAGTTTAATTCAAATGTGAACGATGGTTTGTCAGTAAGTTACAGTGGTGACTCTAATAACCCTTGCGAGGATGATACGCCTTAAGCTCGACACCAAACCAAACATTTCTTAAAAGTACTGATGACTGGCACACAGTTCGTGCCCCGGTAAGCAACCACATTAATACCTCTACTCTTACCCACCACATATGACACATTCAGATGCTATGATGTGACATTCAGATGATTAATCCTCACTTAATGTGGGACCATAACTTTGTATGGCAACTTACCCCAAGCTCGGCTACCCACTGAGGATAGGAAGAGACGTCACCATCTAGCTGTGAGTCTGGCATGATGCTCGGACATCATTACGACTGCTGCGCTGCGGGAATCTCGTGTTTACTCACCTGCCTGGCGTTAATGTTGTGTAATTATTGCATTTCTGCACTAGTGGCAACACAAAGTGGAATAGGTGTGAATGACGCTTTCTCAACTTTCTACACACTGCACTCCTTAAATGTTCACTTAGCAGTAAATTGGTACCTGGGAATTTGTCAACTGTTGTGGATTGCATCCTTGGGGAAGGTCACCGACTGAATTTATAGATATACAAGTCAATAATCCTAATTATCCCACTGAGAAGCGTGAGGAACTTAGGATAGTGTCCAGAAGTGCAGGTAAGATAACGTAGTTATCAGCATAAAGAGCCTAAGACAATGACTAGCACTTGGGAAGGATGTGAGGACGAAGGTAAGGAACGGGGCCCGACACTTGGACCACCGGGAATTTAACACAGATGCAGCGCTGTTGTAGTGACCGGTGGAGGGAGACTTACTTAATAACATGATAAAAGTTGATAGTTGTGGGTTTGGTGTCGTTGGTGGGGTCCGTGATGGTTGTTATTGGAGTTGGTGGCGGAGGTGTGGGGCAGGTTGATGCCACGATGATGGGTTGAGCAAGACTGAACCCCCACCCAGGTGTACGCTCTTCAGCACCCCTCCCACAGAATTCTGACATCAAAATCAAGTACATAATTAACAGCGTTCTTTATTTCATGGATATTGTACTTAATGACACATGCAGGACTTACCTTATGACGAGAATAAGGCTTTCGCAACACTCAAAATCATGTAATGTATTTGTGTTCACTTGTTGCATAAATCTTCAAATGTATTTTACCTGTAACGTACTAAATACAATATAACAAAAATCATGAAGAATAATAGACATCCCGTCCTCATAAAGGCCACATGCTTGTTAATTTAGCTGCCAAACCCACTGTTTATGAATGAAAAACATTTTACACACGACTCACAACTAATGACATTCGAACATTTCCCGAAATGTTTCACTAGTGACCTCTATTTAAACAGCCCGTCCTTGCATACAATGATCCAAGCTCGTTAATCCATCCGCCAAACCCCCTGTTTATGAATGAAAAGCTGTTTACACACAACTCATAACTGATGTCCGAACACTTCCGGAACAAGTGCTTCGCTCACGTCCTCGTTTCGAACCACAATTCTATAAACCAGCCCGTCCTCCAAACAAAGATCCAAAAGTGATTCCATGCACCCGCCAAACCCCCTGTTTATGAATGAAAAGCGGTTTACACACGATTCACAACTGCTGTCGTTCGAACATATCCGGAACAAGTGCTTCACTGACGAATTTTGTTCGAATCACAACGCTATAAATGCTTCACCCACGTACTACAAATACAAATAATAGCCAACAGAACCTAAACACCTAACCTAACCTATCCTATACCTATATATACACAATATGCTAATATATTATAATATTAATTTATACTTGAGAAAATTCCCGTTTTGAATGAACAGCATGTTAAAATTTATGAATGCGTCTGTGGGGCTGACCGCTGAATGTAATGGACTTGAGTCGAGGACGGGTTGATAAATGCTTCACCCAAGTACTTCAAATACAAATAATCGCCAAAGAATCCAAACACCTAACCTAACTTACGCCTAATCATACATAGAATTTTTAAGTATAAGAATATTAATTTAAATTGGAGAACAAACTAGTTTTTAATGCACAGTATGTTAAATTGATGAATGCGTCTGGGGAGGACGGCTGCTGCTTTAAAGAGCCTAGTTTAAGGCTGGGTTGATTTAAATCGCACCTTTGTGAATCTTTCACCCATGTACAACAAATACAGATAATTACAAGCAGTAGTTGAACACCTAATCTGACCTGATTTATGTCTACCTATACAACAAATTCTAATATAAGATAATGTAATTTATTTATGAGATTTATATATAAGATTTTTAATGCAGTATTTTCAAAATAATGAATGTGTGTGTTTGGGGTCAGCTACCGCAATAATGATATGTTGATGCAATCAAATTGGTGTTTTATATTGAAATATCAGGGTAAGGAAAACAGTTCATTGTTTGGGGGCTTGTTAATTGGTGCTCTGGTCCTCTGCTATGACAACACGGTCTTGGCATGATTTGCTCCAAGGCCGTCCTCTTGCCTAGTTGTAACATGGGTGATTGTGGGGGAACCCGGCCGCATATACAATGGTCAAATGCTTGTTATTCAGCAGCCAAACCTTCTGTTTAAGGATGAAAACGCTCTATACATGACTCGCCAACATGTCCTCAGACAAAGTCCATTCCATCCAGCTGTCGACCCCAAAGACGAATTCATCAATTTTAACATGCTGTTCATTCACAACAGGAATGTTTTCAAATATAAATTAATATTGTTATATATTAGCATACTGTGCATATTTAGGCATTGGTTTGGTTAGGTTAGGTGTTTAGGTTCTGTTGGCGATTATTTGTATTTGTAGTACTTGGGTGAAGCATTTACAGCGTTGTGGCTCGAACAGAAGTCGTCAGTGAAGCACTTGTTCCAAAAGTGTTCGGACGTCATCACTTGTGAGTCGTGTGTAAACCGTTTTTTTTTATTAATTAAACAGTGGGGCTTGGCGCGTGCATGGAATGGACTTTAACCATTGTTTATGAGGACGGGTTGCACAACTGATGACACTGGAACACTTCCGAAAAAAGTGCTTCGCGGACGACTTTTGTTCGAATCAAAACGATGTAAATGCTTTACCCATGTACTACAAATAGAAGTAATCACCAACAGAACCTAAACACCTAACATAACCTAACCTAACCAATGCCTAAATATGTGCGGTATACTTATACCAATATTAATTTGTTAATATTCCTATTTTGGATAGGAAAAAATAGGAGACAATTCCTATTTTGAATGAATAGTGTGTTAAAATTTATGAATGCGACTTTGGGTGTCGACGGTTGGATGGAATGGACTTGGTCTGAGGACGGTTGTCTACGTCCTGAAGTTCGGTCATTAATTTATTTATTATGCACCCCATACCCATCCCGTGGGTGGTGGTGGAAAGGGGGTTACAGAGGTATATAGTAGGTTCAGGAACTGAACCCCATAGTTCATTTAGCTAAGCAAATGACAACACAAATAAATTGCCTGAAATTAAACACCTGTCCTGATCTACGCTGTGAACAAATGTCTTATATATATATATATATATATATATATATATATATGTCGTACCTAATAGCCAGAACGCACTTCTCAGCCTACTATTCAAGGCCCGATTTGCCTAATAAGCCAAGTTTTCATGAATTAATGTTTTTTCGTCTACCTAACCTACCTAACCTAACCTAACCTAGCTTTTTTTGGCTACCTAACCTAACCTTACCTATAAATATAGGTTAGGTTAGGTTAGGTAGGGTTGGTTAGGTTCGGTCATATATCTACGTTAATTTTAACTCCAATAAAAAAAATTGACCTCATACATAGAGAAAAGGGTTGCTTTATCATTTCATAAGAAAAAAATTATAGTAAATATATTAATTCAGGAAAACTTGGCTTATTAGGCAAATCGGGCCTTGAATAGTAGGCTGAGAAGTGAGTTCTGGCTACTAGGTACGACATATATATATATATATATATATATATATATATATATATATATATATATATATATATATATATATATATATATATATATATATATATATATATATATATATATATATATATATGTAATATATATATAGTTTCATTCACTTTGAGCACTAGGCTCTCGAGCACCCGACCTCCGGCATGGGTGTAGTCGCTCTATCAATTGGGAACTGGGCCTTAAAAGAGAAGGATCCCAAGGAAACTAACTGCTCCCCAATGGATCGTGCCATTCCTAGGCTACCACTCGAGCACAAGAGAATTATGTAATCCACGCCACGAGTTATGTAAACTGTTTACCACACTACCGTGAATGAAAAGTTACACCCACAGTAGTGTGGTAAACAGTTTGTATAACTCAGGGCGTGGATCACCCAATTCTGTCTTATTTGTTCGACGTTGGAGGCCAGCCACTTGCAGCTAACTTCACAAAATTTTGCATGGTGATTGGTTTAGGGTACGGGGCAGACATAGGGTGGTCGGGTGGTCGAATTTCATGTCTCACCTTTGCTTAAATGCCAAATTACACTAATTTTCAATTTCATTAAATAAAAAAATTCATTTTCACTAAAATTCATCTAGCATATTAAATGTTAGTTTTTCTTATTGAATTTATTGATGAAGACTACTTTGTTAAAATTGTTATGGGGATGAAAGGAAAGTGGTGAAGAGTAGAGAAGATGGTGAAAGATAGGGAAGTTAATGAGTGGTAAGGGAGGCGGTTAATTATAGGGAAGGAGGTGAAGGGTAGGAAAGATGATGAAGAGTAAGGAAGGTGAAGGGTAGGAATGATGGTGAAGGGAGTACTGGGAAGAGTGGGGATAGGGAAATATATATGAGAGAGGGGAAGATTGAGAGAGTGGGGTAAGGGAGAGAAAAACCTGGGCGCAGATGGGTACTCCTAGTTAATAAAATTAATGAAAATAGGGCACTTGACTTTTACCAGGTTCATCCTGAATTAGTAAAAGCTATTTATCACTGCCTTGAGCCATTCAGATTTATATATAGAGGATTATTGATTTCTGACTGACTCCTATAATAATGGAAGAGTGGTGTCATTGTACCTCTATATACTGTATAAGTAATGTGAAACCCTCTATTCATCTTATAAGCCAATCTGTTGAACTTTGTAATTTGATGGACAGTCACTGCTATTTAGCAGCATATTTGCATGTAAATATAATAGTCTTTGACAGTGAACATGGCTTTTTCAGCAACTTACCAACAACAAATTTACTGAAAAGTTAGTGATTATATAGTATAATGATAAACATTGCTTGGATATAATTTATATTCAGTTTATAAAGGCATTTGATAGTCACATTATAAATTATTGTTGAAGCTAAAATGCTTTGATGTTGGACGAATTTGTTAATTACAAAGTAACATTGTGTTGTAAGTTTCAAAATAGTTTATCTACATTTGTAACTCAGTAGTCAGTGGTATTCCACTGAACTATTCTTGGACCACTTTTACTCTTTATTTATATGAAAGATCTACCAGGAGTAATGAAACATGGTAATATAAAATTTTATGCAGATGACTAACAATTAGATACAATATGCTTTTCTTCATGTCATATTAGCAAATGTACAAATGGGAAACTGCCGCTGGATGGACGAGGCTGCTGGTGGACGACGGTAACCCTAGAAAAAGAACCATTTACCACTGCTGCCGTGAATTATCGTCTGCACCCTCACAACCTATGGAAGAAAAATGAGTATAAATTATGAGAAAAATGCGATTTCATAAAGATCACTGCGGTTAGACCACGCCAGCCAGTATGACGTAAACGCTAGGCTTGCTGGGACTCTGATAAGGCTTCAGGTATATTTCCATTAACTTGTGGTGCAGAATAACGTCTTTTTAACCTTCAGCTATTATCTGTGGATGTAGATGTTTAAGTGAAAGTTTGCTATTACAGCTAATTATTAGTATAGAATTAATAGTTAATCGTTGAAATTCCACATCATCCGTCACTTTGGGGCACGGTTCTGCATCTCCGAATATTAAAGGGTTTGTTAATATATATACACAAGTGAAGAATTTTATGTGTGAAGGAGTGACTTAACATGGTTTATGTGGTTTATGAAGTTGATGGTAACCAATTATCATTGTTTTGATCAGACAATTAAAAAGGGATTTATTACTCATAATAACGTCAGTGACCGATATAAGTATGTAAGTGGGGAACACGTCTGTTAAAATGTGCTAAGATAGAAAAATGTTCTTCCAGTTTTATCTTCGATAATATGATCTAATGGAATTGTCATGATTTATTTATAATTTATATTCGTTACAGATTCTGTGGTGCTATGTTCCAAGGTAATTAAGTGTAGAAAGTACGTGTAATTTGATCAGAAGTATGGAAAAATAAGTAACATTCTGTTACGTTTTCTACCTGCTTGAAGACAATTTTTGCATGGCAACAAAGTATATATCTATTTTCTATAGTGTGTATACTGATGGATATGACTTACGACACGGAACTATTTTGTTTCAAAGACTGATGTGCATAACTCTGTAACTTGTCTGGTTAAGTCAGACATAATTGAAAATTTGGTGGCAGGGGCAAGGAGGTGGGAGTCCCGTAAGCTCCCACGCGGGAGACCACAGTTGAATTTCCACTCCGGAAGAAATTGGTAAGTGTGCTGCCTGCTCCACAATTTTCTTAAGTTGACCGTACTTACTGTTATTAATAGTAGCCCACATTAATTTTACATGTAGTGAGAGCAATCCTAGACAAGAGTGTTTAAGGTAAATGGTCTCGAAGCAAGTAACCAATAGGTGGCAGTTACAGGTTGGCCGAGTGTTGGATACGAGGGTTGGGGAAGTCTGGATTTGTGAGGAATTGATGTAGGTGTTCAGCTTTACCTATCTCTGAAAGTTTACGTAGGCTCAAATAAGGGGCCGGAAGGCTGAGTGGACAGCGCTCGGGGTTCTTAGTCCTAAGGGTCCGGGTTCAATCCCCGGCGGAGACGGAAACAAATGGGCAGAGTTTCTTTCACCCTGATGCTCATGTTCGCCTAGCAGTAAATAGATACCTGGGAGTTAGACAGCTGCTATGGGCTGCTTCCTGGTGATGTGTGTGAAAATTAGGATTAAGGACTTGCCCGAAACGCTATGCGTGCTAGTGGCTGTACAAGAATGTAAGAACTCTTGTATATATATAAATAAATAAAATAAATTTGTTATATTGCTTATTTGTTAACTATATGCGGGATGCTATTTAGAGTATTTGCCTGTTCTTGTGAGTAGGTTCTGTTAAGTAATGCTGAAGAAACTATGTAAGAGAAGGGTTGGATACCTCACCCTGATAGATGAAACTTATGACGGATCATGTTCATTGATTGATTGATAAAGATTAAGCCGCCTTAAAGGTATCACGGGCATGAATAACCTCGTAAGTGGAGGCTCTTTCGAACCATTACCAGTACCAATAGCTGATACTGTGGATGGATGGGGTTCTTATGTTGAGTATTGCGTGTAGTTATATGTAGGGGGCCCCAGACCGAGTGAGAGACATTATAGTGACGGGAAATACTTAAGATACATGATACGTTATTAATTAACAGGAACAATGTGTGCTACCACCCACCTCTCCTCTCTACAGGTAGGAAGGAGTTGGGGAACAGTGTGAGGCACCACTGACTTCACTCTAGTAGGTAGAAGTGGAGAAACAGTGTGTGGCAACCCACCCCGCGTCTCTCCAGGTAGAGTCAGAGGGACAGGTTGAGTGTGAGGCAACACGCCTTTCCTCACTCCAGGAAGGTGTGGAGGATCTGTGTGTTGCAACACTCACTTTTTCTCACTCGGGAAGGAACGGAGGAACAGTGTGAGGCAACACTCACATCGTCTCACTTCAGGTAGGAGTGAAGCAACACTCACCTCCCCACTTTACAGGTAGGAAGAGGAGCAGCAGTCGAACGTTCCCTGGTTGTTCAGACACCAGTTTTCACAGGCCTCCTCCGTGTCTTGGTCGTCGTATACCTGGACCTTTGTCTTTGAGCTGATGTCTACGAAAGCCAAACGTTTTGACTTGCCCGAAACGTTCAACGCTGATCTGTACCGATAATAATAATAATAATTGAATATACCGTATATATATATATATATATATATATATATATATATATATATATATATATATATATTATATATATATATATAATATTATATATACGATAAGCTTGAATGGTCTTCAAGCCAAATATATCAGAAAAAACTTCCTCATGAAGGCTTCGAACATCAGACAGTCAGGCGCTCCAAACACTTAGCATGTCCAATACCATAACCACTGGATCACGACTGACTACAAAAATGTTGGTAGTTGTGAGACTATTTACCCAACACCCGACAGCACTCGGTGGCCAGTGGTCACAGATAATTTTCATCAAATCAATTCACTATGTGAGGAAAATGCGAGCCTCATATGTGCGATAAGCCTGAAAACGCGAGCCTTATATGTAAGGACAAGCTTATCGTACATATGAGGCTCACGTTTTTCTCACAAAGAGGCTCACGTTTTTCTCACTTAAAGTTCATTGAACGGCTTGTGCTCTTAACTTTCCCTCTCGTTCTCTTACCTCACCCTACCGTCGCAATACGAAATACTGCTTATAAAATGTAAACGTAGAGATGTAACCTACTTCTTGGTGTGCACACAGTTAACATTTTAGCTCTGGACTTGAGAATTAACAAAGTTTTGAAACTAAGATCCTTAATGACCCTGCCGGTCGAAGCCTAACACCTAACTGCTGATAGAAATATATTTGAGAGTTGCTAGCAGGTGGTCGGATATAATGGTTTCTTACCTTTTTGAACGGCCTGATTGATAGGCACTCCTTTCATCTCTAGTGGTAGATGACTTGCCGCTAAAAGAATTGCCTATCTTTTTTATGAGAGACTTCGCGTCGTCGGTGACGTTCTCGGTGTAGCTAACCGCGTCTTCAATGGGTTTCCTGACGGGTGAGAAGGGTCTTGAGCGAGCGTCTGCCAGCACCACCACCACCACCAGCCCGAACACAAACTCTGTGCATAAATACTTAAGTTGTAGTTTTGTTCAACGTATGTTTAATTATGCTTAAAGTGGAAAGAAATATCCTAAAGTTTCTTTACACTATTTCAGGACTGAACAAACTTAAAAACTGGGGGGATTGTACCCACCTCTGATGTTGTCTTTCATGGAAGGTCACCGACTGAATTTTTAGATAAACACATCAATGATCCTAATTACCCCACTGAGAAGTGTGAGGAACTTAGGATAGTGTCAGGAAGTGCAGGTAAGGTAACGTAGTTATCAGCATAAAGAGCCTAAGACAATGACTAGCACTTGGGAAGGATGTGAGGGCGGAGGTAAGGAACGGGGCCCGACACTTGGACCATCGGGAATTTCACACAGATGCAGGGCTGTTGTAGTGACCGGTGGAGGGAGACTTACTTAATAACATGATAAAAGTTGATAGTTGTGGGTTCAGTGCCGTTGGTGGGGTCCGTGATGGTTGTTATTAGAGTTGGTGGCGGAGGTGTGGGGCAGGTTGATGCCACGATGATGGGTTGAGCAAGACTGAACCCCACCCAGGTTTACGCTCTTCAACACCCCTCCCGCCCTGCCTCTAACGCAAACACTAATTCTGCCATTAGCATCAAGTGCATTATTAGCAGCGTTCCTTTCTTGTGGAAACTGTACTTGACGCTAATGGAGGAATGCTTACCACCGTAGAGAATAAGGCTGCCCGCAGCACTCGAACACCCCTAATATTTCTCAACCCATCCTCTAGCACAAGCTATAGTCTAATACGTAGATTTTAACATATGCAGCAGACAACTAACTGACGGGAAGAATCTTTTGTTCATTAAAATAAACAATAGTTTATCAAATGTAAATTAATTTTATTTTGTGTGTTTATGTAATTTATGGATAGATAAGGTGTTTTGATAATCTTAATTTATGGATTGATTGTAATTAAAGCTGAAAATTAACTAATCATGTTTCATGTCATAGCTGCTAACATGGTTAAGTCGATTATATGTCAAATATTGACATGTAGATAATAATAATTAAGTATTTGACTTATACGTTGTAATCCCTATGGCTCTTCCTTGTGATGAAGAGCTATAAGAGCTATATTTTCTGCCCTTGCTAAGCAAAGCTTTCCACTGTTAAACCTTCAACTTGGTAAATAAAATGTATAAAAAATCTTGAAGAAATGTGTCGATATATAAATTGATTATGAGCTCTCTCATCAGTGACTAATTACGAGGATGTGAGGTCTAGCTTTTTATTCTCCGCCTGCTAACCTTGCTGTACCTGTTTCGTTATTCATTTTTATTTATTTTTAATTATTTATTTATATATGCAAGAGTTCTTACATTCTTGTATAGCTTAACTATCATGGCGATCAAAATCTACTTCTCTTAGTGCATTCTAATTGTTTCCTTATATATCTTCGACTCATTTGTGTTTGCAGCTTCCACTTGTGTCCTCTTGTCCTAATTTCTCGTAACTTAAAGCTGTCCTTGCCCACCTTGACTATTTCCCTGAGTATCTTGTATGTTGTGATCATATTTCATGTTTCATCTGTCCTCCAAGGTTGTGAGGATCAGTTCCTTCAACTTATCTTCATAGCTTAACTATCTTAGCTCTGGCATTAATCTAGTTGCACTTTTTTAATTTTTGTTTTATGCGTTACAATATATGAGTTCCAGGCCTGTGCCGCTTATTTTAGTATTGGAAGAACAAAAGCTGTGTAGATTTCCTTGAAAGCGACCTAGGTCAGGTTTGTAAACGCCATTCTAATATTTGCCTGCGTCCCATATGCTGCTGATGTGACCCTGCCTATGTGTACCTCTGATGCTAGTATTGGACTTATATCCACTCCCAAATGTTTTTATCTTTCCGATTCCTGCAGTTGCCTTCCATTTATGGTGTATACATATATTTTCTCGTCTTCTTCCTCCCCTGTCATCATTACCTTACACTTATTGGAATTTATTACCTTACACTTATTGGAACTGAACTCTAGCAATCATTTGTTTACCTGCTCTTGGGGTTTGTCAAAGGCTTCCTGTAACATTCTGCAATTCTCTGTTTTTACATTCTTCTTTCTCCTCACATAGTCTGAAAACATTTACATGTATGAGCTCACTCCCTCATGTAGATTATTGACATAAATTTGGAACAGTAGTGATCCACGGACCGATCCGTGGGATACCAAGGATCTCCTCCACTCGTTACATTTCTCCAGCTGAGGACGTCACCTGTAACTCTTTGTCTTCTGTCCTTCAGGTACTCTCTTACCCAGTTTAGTGTCTTCCCATTATCCCAGCTTGCTTCTCCATCTAGTTCACCAGTCCTTTGTGAGGAACGGTATCAAATGGTTTTTGACAGTCTAGGGAAAAAACAATCTATCCAGCTTTATTCTCCCCTTCACACTTTAGTGTCCTTGTTTTAAAACTCGATCAAGTTTGTCAGACACGACTTTCCCCTTCTAAATTTATGCTGTCTTTTTGTTACCAGTTTATCCTCTCCAGGACCTTCACTATTCTCAACCTGATTTCTTTCTCCAGCACTTTACACGGAATAATTGTCAATGACATTGGTCTGTAATTCAGTGCCGCCTGTCTGTCTCCTTTCTTGAATTAAAGGAACGCATTGTCTTGGTCCAGAATTTTGGGTCATTTCCGACTTAAGAGTGTTATAATTAAATTGATGATTTGTGGGTTGGCCGCTTACTCTTCAGCCACGTTATTGTGACTCGTCATGTTTATATTTAAATATCAGGTTATTTAAAATAAATATTTGTGTGAGGCTTGTAAATTGATACCGAATGCTTCACTAACGTATTTCGATTGCAAGCAATTGGCAACAGTAAAGATGCAACCTAATCTATTATACACCAAATTCTCCTTCAAATGTTGCTTCTTGTGGTAAGGGTGTTCACATACGATACCCTGGTTGATTGATTGATGAAGATTAAGCCACCCAAGAGGTGGCACGGGCATGAATAGCCCGTAAGTGGTAGATTTTTGGGAGTGAATATGATATTTGGTCGTGAAAGGACCTTTCAAGGGTTCTTTCAAGGGAAAGGAAGGACCATTCTGTGTGCTGTGGTGGCTTTTAATCGTCAGTACATGCTCTGTGACTGCTACCACGGGGAGGATACTGTTCCCCGACCCGACCATGTTATTAGTCGGAATTTAATTCCGACCAATAACTATTTAATTAATGAGGGGTAATTAATTCCAAACTAGAAATTTTCAACTTGTGGATTTCTTTAACTACATTGATTCTAAACCAATAAATAACAATGATTTCCAAACAAAAAATAGTGCAACCAATGATAATTAGAATGTTCCTCCTTGTGATCAGAGTGAATACCTCTTGATATAGTGTCGATATTAAAATAACTGACATTCTTTAGGCTATTTTATAAGATAAACTAAAATGGTACGCCTTGTATTGCACAGATTCATCCTAATTTTGTCAAATCAGTTTATCAATACCCGATTAAGCTGCATATACATATATCAACTCAGGTTGACTACTACAACGATGGAAGATTAGTGTCATTGTACTCATAAATGTAATAGTTAACCCTCTATGATTGTTATAAACCTATCTGTTGAACTATTGTAATTAAGTTGATGGAAAGTGTAATATATAGCCATTTAGTAACATACTTGCACGTAAATAAAATTGCCATTGATATTTAACATGGGTTTATTAGTAACATAACAACACCCAATTTATCAGGAAATATTTAAATGATTAAATGTTTGGATATATTTTAAATTAGTTTGCAAAAGACATTTGATAGACTCACATCCTTAATTACAGTATGTTATTCCCGAAAAGAAGTTCTTCAAAGATCTAGGTTGCAAGATCTAGGTTCTTTTTATGTAATAATAGAATGTTAAGTTTATACCACCTATATAAGACCATTAAAGCAGAGTAATACTTCTATCTGAAGCCATCACAATGTTGAAGACTATTCTATTTAGAAGTGTGCAACGTTAATATACATAATTGTAGGAAATTCTAGGTCAATTGAATTTTGCAGAAACATGTGAAATATTGTGGCTTTACTGACCCTATAAATAAGAATATACGCAAACCTCATTTTGCACCACAAAAATTGTTCAGACATATATATTGATACTGATGGCATAGCTACCCTAAAACAAATAATACAAGGGGTTATGGGCCAAAAAAATCGATACTCAGTACAGTTGGTTTAATTGTCGGAAGTTTTTCTTTACAAATATAATAATACCTATTTCGAATGATCTTATAATGTGAACTACACTACACTACACATTTGTTCATTTATAATGTGAAGTAGCAGACAGTAACATTCTATGTAAATTTATAATTGTGTTAAATACGATTGATGTTTTTTTTTTTAATTTTGTAAGGAATGCGATCGCACAGCTTTATGTATGTTCGCTACTGTTTAGCTGGTTTGGATAATATACATGCCTGTTAATTTGTATCACACATATACATATCTTTGTTAATTTAAAGATTCATTTACCATGTTCAGAACAAGAATTGATTGAATGATTTTTAAAGATGAATAAATAATTAATATTAACAAATGTACACAGGAAACTGCCCTTGGATGGACGAGGCTGCTGGTGGGCGACGGTAACCCTAGAAAAAGAACTATTTACCGCTGCTGCCGTGAATTATCCTCTCCAACTTTGTCATTATGGAAGAAATAATGATAAACAGAGATTTCATAAAGATCATTGCAGTTAGCCCACGCCAGCCAGTATGACGCAGACGGAGGACTTTCTGGGAATCTGATAAGGTTAATTTCCTGTAACGTAGATATGCATGATTTTGGCTCATAGAATAACCTCCCTTTAACATTTAGATATTATTTATGGATATAAGTGTTTAAGTGAGTTTATTACATTAATATCCAATATTAGTCAGGTATAGAATAGATTGGTAATTGTTTAAATTTCGATCTTTAGTCACCTGAAGCATGGTATTGGATCTAATATTACATTTATATACATATGTGAGAGTTTCATTTGTGAAGGTGTGATTAGCCGCCCACCTATAGAGTGGGTCTTGTAAGTAGATAGTCTAATTGCAAAAAGTTAATTTAATTTCATATTTATACCTAATGACCTTTATTTGTCATCCTATCTATATTTTTTAATGCATTTCATATTAAAGCAAAATAACCATAGTACTAGTTACTGTCTTGTAATCATTCGAACGTCTGGTTTAAAGTAAGTGTACAGTAGGATATAAGTAGTAGGCATCCATCAGTATCAGGAGATTAATGGATGCACCCAGCGATATAAGTAGGTGATATTAAAACCGATGCATAATCATTTTGTCTGATTAGAGGAATTATTTGTGTCTGTACCAGAGATAAGACTAATAAGGGAATTTGTAAAGTTACTGAAACAACCGAACAGAATCTGGATACAAATTCTTCAATGAATCCTTTCTTAAATACATAGGTACCCTGTATCTTATAATTTGCCTGATATGTAGTCATGACGGCTTGGCATATCTCCATATTTCAAATCAAATCATATATCATATATCAAAATCGGGTATATCTCCTGATATTTCCTTTCCGTAAACTTATAATTTGCCTGTATGTTATAGAAGGGGATTAGCATATAAGATACCTATGAAATTAGGAGACTTTATAATACTGACAAAATGTTTTGCAAAAATAATGACAAATTAATGATTATATATACGGTATTGATATTACCATCTCAGATTCCTGCTACCTCTCGTATGACTGAAGGGGATTCCTGCTACCTCTCGTATGGCTCCTACCTGGAGCTGATAAATATTAGCTCCAGGTAGGAGCGGAGAAACCTTGTGAGGCAACACCCACCTCGCCTCACTCCTGGAGATATTGTTTTATGCAGCAATCGAACTTTCCTTCGCTGTTCATACAGAAGTCTTCACATTCCGTCTTCTTGCCTTTCTTGTCTTCGCCCCCGTTCTTTTTCTCCGAGTCTTTGCCTTCGTCCGTTTTCTCAGAGTCTGTGCCCTCGTCCGTTGTCTTCGAGCTCTCGCCTTCGTCCGTTGTCTTCGAGCTCTCGTCTTCGTCCGTTGTCTTCGAGCTCTCGCCTTCGTCCGTTTTCTTCGAGCTCTCGCCTTCGTCCGTTTTCTTCGAGCTCTCGCCTTCGTCCGTTTTCTTCGAGCTCTCGCCTTCGTCCCCTTTCTTCGAGCTCTCGCCTTCGTCCCCTTTCTTCGAGCTCTCGCCTTCGTCCCCTTTCTTCGAGCTCTCGCCTTCGTCCCCTTTCTTCGAGCTCTCGCCTTCGTCCCCTTTCTTCGAGCTCTCGCCTTCGTCCCCTTTCTTCGAGCTCTCGCCTTCGTCCCCTTTCTTCGAGCTCTCGCCTTCGTCCCCTTTCTTCGAGCTCTCGCCTTTGTCCCCTTTTTTCGAGCTCTCGCCTTCGTCCCCTTTCTTCGAGCTCTCGCCTTCGTCCCCTTTCTTCGAGTTATCAGCCTCGTCTTTGTTAGTTGATTTATTTGAAACGGAATTCTCTGATCTGTACCAATTGTAATTATATAATTAATATTTTTATTATTTTATAAGCCATATCAATTGAGACATTTTATAAATTTCTCTCTCTTGATATTGCCAATTTCCCCATTCATAAGTTATCTATGTTATAGCGCACCTTGCTCTGTAGACTCAATCTTTTATCACTCACACTTAACAATTTTATGATTGATTTCTGTCGCCATACTCATTCATGAGGTCCTGGATACCTAGAGCTGTTCATTGTCGCTTATCTAACTCAATAAGCTCATTCTTAAGCTTAATGCTTCAACTTTCATCCTTTTGAGTCTAATGGAAATGTTTTTTTGAACATGCATAGCAGCCCATCTCCCGTAATGGGTTTTATGTCACACCTTTTGGGAGTGTTTCCCGGCTCTCCACGACCTGGCCCGGCAGGATTAACCTTCGCATTGTACCTCCCACTTGAGGTTATCTTGAGTTGATTTCGGGGCTTTTTTTTTTTTTAGTGTCCCCGCGACCCGGTCCTCGACCAGGCCTTCACCCCCAGGAAGCAGCCCGTGACAGCTAACTAACTCCCAGGTACCTATTTACTGCTAGGTAACAGGGGGCATAAGGTGAAAGAAACTCTGCCCATCGTTTCTCGCTGGCGCCCGGGATCGAACCCGGGACCACAGGATCACAAGTCCAGTGTGCTGTCCGCTCGGCCGACCAGCTCCCACTACACAGTCTCACTCATCACAATGCCATACTGTAGTAGGAGGCAGAGTGTGCTTCTGTATCTTCTCTGCCGTCTCTTGTCAACATTACTGCACTGGCTCAAGGGGAGGGGGGTAGAAATAGCCTAAGCTACTCTATCCCTTTGAGATGTATTTATTGCTTATCTCAATAAACATACTTGAACTGACTCAAGATTCTCTCCTTCGCCCGTCTCCTTCCACTATTTGCCTCGTGGCAACCTGTCTTCCTAATAGAAAGTCTCATTTCGACGCACACTCTACCCAAGGCCAAAAGTCGTTGTACTAGAAAATGGTTGCGGCTCGTGAAATTGACGTACTGTCCCGTTTTCTGTTTTAGACTCTCTGGTTGGTTAGGATGAGGGTACTTTAGTACGATAGTTTCTTGACGTTGGGAAACCTTAGGAGGAAGGGCTGCGTCCCATACCAGCCCATTTCTCGAACGTTCCCAGCGTCAAGAAACTATCGTATTAAAATGCCATATCTTAACCTCATACCGTTCTTGCGAACATTTCCAACGACAAGAATCTGCCGTATTAAAAAGCCTTATCTTACAGCCCGTCCTCCTAACGTTTCCCAACGTCAAGAAAACGGTAAATTTAAAGAGTCCTTTCCTATCCTACCAGAGGACCCAAAACAGAAAACGGGACGTTGTCAATTTTGCGAGTGTCTACCATACACCCTTCTATGGGCTAGCGTGTTATATGCCATATAAATAGTGTTATAAGCCATATAAATAATGTGTAATAACACGAATAATGTTTTCGCCGCACTCCTATAGCAGCCGTTACTTGGAACTCGAAATTGAAATTGAAATAAGTTTATTGAGGTAAAATACACACAAAGGGATGAGGTAGCTCAAGCTATCCTCACCCCGTTCAGTACATCGTGTTAATACATACATATACACACATCACAAACAATAAACATATTACCAAACATTCTGAGAGATAAACATCTACATTTCCTACGGAACTCGAAGGTTCAGGCAATTCAGTACATCATTTTTGTGACGTGACAACTCTGGAGGACGGGCTGTAGAATGAGTCAAATTCACAAAGTTAGCATGAGCGCTAAATTCAAACAGGCATTAGTATGAACGACAAATGTAAACAATTGTTAGTATGAGCGTCAAATTCAAACAATCGTTAGCGTAAGTACTAAATTCATACCTCCAGACGAATATGATAAGTGTCTTATCAACATCAAATATAGTTATCATTGCAACGTAATTGTTGCTTACTGCTAGTAAAGATAAATTAGAAAAATATGCCCAGTTTTTGCAGAAATTTTATTTTGAAATGCAAATCACCTTAGAAAAAAAATTACTTTTATGAAAGCGTGAAGGAGCTTTCTATAAATATTAAATTAATCAAGTATTTTCCATAGAAACAAAAAAGGCACAAATTTGTATAAACTAGTTAGTTTTAGTTTAGTTAATTTATTATGCACCCCATTCCCATCTTGTGGGCGGTAGTGGAAAGGGTTACAGAGGCACATAATAGGCTCAGGAACTGAACCCCACAATTCATGTAGCTAAGGAAGTAAATTAGTAATGGTGGAAGTTGAAATATACGACAGGACCCACCGGGCAAGGCTCTCCAGTGCTATAACAACAGCAGCTCGCATCATCAACAGCCTAAGCCATCTGGACGTCATACTAAACAATAATTCAACAACAAATCCACTCATGAGTAACACCAAGTCTCGTTGTACTTTAAAAGTTCAGTGAACGGCTTGTGCGCTTGACCTTCCCTCTCGTTCTCTTACCTCACCCTACCGTCGCAATACGAAATACTGCTTGTAAAATGTAAGCGTAGAGATGTAACCTACTTCTTGGTGTGCACACAGTTAACATTTTAGCTCTGGACTTGAGAATTAACAGTTTTGAAACTTTGATCCTTAATGACCCAGCCGGTCGAAGCCTAACACCTAATATAATGCCGATAGAAATATATTTGAGAGTTGCTAGCAGGTGGTCGGATACAAGGGTTTCTTACCTTTTAGAACGGCCAAATTGATATGCACTCCTTTCATCTCTAGAGGCTGATGACTTGCGGTTTAAAAAATCGTCTATCTCTTCGTAGACAGACTTCGCGTCATCGGTGACGTTCTTAGTGTAGCTAACCACGTCTTCAATGGATTTCCTGACGGGTGGGTCGTTGGGCCTTGAGCGAGCGTCTGCCAGCACCACCACCAGCCCGAACACAAACTCTGTGCATAAATACTTAAGCTGTATTAGTTTTGTTCAACGTGTGTTTAATTATGCTTAAAGCGGAAAGAAATATCCTGAAGTTTCTTTACACTATTTCAGGACTGAACAAACTTCAAAACTGGGGAGATTGTACCCACCTCTGACTCTGACTACTCCCCAGTCTCGTGCTAAACTATGTTTCCTATTAAATTTCGAACAAGAATTTGTCGAAGAGGCTGTAGCGTCAGCAATGTATGGCTTTGTGTTTATAATGAATAGTGTACACATATCTAAAACAATTTAATTTGCGATGACATTTAAATATTACATGAAACCCAGTCTATTACAGCCTGACATAGTAGGTGAATGTATAACCCAGTCTATTACGGCCTCACATAGTAGGTCTACGAATAACACTGTAAATTACAGCCAAATAGTAAGCTTATGTATAACCCAGTCTATTACAGCCTAACTTGGTGCGCTTATGTAAATCCCAATTTCAGCTAACATTGTAGGTTTATAAATAAATATTACAACCTAACATAGTAAGCTCATGTATAAACTAATGTATTACTACCTAACATACTAAGCCATGTATAAAATAGTGTATGTCAGGCTACATAATAAGCCATGTATAACCTAGTATATGTCAGGCTACATAGTATAACTCCATATTTATAACAGTTTAATTACCTTAACATATTTTTAATATACCAGTTATTACAGACCGTTGTGGGAACTTGCAATTAGATCACAATTAATTAATTAAATTAAAATCCTAATTTATTATTTAAGACGTGTACTTGAGTGAGTAAAAATCCGCATTTTACAATAGAAAATACTAAATGAGTGAACATATTTGTACTCAGCCACCATATTGGTATATTAGGCAAAAAGAGCCTAAGACAATGACTAACACTTGGGAAGGATGTGAGGACGAAGGTAAGGAACGGGGCCCGACACTTGGACCATCGGGAATTTAACACAGATGCAGCGCTGTTATAGTGACCGGTGGAGGGAGACTTACTTAATAACATGATAAAAGTTGGCAGTTGTGGGTTCAGTGCCGTTGGTGGGGTCCGTGATGGTTGTTATTGGAGTTGGTGGCGGAGGTGTGGGCAGGTTGATGCCACGATGATGGGTTGAGCAAGACTGAACCCCACCCAGGTTTACGCTCTTCAACACCCCTCCCGCCCTGCCTCTAACGCAAACACTAATTCTGCCATTAGAATCAAGTACATTATTATCAGAGTTATTTTCTTGTGGAAATTGTACTTGACGCTAATGGAGGAATGCTTACGATCGTAGAGAATAAAGCTGCCCGCAACACTCAAACACCCCTAATATTTCTCAACCCATCCTCCAGCACAAGCTATAGACTAATACGTAGATTTTTAATGCCAGAAGTTTGACATGTGAAGCAGACAACTAATTGACGGGATGAATCTTCTATTTGTATCTATAAAAGATAAAATCTTTGTCCAAGGTTGGAGGCCAAACGCTTGGGGCTGTAATCCATTCGGGGATTATAATTCAAGTACAGATATAGTACATAGTACAGAGAAAATCTGTACTTTACATGTTCGTTTTAAACCTGATGACCCTTTGTTATGATGATGGGCTATATTTTCTGACCTTGCTGAGTAATGCCTCTCAAAGTCCCACCTTCAACTTGGTAAACGTGCAAGGAATTGTAAAGTAATGATAGACAGAATATAGGAGCTGCAAGCACTTTGCCCCAAGAGTGTACTACTTATTTGTTGTGTTTACTATATTAATCTGCAATGTAAAATGTGATTCTCGTACTGTGATTTGTGGATTTGTACTGACTGGATTTGTGCGTCCCTTGAAAGACTTGAAGAAGTAGAGGTTAGAAATAGCCTAAGCTACTCCCTTTAAGATGTATTTTAGTCTCAATAAACGCACTTAAACTTGAAAGTAATGAGCAAAAATTGTAAAGTTATTGGTGATTTTCTATTTAAATATCACGTTATGGAAAAGTTCATTGTTAGGGTGTTGTTAATTGGTGGCTCGGTGCCGTGTTATGGCAACACGGCCTTGGCAGGTTGCATCAAGGGTCCCTCCCTGCACCTGGGGTACCCCGTCCTCTTAAACAATGGCCAGTAACAATGTTTACGGTATTCCTGCCGACAATCCAATTGTCTATGAAAAAAATACACCACTCACAATTATTGGAAATGAAACAAAAAATTAAAATTGGGATTTTTTTCCAAAACAGTATGTTAAGGGTCCTCTGGTAGGTTAGGAGGGCAGAAATTCTCCTAAAGTTTCAAAACGTCATGAAAAGCGTTAATTGAAAGTTTCCTCTCCTAACCTTTCCGAGTAAGCCAGAGGACTCAAACAGGACAGTACATCACTTGCATGAGCCGATTTCATTTCATATTATGTCCATTTTGGCCATAGCGCGCTTACCAGCGAAAAGCGACGTTATTTTTAAGAGGACGGGTTGTGGAGTGAGACTTGCGCCAGTAGGAAATGTATATGTTTATCTCTCAGAATGTTTGGTAATACGTTTATTGTTTGTGATGTGTGTCTATGTATGTATTAACACGATGTACTGAACGGGGTGAGAATAGCTTGAGCTACCTCATCCCTTTGTGTGTATTTTACCTCAATAAACTTATTTCAATTTTAATTTCAACTTGCGCCAGTTAACATGTGTAAGTGTGAGAGCTGTTCCCTGTATTTTTTTTTTTGTAATGTTTGTATTATTTTTTTCCTTGTTAGGCTCCGGGAACAGACTATCAAAACTTTCGTTACAGTTCCATACTTCACCAGTGCCTTTGTATTATTGTTCAACCACCACTTATTGGTAAGATTTACAGCCATACTTATTATTTATATATATAGTCAGCTATGTAGTATCACATAGTTTTTCAGATTGATTTAGTTGTTTTCAGAATGATCTAGTTTTTTCATATTGTCTTAGTGATTTTCAGAGAGATTTAGTTGTTTTCAGACTGTCTTAGTTGTTTTCAGATTGTCTTGGTGGTTTTCAGAGTGTCTTAGTTGTTTTCAGAGTGACTTTGTTGTTTTCAAAGTGACTCGTTTTCAAAGTGACAGTTTTTCTCAGAGTGAGTGACTTAATTTTTCAGAGAGACTTAGTTTATCAGAGTGTCTTAGCTGTTTTCAGAGTGTCTTAGCTGTTGACAGAATGTTTTAGCTGTTTTCAGAGTGTCCTAGTTGTTTTCAGCAAACTGTGACATCTAAGGTTTCATTTCGATACAAGATTACAAGATTTTCCCATCTAGGTTATCGATACGTCAATCTCCATTTTAGCTTTTGACTCGTGATGCAGGTATATTTAAGACATTTCTAATATGATAAGAGTCCTCAACCTTACCTCTCTTAGTGAATTTCAATCATCGTACCACTTTGTTTCTAAGATCACACTGATGTAATTTTCGGATAAGAGCATTTATACAATATAATGTATCTACACTTAATTCAACCATTTACGTTTCCTCAGTCTATCTTTACTATGAGAAGCATTATTCGCTACTTCCACATAACAGAAGTAGATGTTTGTTGTGCTTTTTTGGAAGCAATCTATGCTGTATTGCTAACTTCTCAATGTTATCTTTATAATGTATTTTTCCTCAAAGGACTTATGTTCCCACACCTAACATTGTAATAATTTCACTACTAAGTGCATCATTTTCTTACACTCCAAATCATAAATAAATAGATACGCAGATTTACATCTGCCCTACATAAACAGTGTTCGATGTGTCTTTGTACATAGTGTCATTAATATACACATTAATGCACATTATGTAAAAAGACACATCGAACACTGTTTATGTAGGGCAGATGTAAATCTGTGTATCTATGTATGTAGGTTAGATTAGGATTTTAAAAGCACTGCAATCACCTTCTGTGGTTGTTTGTTCAACAAATCACTGAATTATATGTTTAACAGAACTCTAACCCTGTCCATGGAGGACAGAAGAAAATGTATATATGCTGGTTAGCATTGTAAATGTGTGGCCACGTCTGTGGTAGGAAAAAGCAAAAAATAAATATATAACTCTTTAAGTCAACTCTCGTATGCAAAGCAACGTTTCGAGCAAATGCTAATCATAGCTTTGTGTTTCTTTTTATCTTCTTACTCATTGACACCAATGTACATGACCTATTGAAGGTTAGTCTTAAGATATGCCTAATTATTTCAAGACTTATAAAATATATAAATGATAGATAAAGAACTACACAACCTATGTATTTAATGCGTATGTTATTTTAGTGCATTAATGTGTTATTTTTCTGCAAAAAAGTAGTAACTTGATCGTTATATCCTACCACTCTTATTCGAAAGCTACCATTTTAATAGTATTCACCGTACATCGATGCAATATCAGCTCAATAATTAATCTACTATTTCTTTTTGTCTCTCGCAGGATCATATGATGTTTCAATAGTCTGTTTAAATCAAACGTCGAGTGTTATGTACTCACTTTTATACAAAAAAATTATACTTATTATTTTATAGACATAATTAACTTTTTTTTTTAATTTTTATTAGTCATTTTTATAAAAGAAAAATATAAACCAAAAAATATATTGGTCCGGGTATGAAGGTCACCCCGGTCTGGACCGAGACCAGGCCCGGGTCACGCTCATCCGTCAGTCATCCATCTCAGGGAACCCTCCTAGTTTCCTTTTCCCCTACTGGCTGCCAGGTTGTGGTCGTGAAGCTGGGCTGCCAGGTTGTGGTCGTGAAGCTGGGCTGCCAGGTTGTGGTCGTGAAGCTGGGCTGCCAGGTTGTGGTCGTGAAGCTGGGCTGCCAGGTTGTGGTCGTGAAGCTGGGCTGCCAGGTTGTGGTCGTGAAGCTGGGCTGCCAGGTTGTGGTCGTGAAGCTGGGCTGCCAGGTTGTGGTGTTGAAGCTGGGCTGTCAGATGGGTGGTGGTGGCGGCTCGTGTCGAGCACTTCTCCGTCGCAAGTTGTTATCTGCTCACTGAGAAAGACAGGAAGATAAGAAGGCGACCAAGGTAGATACTCACCTGTGTTCATCAGTAAGGTGATGCACACTATGTACAATACCAGAGGTCAACTGCCACAGTGCCATCTTCATTGTTTATTTGTAAACTAGTTTTAGAGTCAACAAAAGTGTTATGTAGTTAGTATGGTCTATACCAACTAGCTATACCATACTAACTACAAAAAAGGTTGGAAATCGTGAGACTTTTAACCCAACCTCCCGACGATGGTCAATGTTAGGGTACAGTTATTTCATCGAATCACCTCGCTGTTGGGGTCACGTGAGTAACACAAATGTGAAGAAGCTAAAGAATATGTGTCAGCCAGGTAGGTGTTCCTGTCGGTCCTAATGTGTGTCAGCCAGGTAGGTGTCCCTGTCGGTCCTAATGTGTGTCAGCCAGGTAGGTGTTCCTGTCGGTCCTAATGTGTGTCAGCCAGGTAGGTGTTCCTGTCGGTCCTAATGTGTGTCAGCCAGGTAGGTGTCCCTGTCGGTCCTAATGTGTGTCAGCCAGGTAGGTGTTCCTGTCGGTCCTAATGTGTGTCAGCCAGGTAGGTGTCCCTGTCGGTCCTAATGTGTGTCAGCCAGGTAGGTGTTCCTGTCGGTCCTAATGTGTGTCAACCAGGTAGGTGTCCCTGTCGGTCCTAATGTGTGTCAGCCAGGTAGGTGTTCCTGTCGGTCCTAATGTGTGTCAGCCAGGTAGGTGTTCCTGTCGGTCCTAATGTGTGTCAGCCAGGTAGGTGTTCCTGTCGGTCCTAATGTGTGTCAGCCAGGTAGGTGTTCCTGTCGGTCCTAATGTGTGTCAGCCAGGTAGGTGTCCCTGTCGGTCCTAATGTGTGTCAGCCAGGTAGGTGTCCCTGTCGGTCCTAATGTGTGTCAACCAGGTAGGTGTCCCTGTCGGTCCTAATGTGTGTCAGCCAGGTAGGTGTCCCTGTCGGTCCTAATGTGTGTCAGCCAGGTAGGTGTCCCTGTCGGTCCTAATGTGTGTCAACCAGGTAGGTGTTCCTGTCGGTCCTAATGTGTGTCAGCCAGGTAGGTGTTCCTGTCGGTCCTAATGTGTGTCAACCAGGTAGGTGTTCCTGTCGGTCCTAATGTGTGTCAGCCAGGTAGGTGTTCCTGTCGGTCCTAATGTGTGTCAACCAGGTAGGTGTTCCTGTCGGTCCTAATGTGTGTCAGCCAGGTAGGTGTCCCTGTCGGTCCTAATGTGTGTCAACCAGGTAGGTGTCCCTGTCGGTCCTAATGTGTGTTAACCAGGTAGGTGTCCCTGTCGGTCCTAATGTGTGTCAGCCAGGTAGGTGTCCCTGTCGGTCCTAATGTGTGTCAGCCAGGTAGGTGTCCCTGTCGGTCCTAATGTGTGTCAGCCAGGTAGGTGTTCCTGTCGGTCCTAATGTGTGTCAGCCAGGTAGGTGTTCCTGTCGGTCCTAATGTGTGTCAGCCAGGTAGGTGTTCCTGTCGGTCCTAATGTGTGTCAACCAGGTAGGTGTTCCTGTCGGTCCTAATGTGTGTCAACCAGGTAGGTGTTCCTGTCGGTCCTAATGTGTGTCAACCAGGTAGGTGTTCCTGTCGGTCCTAATGTGTGTCAGCCAGGTAGGTGTTCCTGTCGGTCCTAATGTGTGTCAACCAGGTAGGTGTTCCTGTCGGTCCTAATGTGTGTCAACCAGGTAGGTGTTCCTGTCGGTCCTAATGTGTGTCAACCAGGTAGGTGTTCCTGTCGGTCCTAATGTGTGTCAGCCAGGTAGGTGTTCCTGTCGGTCCTAATGTGTGTCAGCCAGGTAGGTGTTCCTGTCGGTCCTAATGTGTGTCAGCCAGGTAGGTGTTCCTGTCGGTCCTAATGTGTGTCAACCAGGTAGGTGTTCCTGTCGGTCCTAATGTGTGTCAACCAGGTAGGTGTTCCTGTCGGTCCTAATGTGTGTCAGCCAGGTAGGTGTTCCTGTCGGTCCTAATGTGTGTCAACCAGGTAGGTGTTCCTGTCGGTCCTAATGTGTGTCAACCAGGTAGGTGTTCCTGTCGGTCCTAATGTGTGTCAACCAGGTAGGTGTTCCTGTCGGTCCTAATGTGTGTCAACCAGGTAGGTGTTCCTGTCGGTCCTAATGTGTGTCAACCAGGTAGGTGTCCCTGTCGGTCCTAATGTGTGTCAACCAGGTAGGTGTCCCTGTCGGTCCTAATGTGTGTCAACCAGGTAGGTGTTCCTGTCGGTCCTAATGTGTGTCAACCAGGTAGGTGTTCCTGTCGGTCCTAATGTGTGTCAACCAGGTAGGTGTTCCTGTCGGTCCTAATGTGTGTCAACCAGGTAGGTGTCCCTGTCGGTCCTAATGTGTGTCAACCAGGTAGGTGTTCCTGTCGGTCCTAATGTGTGTCAACCAGGTAGGTGTCCCTGTCGGTCCTAATGTGTGTCAGCCAGGTAGGTGTTCCTGTCGGTCCTAATGTGTGTCAGCCAGGTAGGTGTCCCTGTCGGTCCTAATGTGTGTCAACCAGGTAGGTGTCCCTGTCGGTCCTAATGTGTGTCAACCAGGTAGGTGTTCCTGTCGGTCCTAATGTGTATCAACCAGGTAGGTGTTCCTGTCGGTCCTAATGTGTGTCAACCAGGTAGGTGTTCCTGTCGGTCCTAATGTGTGTCAACCAGGTAGGTGTCCCTGTCGGTCCTAATGTGTGTCAACCAGGTAGGTGTCCCTGTCGGTCCTAATGTGTGTCAACCAGGTAGGTGTCCCTGTCGGTCCTAATGTGTGTCAACCAGGTAGGTGTTCCTGTCGGTCCTAATGTGTGTCAGCCAGGTAGGTGTTCCTGTCAGTCCTAATGTGTGTCAGCCAGGTAGGTGTCCCTGTCGGTCCTAATGTGTGTCAACCAGGTAGGTGTCCCTGTCGGTCCTAATGTGTGTCAGCCAGGTAGGTGTCCCTGTCGGTCCTAATGTGTGTCAACCAGGTAGGTGTTCCTGTCAGTCCTAATATGCAGGTAGGAGTTTCCCATGATGTTACGAAATATTTCAAGGATTCCTCCAAACAAAACAGGAATGGGAATTAATGCCCTAGAAGCTGTTTACCAAAACCGTCCTCTCAAAATAACGTTTTGCTCGTATGCGCGCTATGGCCAAAAACTGACGTAATTTGAAATGAAATCGGCACACAAAAGTTATGTACTGTCCCGTTTTCTGTTGTGGGAAGTAGACCTCCCAAGTACCTATTTACTGCTAGATGAAATGGGGCACAAGGTGACGTATATCGCTGCTAACTTGCTTATGATGCGGCCAGGATTCGAACCCAGGACTTAAGGCTGAGAATGGAAATCGTTCGTTCATCAGCTATTCATGGTGTGGATGGGTAAACAGGCATTTACCCATCAATTATTCATACTGTGGATGAATTTAATGTGACTTCAGCCCAGCCTCCTGTTTTGGTAGTACTTATTGTGACGATGAGGATCATAGTTCATACACCGACGTTGAACGCAAGTAGAAATCGGACATATTGTATTTGGACAAACCGGAAAAGATTTTCTATTTATGATGCAAAGACAAACTAAACTAACTTAACCTTGTCTCCTCCCTGCTCTCCTCACAATAATAAAATATCTTCACTTCTGCATCTAATTTCAGGGGATATTACACCCTGCTTCGTATGCCTCCGGCGTACAACACTGTGAGCTGAGTATAGTCCTGGATTATATTCATGACTAAAGCATACTATTATGGTGGCCTAAAAATAACCCTCCCTGCAGTTGATAGACTCTAGGTACTACACCAAACCATACCCAGTTTCATCAGTTTGTAATCAATCACTGTCAAGAAAGTATGTGATCGGTGTTATCTTGATATCTAGACCCCCAAAAAAATCCATTAAGAATTATAAAGATGTATGATTCTAAACCTAAGACCATATAATATAGGTACCATTTACCAGCAAAATAGTATTGAAATAGTAATCGAGACCCCCTTTCCCTTTCCAGTCCATTGTCGTGGGCGGCTGCCAGGGTTTGATGCTCCATGGGACAGTCCTCTGTCCTTTTGGAGCCTTATGCTCCTGCTGCCGTCTTCACTAATTATGCTGGATGCTATTTCCTATTCCTTTCATTTTCCTCCCCCTCTTCTCCTTTCTAATTGTCATTTCCCTCCGACCTTTTGTCATTCTTGATTATTCTCTTACATCTTTTTTTGACGCCCGGGTGTTTGGGGAGGCACACTCACCCGCAGAACTGTGGTACCCGACGTTGCGAGCAAGGGGATGCTTTTATTGTCAATCCTCGCCTTTGTTGCTGAATCCGATCTCGACAGACTGACGGTTCTTAAGGTGGCGATTTCGGGGCGTATACTCATGATGCACCCCTGGGGGGCCCGTCTTGTCGGTGTCCTATCCTCTAATTGTGGCTCCATGGTGGGTATGGGGCTTATTCGTGAATGAAATTATTATCTGCTTGTTTCTATGCCGCTAAATATTTAAGACTAATAACTTCCCAGACTCGTGGGGTGGGCAACCAAGCCCCTGAGTCGGACTGTGATGGAAGACCGGACTCTGTAGCCCCCGCTACATTGGGCCCAGACCAAGCCCCTCCTTTGACCCTCCCGACTACCCCCCTCTGCTCCCCTCCCACCTTTGTGGTAGGGTTGAACTCCAAGCCCCCGCTTAACATAACCCAACATAACTAAGTCTGTAACTCATGTTCCTAGTAAAATAGATTATTATTGTTGGAAAAGAACCAATATGGAAAGAAATATTTGAAAATAACAACACTTACTCAGTCTATTAGGCAAATCGGACCTTGCATAATGGGTTGTTGTTGCCTCCAGCAAAGCTGTGGCTCATAAAATCCACTCTAATGCTTGGTCCACATAAAGCTTTGAGTGTCTGTAATCCAGTTTACAAGAACAACTTTCTGCTTACAGAAATAAAATATATGCATATTATTCTCAATTTCAGTACATTGGTCACACCTATTGTTGTCCTAAATGCCCAACATCAACAACCTATCATTAGTAGGGAGGGTGTCATGAATATAGCCATACAATAGTTCACATTGTTTTGGGGCAATATGTTTAACATGAAGGTTTGCCCATATTACTCGCCAGCTAAAAAGTGGATATGTCTCCTCTACTCTAGGAACTATATTTTGGAGCAGAACATCATACACATGTTTACTGTTCATCATTAAAAACCTTCAACATTACAAAGCCGCCTGAGAACATCAATTGCACAAGAATAAAAGTGAGGTGAAATAAAGGCAAGGTCAGTATACTCTGGCATATGTATCAAGCAGCTAACACGTACTTTACAAAAATAATGTCCTAAAGCATTTACACTATTCTTTAGGATTACTTCCTTTATAAAGGTAACACATAATATACCAATGACTTATGGTACACATTCAGTCTCCCTATTCCACCATCTTTCTTACCTTTACATAGTGTAGTCCGTTTAATTGTTTGGTATCTACCATACCATACATATCTAAAAATAGTTTTGTCAATCTCCATAGCAATTTTCTTATCAATTGGAAAACTGTAAGACAAATACCATACTTTAGGTAAAATTTTGCAATTATTTATTATAGCCTTCTGAAAAAGGGTTAATTTGAAACATATTCGTAGCTACTATTATATTTCTACATGGTACTTGCCAATTCGTAACCAATGTTGTCCCCTATTTTTTACACCAGCAAATCCCGAGAGCCTTGACAGACCCGGGTGAGCCACGCCTTAGTCATATATATTGCTAATCACAATAATGCGTAATCACAATAATGCAGGGAATAACAGGGAAGGCTTAAAATCCCAGTTGGATGCCAGTTGTGTCTCTGGAATCCTTCCTTATTGTGGGTAACTCAGTAGCTTGGTTAGTACAACTATCGTCTTCCGCTTTTGTGGTCCCGTGTTCGAGGCTCCGATAGTCCAAGTTGGAAATACCTATGGGGGTACCTCCTCTGGTTGAATCAGTGAGGACCCTAGCCTCAGAGAATATAATGAAAAGCACTCGAAGCGACATACTTATCTGCATGCCAGTAGAGGAGTGGTGTTCCTCCAGGCGACAAGGTCCTCGCTAGGATCCTGTGTCAACCTCGGTGCTCCTCTAAACCTTCCCGTCAGTGTTTCAGCCGCGCCTGTACTCTGGCACTCCCAGTACAGCAGTGCCTGGCCCTGCACCACGGGGCCCGCACCTCCCATGGCCCGCAGTCATCTTGGGGGAGGTTCTCGTATCTCCGCAGAATGATGAGACGTTACTTAGCGTGCTCTCTGACCCCAGCTTGTTAATATTTAAATAATTTAATTTTGTATTTGGGCTAATTTAATTGTCCATCTTGTTGCTTAGACTAGCTGAGGGTTTCTTGTAAATATTGATGTGAGTGGCGGTCGGTGTTGGAGTAGGCTGCATGTTCCGTCACGCGTCGCACCACACACACACCCAAACACTCGCCACCCACCACAACGCACAATCCTTACCCACTACACTTTGTGTCTTTAGTAATAACATTGTTTTCTCGGAATATCTGAAAAAAATGAATATATGTACACATACCGTGTACATGCGTACACATGTCACTGTTAGTTCTCAATAGTGTATATAAAACGTTGTGGGTGTGTATGTTGGGCGGGCGTGTGTAGTGACCTTCGGGGAAGGGGGGGTGTTATTATAGCAGCTTCCTGTCACCTGAACTCAGCGCCCCAGTCATTATAAACACTCGCCATTGTTATTATAAACAATCGTTATCGTTGGCATTATAAACACGTGTAGGAAGTATAGTATGTAAGTAATATCCTTCCTAATCTCATCAGCTGAGGTGCAGATAATGAGACGGGTCTGTTTTGATTGTTGCCATCGGAGGTGGTTAGTTTATTGTGCACCCCATACTCATCCTGTGAGCGGTAGCGCAAAAAGAATTACAGAGGGCACAAAAGGCCTTCATCAGACCTCAACAGAGGTTATTTCATTAACAATTTCATCTATCCTACACACGTTATAATTACAATGTCAGCTAGTTACAGAGAATGTTATATGTCAACAGTTATATATATACAGTAAGTCATTATACATTAATGGTAGGTCTTATCGCTTATACATAATTGTTTGAGCAATGGAGATATTACAGAGTCATAAGAAGCTACTGTTTATTATTAGTCTTTACAATACACTACTTGTTTCTTAATCTCATATGTCGCTTATCTACTGAGAGCGAAATATGGACACAGTGCAAGGATTTCAGGTATTTTATCCTTAGTAATAAGATAGGGTTCCATATCATCCAACGTGGGTTTAGATTTATCTCTTAATGGCTCAATTTTACTATATAATATATATTATATAATCTAAGATATAGTGTTCGAGTGTGTGTCCCTGTCTTTGTCCACACACTTTACACTTTACTTCATCTAGATCCCTATACAGGCCGAATTGCCAGATACTTGTAGCCAAGTCTTACTCGAGCTGTGACAACGTCTGTTAGTCTACTGACTTTGTTACTTGCCCCATACACATGTTTTACTTCACACATTTCATTGTGATGAACAATGGACCTGCTAGTTCCAGTTTGCACAGTTCTACTGTCTTCAAATTCATCCAAGAGCTCTCGTCTTATGACACTTTAAAGGGACCTATTTGATAACTCAAGATTCCGTTCAATACTGACTTTATTTACTGCAACATTAGCAAGGGCGTCAACTTTATCATGTTCCTGCAGGCCAATGTGAGAAGGAATCCACAACATTTTTATATTTACCTCCTGATTAAGTATGTTTATATATTTATGTCTGGCTTCGAAGACAGACACGTTATTACTTGATTGCAAACTATTTATTGCTCGTAGTGAGGAAAGGGAGTGAGAAATAATTAAGCTGTCTACTTCAGTGTTGTCAATAATTGCGAGTGCTACCAGTATTGTTCCCAACTCGGCTTGCATTTTGGATGCCCAATTACTAACTCTTACATTCCTTTGGCATAACCTATCTCTAAGTTGTCACATTCCTAGAAGTCCTACACTGGTTCTTGGTCCACTCATGTCATCATTGTCACTATAAACACTCATGTCATCGTTGTCACTATAAACACTCATGCCATCGTTGTTACTATAAACACTTGTTTCATCTTTGTTACTATAAACACTTGTGTCATCTTTGTCACTATAAACACTTGTGTCATCTTTGTCACTATAAACACTTGTGTCATCTTTGTCACTATAAACACTTGTGTCATCTTTGTCACTATAAACACTTGTGTCATCTTTGTCACTATAAACACTTGTGTCATCTTTGTCACTATAAACACTTGTGTCATCTTTGTCACTATAAACACTTGTGTCATCTTTGTCACTATAAACACTTGTGTCATCTTTGTTACTATAAACACTTGTGTCATCTTTGTCACTATAAACACTTGTGTCATCTTTGTCACTATAAACACTTGTGTCATCTTTGTCACTATAAACACTTGTGTCATCTTTGTTACTATAAACACTTGTGTCATCTTTGTTACTATAAACACTCACGTCATAGTTGTCTTTATATGTTAATCCCTAAATGTTCACTGGGAGCCGACACGCAGCTCCCGTGGTGCTGACTTTACAGGTCGTGATCTATACATCTCTTAACATCTCTTTGACTCGTCTAATTCTCAAGCTTCCATACATACCATCTTCTATTACTATCCACTGCGAACATCTCTTTTGTGTCTTCTCTGTCAAATCGCCCCCCCCCCCACTGAGTATTTTGTACGTCTCTATCATATCCTCTCTCTTTCTCTTATCTTTTTAGCGACTTCAGATCTAGGGATGATAGATTTAGTTCTTTCAGATTTTCTTCATACCCCATCCCTGTGCGTATATTTAATATTTGTATTTAGTATTTGTATTTACAGAATCGAGTTATTAGCTCTTGGACCCCGCCTTTCTAACCAATTTATTTTTCCTTTATTATGTGTACTACATATATTTCTCTCTAACACACACACACATCCCCAGAAAGCAGCCCATAGCAGCTGTTTACTGTTAGGTGAACAGATCACCACGGTGAAAGAAACTGCTCATTTGTTTCCGCCTCCGCCGGAGATGGAACCCGGGCCCTTAGGACTATGAACCCAGAGCACTGTCCACTCAGCCACGAGGCCCCGTAAATGTGTGTATGTGTGTGTGTGTGACCAGGATATAAAACATCACCAGGAAGGAGCCAGTCCCATTACATCGTTGTCACCAGCACCATGAAGCTAATTGGTGAGCTGATCGGGATTAGTTCGTGAGCTTCTAAGGGATTGGGGGGAGGGGGGGAATGGTTGTTTCGTCGTGTGTCTTCATAGTGTCGAGGCGAGTAGCTAATCTGCTTGCAGCTGAGGAATTTTGTGGAAGATATATTTTCACCAATGCTGGAGAATGCTGCCTAATAATACGTTTGTTTTCCTTGTTAAATCAGATATGTCGTGACCGCCTCTGTGTCGTGGTCACCTCTGTGTCGTGGTCACCTCTGTCTGTGTCGTGGTCACCTCTGTCTGTGTCGTGGTCACCTCTGTCTGTGTCGTGGTCACCTCTGACTGTGTCGTGGTCACCTCTGTCTGTGTCGTGGTCACCTCTGTCTGTGTCGTGGTCACCTCTGACTGTGTCGTGGTCACCTCTGACTGTCGTGGTCACCTCTGTCTGTGTCGTGGTCACCTCTGTCTGTGTCGTGGTCACCTCTGTCTGTGTCGTGGTCACCTCTGTCTGTGTCGTGGTCACCTCTGTCTGTGTCGTGGTCACCTCTGACTGTGTCGTGGTCACCTCTGACTGTGTCGTGGTCACCTCTGACTGTCGTGGTCACCTCTGACTGTGTCGTGGTCACCTCTGACTGTGTCGTGGTCACCTCTGACTGTGTCGTGGTCACCTCTGTCTGTGTCGTGGTCACCTCTGACTGTGTCGTGGTCACCTCTGACTGTGTCGTGGTCACCTCTGACTGTGTCGTGGTCACCTCTGACTGTGTTGAGGTCACCTCTGTCTGTGTCGTGACCGCCTCTGTCTGTGTCGTGACCGCCTCTGTCTGTGTCGTGGTCACCTCTGATTGTCGTGGTCACCTCTGACTGTGTCGTGGTCACCTCTGACTGTGTCGTGGTCACCTCTGTCTGTGTCGTGGTCACCTCTGACTGTCGTGGTCACCTCTGACTGTGTCGTGGTCACCTCTGACTGTCGTGGTCACCTCTGACTGTGTCGTGGTCACCTCTGACTGTCGTGGTCACCTCTGACTGTGTCGTGGTCACCTCTGACTGTCGTGGTCACCTCTGACTGTGTCGTGGTCACCTCTGACTGTGTCGTGGTCACCTCTGTCTGTGTCGTGACCGCCTCTGTCTGTGTCGTGGTCACCTCTGATTGTGTCGTGGTCACCTCTGTGTCGTGGTCACCACTTGTCTGTGTCGTGGTCACCTCTGTCTGTGTCGTGGTCACCTCTGTTTGTGTCGTGGTCACCTCTGTCTGTGTCGTGGTCACCACTTGTCTGTGTCGTGGTCACCACTTGTCTGTGTCGTGGTCACCTCTGACTGTGTCGTGGTCACCTCTGTCTGTGTCGTGGTCACCTCTGTGTCGTGGTCACCTCTGACTGTGTCGTGGTCACCTCTGACTGTGTCGTGGTCACCTCTGTCTGTGTCGTGGTCACCTCTGTGTCGTGGTCACCTCTGACTGTGTCGTGGTCACCTCTGTCTGTGTCGTGGTCACCTCTGTCTGTGTCGTGGTCACCTCTGACTGTGTCGTGGTCACCTCTTTCTGTGTCGTGACCACCTCTGTCTGTGTCATAACAGAAGAGTTGTCACGGATATATTACAAGTCTAACTGTCATTCCTAGTTGTTACTATTATACATCACAAGAATATCCGGTCAATGTTAAGGAAATTATCATCTTAAAAGCTGTTAATGTGTGTTACAGTGATGGTGGGAGTGTTGATGGCGGCCTGGGCGGCGGTGCTGATGGTAGACGCCGCGCCTCAACCCGACCTCTTCAGGTATGCTGACTCTTCCTATGTGTTCCCTCTTGTTTTCTTTCTGGGACAGGAGCGGAATCCACCGCGCCTGACTCCCGGGTTAGTGTGAGGTGTTGTGTGTGGAGAGTGTGAGGTGTTGTGGGTAGAGAGTGTGAGGTGTGAGGTAGTGTGAGGTAAACTATCAACAATAACATTGTCGCCGTCAGGTTACCCAGGCGTGCGGGACCCCAGCAGGAGGAGGAGGAGGAGGAGGAACTCACTCTCTCATCAGGTAAATATTCTCACCTGCTCCTCACACCGGCTTGCTTCGTGCATTGTCTCACTCCAACAGCTACACCAGACTGTGTACTGGAGTAGTGTTACCAGACTGTGTACTGGAGTAGGGTTACCAGACTGTGTACTGGAGTAGGGTTACCAGACTGTGTACTGGAGTAGGGTTACCAGACTGTGTACTGGAGTAGGGTTACCAGACTGTGTACTGGAGTAGGGTTACCAGACTGTGTACTGGAGTAGGGTTACCAGACTGTACTTGAGAAGTGTTACCAGACTATACTGGAGTAGGGTTACCAGACTGTGTACTGGAGTAGGGTTACCAGACTGTGTACTGGAGTAGGGTTACCAGACTGTGTACTGGAGAAGTGTTACCAGACTAGACTGGAGTAGGGTTACCAGACTAGACTGGAGTAGGGTTACCAGATTGTGTACTGGAGTAGAGTTAGGGCGGCATTAATAAAGGGGATAGAAACAAGGCTCTAAAATATTCATTTAGGACTAACCTCAAAATAGTGGATTTTATGTGGTCAAATTTTTGCTTGGTGAGAAATATCCATCATCCATAATTATAAAAAAATATACAGGTACTTTTAATTGGTAATAACTTGACAAAGGATAGCTAATAAATGTCTCATTAGTACAAAAATTTACCATAAAGAAAGCTGGAAATTGAGAAGTATGAACACGAAGTCCAAACCCTCTCTCCCATTGTCATCGCTGGTCTTTGTATGTGGTATTTTAAACCACTGAGTCAGTGTTCACTTCTGCGGCTCTTCATTAAGCAACTTTTCAGTGATCAGCTTACATTTTAGTGTGTACTGATTCTTCTTTGTGAGTGACAAGATAGTATTTATCTGTTCCCCTTAAGGAGTAAACCAGATGCCAACTATTCTCAGTGTTATGATAAACTAGTAGATTACCTATTGCCGTGACTGCGTATCTTTAAGCGCTCTTCTCTTATTCCAAGATCCTGATTTATTTTTATTTTCTTTTATTGGTGTGCGCGAGACTAAGGAGAAACTGATGTGTCCTCCCCCGCGTGAGAGATGCATCACCATGAAGAGCTTCCAAGGTCCCAAGACTTGCATCGACAACAACTCCTGCATCAAACCCTCTGATGTCTGCTGTATTGACGAATGCATTGATAACATGAAAATCTGCAAGCCCGGTAATCGTATATGATTGCCACCGCTGAAGACGCCAGCAAATGAGTACGTAGCAAGCTGTAGAGGGGCCACGAGGAGCAGCATGAAGGACAACAACACAGCATGTCAGTGTGGCAACTCTGTGTAACAATAAACCTATAATTCTAAAAATAAAACCTGTAGTTCACCACTAAACCTGATGAACTCTTTTAAGAAATTAGCCCAACTTTAAAAGTTTTTTAATAAACACGAGGCTTTTTTTCTCCTCACAGCCCACACTTCCATTCCCAATAGATAACCAAGATATATGTCTATAGTTCCTTTGTTGTGTATCGTCTGTTATAGACTCACAATCAAGAGGACAGAAGAACAGAAACTATTTTGGCAGCGTTTCTTTTCACCTGATGCTCTGTTCACATAGAAGTAAGGTACCTGTTGTGGGCTTCATCCCGGGGGAAATTTCATTAACTTAGTCCATCAGAACCTTGAACCACAGACCACATAAGAAGCAGCTCGAAGTTCTATCCATTGAGCCACCAGCACTCACGGTAAGGACGGAGTCCAGAGAGACTTAATTACCTGCAATGCAACTGGAACTTTACGCCTTTCTGGGGGTGCCACTTTGCCATGAAAGTATGAGGTGATCCACAACCAATCACCTAAATAGTTTTGGCACTAATCTAACTGCATACCTCTGCATCTTTTCAATTTTAGCTTTATGTTTCACGAGATTTGGGTTTCAGGCCAGTGCTACATATTCCAGTATTGGTCTAACAAGCTGTGCAGATTGCTTTGAAAGCATCCTGGTTTAGGTTTCTAATGTTTGCCAGCATTCCATGTGCTGCTGATGTCACCCTGCCTATATGTACCTCCGGTGTTAGCACTGAAACTACATATTTAGTCACAAATCTCTTTCTCCGATTCCTGTAGTTGCCTTCCATTTATGGTGAGATCCTTCTGGTCTTTCTCCCCTTCTCCATCTTCAGTATCTTGTAATTATTGAGACTGAACTCTAGCAACCATGTGTTCTTGCCCGGGTCTGGACTTTGTCACGATCCTCCTGTAACATTTTGCGGTCGTCTTTTTTTTTTTACATTCCGTGTTATCTTTGCATCATCTGCAAACATTGACGATCTCACTCCTTCGGGTAGATCATTAATATAAATTTAGAACAGCAGTGGTCCTAGGATCGATCATTAGGGAACCCTCACTTGTTACATTCCTCCAGCTAGAGACCTCGCCTCAGATTGAGACTTTTTAATTGTCTTCTGTCCTTCAGGTACTTTCTTACCCAGTATAGTATCTTCCTAATTATTCCAGCTTGCTCTTCCATCACGAACAGCAGCCTTTCATGAGGAACAGTGTCAAATGCTTTTTGACGGTGTAGGAAAATGCAATCTACCCAGCCTTCTTTTCTCTGTAGTATTTTACAAACTTTGTCATAGAACTCGACCAAGTTATAAGGCATGAATTTGTTCTTTCCAAATCTCCACAGTGGGTGGAGATTTTTCCTTTCTAAATCTGCAGGGTGGGTGCATGGAGTAGAGGCAGCGACGGGGACACCATCTGTGGGTGTGGGGGTGAAGGTCTGGGTGCTGGAGGCCGCCACTCGCCTCAGTAATGTCAACAATGAACGGCTCAAAGCAGGAGTGGGACGAGTCTCACATAAGAAAGTACTTTTTCCCCACAGAGCAGATCCCACGTCTTTCCTGCAATGATTCCCAGGCTGTTGAACTTATTTCTCAAGAGGTCAGTAGTGTTGGGAGCCGCGGGGTGTGCCAGTCTGACTCGGGACAGGAGGCCATGTATGGTTGGGACATGACAGCCAAGGGGCAAGTATACAACATCACGAAATTAATCAGACCAACTTTTAATCAAATTTGTCAACGTGAGAAAGCTCATGAAGTCAAATATAAGTAAAGCCATGCTAACCCGTCCTAACAAAATAAAATCTAAAATTACTGTATTAAGAAAAAATAGTTGTAAATATTTAAATGTTAGTGTATAGTGTACTGGAAACTTCATTCATGAATTGTCACATATTACATTCTCCAAGTAACCCACAGATTCCAGCACTTTGCCCTGGGCATAAATTGCAAGCCATTTTAAAACTATGCTGTCTGTTCACCATTTATTTATTTATACATATACAAGAAGTTAAATTGGGTTTATGAGAGTACATAGCATGATGTGTTTACATTCTTGTAAAGCTGTTAGTACGCACAGTGTTTTGGGCAACCATTGTAGAAAAGGAAACTGTTTAGGGTTTCTAAATGCCCATAGCTAATGACTGACCTTTCCCAGGATACAACACGCAAGTCAAATAACTCCCAGGAACACTATAGTACCTATTCACTGTTACGTGAACAGAGACCTCAGGTGAAAGAAAATGTACCCAAATATCTTCTCTGCCCGGAAATTGAATCAAAGACTAATGAGTAGGGTTGCAAAAGTTCACCCCCCCCCTCACACCCTCTTCCCCTGAGTAGAACGGCTCAATGATGGCACTACCCATTTTATTTTTTTTAACAACCCTTACCCAGCCCAAGTAAACCTAACCTAACCTGACAAAAATTAAACAAAATATATATTTATGTAAACTTTGTGGGGTATATGACATCACTATGATGCCATTTAAGTTCTAGGATCTTTTTGGATATTAAGACAATTTGGCTCTGAGGCAATTATGCTAACATGTCAACAACATTACCTTGCATCAGACTGATAAAGAAAATGACCTTGAAGTCAAAATCCACCAATCATTGAATGTTGCATAAGTAGGAACTGCAGTAAACAAAACAAACAAAAATCTATCAAACTCTAGGAATAGCCAAATGAATATATGACTTCAATTAAGGAAAAGAGGATAATTATTCACCTGAACAAATCTCTAGTGTGCCCCTATTTGGACTACTGTATCCAAGCATGGGAGACTTCAACTTTAGGAAATATGTTTTAAAGAAACTTAAACACTAGGCAACAAAAATCATCACAGAACTAAGTCTACTCATACCAGGAACGGTTGAGGGAGATAAATGTTAACCCATCAAAAGGTTAACAACACTGTAAATCAGACATGACAGGGTTGATCTCATTGAAACTTTCAAGATACTGAACATGTTGGAGGAGGAGTTTTTGTCTATGGAAACTTTTTATCAAATTCAGCAGTCTAACGCAGCGACAACTTGTGCTCATATATAGTATATATATGACACAGTTATGGTAAGGGACAAACCCATAACTTGAAGTGAAAATACCGACCAATATCCCTCCCACCCTAGCCTACCACTAGCCCTTCCCTCTCACCAACCTCCCTTAACTACCCCTAAACCCAACCACTAACCTATACCATCATTACTTTTCACCCACACACCCACACTACCATTCAAATCCCAACCACACTGAACATTGCTAACTGTTTATTTATTATTACATTTTTACATGTACACTGTATAGGTACTGTATATACTGTATAACAAACAACGTTGGGTTGTGAAAGTTCGAGAACTAATTGGTACATTCTTTAAATGGTATATTTTTGTAAAGCCACTAACATTCATGGCATTTCAGGCAGCATCCCCCAACCCCACACCCTCACCTAAATGACACCCTCTCTGTAATACACTTTTGTAAATAAAATATTATTGGTATTATTATAATATTATACTGAGGCATGACATCAATATATTTAACTAAGCTCATCATTTGTAGTTACCTAAGGTTTCTGAGAAATGTGTATATTTGTTTTGAACTGCTAAACATTTATATGTTGCCAGTCTTTCCCATTGCATAATTCCCTTAGTCTTACATTATTATTGAATGCTTCTTCTAGTTTCTTTGTCGGCTTCTGGATTCTATCCATCAAACTTGCTACTGCATATTCTACTTTTCTATGGAAAATCCTTCAAATTTTGTATATTCATTTGATTCTTTGAATCTCATCCTCCAAAATTTCCTTATTCCCTTCCTTGATCTCAATTGCTGGCTCCATCATAAACTGCTACATGACCCAAGCAGTTTGCTCGCTCTATGTTCTGACTCAAATATTTAAAACAAATTGTCATTTTATCATCTGCCAATTTAAGCCAGTGCTTTTGTTAAGCAAATGTGCGTAATTACAGAACCAGAGTGTAGTTACAGGATGAAAGCTATGCTTGTAGTGTCGCCTACCCAGTGCTTTGTCATACGGCACTTGAAACTCCCAACTGTTTTGACATTCACCACCTCACTTGCTCCAACTGTCTACCACTCTTCACAAAAGAGACCTTTCCAATATTTTTTGGCACTTGTTTCCTTTCTTGAATTAATAACCTCTTGTTCTTGAAGTTGTAGGTTTCAAGAATTCCTCTGTCAATTTTGTTGATTTATGTTAATATTATAAATGCAGTGGTGATATCACCTTTTCCTTATATCTTCTAGTTTATATATTTAACACCTCTAGTCTCTCTTCATAGCTTTTGTTTTTCAGCTCTGGAAGCCATTTAGTAACATGTCTTTGCACCTTTTCTAGTCTACTGATGTTCTTCCCAAGATATGGGCACCTTACATCCACTGCATATTCCAACTTTCGTCTCATAAAGGTCGTGAACGTGTCAGTGTTTGTGCATTCTGTTGCATGTAGGAAAGTGCATAATTTGTGCTATTGGTTTTGTGGAGGGCTTGAGAGTTGGTAACAACCATTCCTCATCTTTCCTAGTAATAGTACAGTGCATATATGTTCTCATGTCTTTGAGTGTGTACTTTATATTGGGGCTAGATTTGCATAATTAAGCTTTAGACAGGTTTGATTAAGTTGAGGATTAGGTTGTTGGTTTTTGTTATGCCCTTTAATATACGAATAGTACAAAAACATGATTTTTGTGGGGGGTGAAAACAGTCTATAACTTTTTACATTCCAGCTGTAGTCACTAAAAGTGTTACTGTACTGTATCATTTTTTGAGGATGGGTTGATTTATGTATAGACATAAACTGTACATAAAATAGTTATACTGTAATTTAAATTTTTTGATTAGCTAAATTTTTTTGTTTGTTCAATCTTTCTTAAAACTGGGTAATACAAAAGTCACTTCATATAGATTACCAAAAGCTGTACTTTTTATATACTATACACTGCTGTACCTCTTTGTGGGATAGTGTATTAAGTGTTTAAACTTTTGCCATTAACTACTGTGTTGTTACTGTTTAAGTCGACTCGCAAGAAATTTTCATTGTCTCTTCTTTCAGAAACCAGTTGTCCTGACAGACACCAGACTCTGTGATACAGCTTTAAAATGGGACTTAGATTATTTAGAAGAAAATATGGGCAGTGATCGGTATATGGTATTTGTTTCTAAAAATCACAAGTTTAAATATTATGATGAGGCAAAGATTAAGCAGTACAAAACCAATTTTGTTCCACCAACTAGAAGAGTTGACATGACATTCTCAGAGTTCGTAAAAAAACTTGAGGAGTGGAAGCCAGGAGATGAAAGGTAAGAATGTAATTTTGCCTAGATTTTATACTGTATTAGGAATATTTGCTCATTGAATTTCTGTTTGTGAGTGTTCATAGTTTTACCCTCAAGGGGATCGATTGTTGTCACCAGTAGTAATCACCTAAGTGTAGTTACAGCAGGATGAGAGCTACACTCTGTGTCCCATCTTCCCAGTACATTTTCTCATATAACGCTTTGAAATTACTGACGGTTTTGGCCTCCACCACCTTCTCACTTAGCTTGCTCTAACCGTCTACCACCCTGTTTACAAAAGTGAATTTTCAAATTTTTTTGGCAGGTTTGTTTAGTTAGCTTAAATCTATGAATTTTTGTTCTTTCAAGTTCCAGATCTCAAGAATTCTTCTTTATCAATTTTGCCGAATCCCATTAATATTTTATATGTAGTGATTGTACATACTGTATACTCTTTTTCTTTTATCTTCTAGTTTTTAGCTAGTTTATTGTGCATTCCATACACATCCTGCAAGTACTGACTAAGCGCCCTTATCCAAATTATATGGAAAAGATCCCCTGCTGGATAAGCCAGACATTTGGATAAGCAGAATTCTTACAGGGGAAGTCCAAAAATAACCATTTTTGCCTTTTTATGTACCACAACCACCATAATTCTTATTTCCACACAGACTATAAATAAAAAATGTAATTTAAAAGAGAAACTTCATTTTACCTTGTTGTAGTTTATCCTCGTGTGTGATACTTTAGATCTTGAAATGTGTAGTTCTTGAAAATTTACGTAACCTAATCTCTGGTTTTGTAGATCTGAGGCAAAGTGAAATTGACACTAGTAATTCCGTCTATCTTCATACTATCACTCAGGAAGACCTACACATTATGGATCATCCAATAAAATCAGCAGACTTCTAAATACTACTGAACGGCTTAGACTCGGTTATAAATACAGTATCTCTGGGAATTTTCATTGTCTGCTGATGTTGATCTGACCAATTGTAAACGGTGTCAATAAAATTATTTGTACACCCTCCATCACTGTGATGGAGTGCGAAAAGATACGTGAATTCAGAGACAATTCTATAACAAATGTTCTAGAGTTGTGTAAATAAATAATTAATTCAAACTGATCTGCTACCAGAAATCTTAGCCAAATATCCCCAGTTTACAGGGCCATCTTAAAATATCCCCAGTTTGCAGGGCCATCTTAACAGCATTATGGGCCCCTGGGTAAACCAGTGTGACAATCACTCACAGGAATAAAAAGTAAATGGTCGATAATATTAAACATAAATTTATTTTATTGGCACTTGGTGTTAAAACCAAAACATGTATTGGCACCAGTAACAAAACTGGTGTTAAAACATTAAAAATATGCTGTAGTGCAGCAACTAATCAACATGATAAACATTTGAACAATACACAAAGCTTGAAAAAAACAATAATACTCAGTAGTACTTATGACCGATTCCCTTTTCCAGGAATTTATGCATTTTGAGATGCTCTGCCAAGAAAGGGTCAAATTCACTCAGCAGCTCTAGTATACTTAAATAGTTGCCATTTTTTGCTGACCCAATAATCTGATTTTCTCCACGAAATGGCAGATCTCTAGAGGCAAAAAAGTGAATTACAGAAACCACACGTGCCAACACTTTGTCAATATTTCTGCTCTGTGCGATGTTGCTCAAGTAATAAAGAATCTACACTTCCAGTTTCTTTACGCCTTATCAAATATGCTGTCATGCACTTTCGATGTTCTTCTCCTTTTCATGTTCTACAATAACATTGCTGTGCCTCCTGTCATTGAACCCAATGTAGTAAAGGAAGATTCTTTCTTGGACTATAGGCGACATACAAAGCAGTACAAACGACCTTGGGATGGTGAATAGAGTAGCCATTCACGTTTTGCATACTCGCCATTCCGCAGTTCACATTTCAACACATTGTTTGATAAATACCTTGCTTTTATATTCTCTACTCTAGCTGTTTTATACACTCTACGTGAGTTTGGAAGGTTGCTATCAGGATTCTGACATGACGAGGGCCAACTACGAATCCAGTAAACTAGTATCATAAATGTTCCATACCCAGGATCTGTCTCTTGGATTGCAAACTACTTTACTGCTACAGATTTGGGTATCTTCTCTTGTAAAATGTCACCAGCAGCAGCAACAGGCAACGATGGTATGTCTGCTGAAACTGGATGATTGGTAGCAGGAATCTATGTAGATGTGGCTCGCCACATATGTCTGTTGCTTAATTTAGAAACTGTACTTATGGTCGATCTCGAGCCCATTGTTAATGTAATGATGTGCACTGAATTTTGCAACTAGCTCATCAAGATTGTAACCTGCTTAGCTGAAGGAATTGTGGGGTTCAGTCCCCGAGCCCATTTGGGCCTCTGTAACCCTTCCGCTACTGTCCACAAGATGGGTATGGGGTGCATAATAAGTGAACGAAACTAAACTGGTTATCTGAATTTGTTCGGATATGGGAAAGTTTGACAGAAAATTATCTGAATTAGATTTTGACCAGATAACCCAAATATTCGGTTTAATGGGCTTAGGATACCGAGCTTATACATTAGTAACCAAAAGAATTATGAAGGTTATAAAAGTTCTTAGTCAGACTTCACTGGATGTTCTGACATTAGCTTTAGCAATTTATCTACACACCTTAGATTTAATTATAATGACTGCCAGGAAAGATAGTAAATGTAAATGTCAAGACAGTAAATCTGCAGCATTTTATCCCAGGTTTTATTCCACAGGACTGTTGACCTTAATGCTGCTAAACTTGTACATAAAATAGTTATACTGTAATTTAAATTTTTTGATTAGCTAAATTTTTTTGTTTGTTCAATCTTTCTTAAAACTGGGTAATACAAAAGTCACTTCATATAGATTACCAAAAGCTGTACTTTTTATATACTATACACTGCTGTACCTCTTTGTGGGATAGTGTATTAAGTGTTTAAACTTTTGCCATTAACTACTGTGTTGTTACTGTTTAAGTCGACTCGCAAGAAATTTTCATTGTCTCTTCTTTCAGAAACCAGTTGTCCTGACAGACACCAGACTCTGTGATACAGCTTTAAAATGGGACTTAGATTATTTAGAAGAAAATATGGGCAGTGATCGGTATATGGTATTTGTTTCTAAAAATCACAAGTTTAAATATTATGATGAGGCAAAGATTAAGCAGTACAAAACCAATTTTGTTCCACCAACTAGAAGAGTTGACATGACATTCTCAGAGTTCGTAAAAAAACTTGAGGAGTGGAAGCCAGGAGATGAAAGGTAAGAATGTAATTTTGCCTAGATTTTATACTGTATTAGGAATATTTGCTCATTGAATTTCTGTTTGTGAGTGTTCATAGTTTTACCCTCAAGGGGATCGATTGTTGTCACCAGTAGTAATCACCTAAGTGTAGTTACAGCAGGATGAGAGCTACACTCTGTGTCCCATCTTCCCAGTACATTTTCTCATATAACGCTTTGAAATTACTGACGGTTTTGGCCTCCACCACCTTCTCACTTAGCTTGCTCTAACCGTCTACCACCCTGTTTACAAAAGTGAATTTTCAAATTTTTTTGGCAGGTTTGTTTAGTTAGCTTAAATCTATGAATTTTTGTTCTTTCAAGTTCCAGATCTCAAGAATTCTTCTTTATCAATTTTGCCGAATCCCATTAATATTTTATATGTAGTGATTGTACATACTGTATACTCTTTTTCTTTTATCTTCTAGTTTTTAGCTAGTTTATTGTGCATTCCATACACATCCTGCAAGTACTGACTAAGCGCCCTTATCCAAATTATATGGAAAAGATCCCCTGCTGGATAAGCCAGACATTTGGATAAGCAGAATTCTTACAGGGGAAGTCCAAAAATAACCATTTTTGCCTTTTTATGTACCACAACCACCATAATTCTTATTTCCACACAGACTATAAATAAAAAATGTAATTTAAAAGAGAAACTTCATTTTACCTTGTTGTAGTTTATCCTCGTGTGTGATACTTTAGATCTTGAAATGTGTAGTTCTTGAAAATTTACGTAACCTAATCTCTGGTTTTGTAGATCTGAGGCAAAGTGAAATTGACACTAGTAATTCCGTCTATCTTCATACTATCACTCAGGAAGACCTACACATTATGGATCATCCAATAAAATCAGCAGACTTCTAAATACTACTGAACGGCTTAGACTCGGTTATAAATACAGTATCTCTGGGAATTTTCATTGTCTGCTGATGTTGATCTGACCAATTGTAAACGGTGTCAATAAAATTATTTGTACACCCTCCATCACTGTGATGGAGTGCGAAAAGATACGTGAATTCAGAGACAATTCTATAACAAATGTTCTAGAGTTGTGTAAATAAATAATTAATTCAAACTGATCTGCTACCAGAAATCTTAGCCAAATATCCCCAGTTTACAGGGCCATCTTAAAATATCCCCAGTTTGCAGGGCCATCTTAACAGCATTATGGGCCCCTGGGTAAACCAGTGTGACAATCACTCACAGGAATAAAAAGTAAATGGTCGATAATATTAAACATAAATTTATTTTATTGGCACTTGGTGTTAAAACCAAAACATGTATTGGCACCAGTAACAAAACTGGTGTTAAAACATTAAAAATATGCTGTAGTGCAGCAACTAATCAACATGATAAACATTTGAACAATACACAAAGCTTGAAAAAAACAATAATACTCAGTAGTACTTATGACCGATTCCCTTTTCCAGGAATTTATGCATTTTGAGATGCTCTGCCAAGAAAGGGTCAAATTCACTCAGCAGCTCTAGTATACTTAAATAGTTGCCATTTTTTGCTGACCCAATAATCTGATTTTCTCCACGAAATGGCAGATCTCTAGAGGCAAAAAAGTGAATTACAGAAACCACACGTGCCAACACTTTGTCAATATTTCTGCTCTGTGCGATGTTGCTCAAGTAATAAAGAATCTACACTTCCAGTTTCTTTACGCCTTATCAAATATGCTGTCATGCACTTTCGATGTTCTTCTCCTTTTCATGTTCTACAATAACATTGCTGTGCCTCCTGTCATTGAACCCAATGTAGTAAAGGAAGATTCTTTCTTGGACTATAGGTGACATACAAAGCAGTACAAACGACCTTGGGATGGTGAATAGAGTAGCCATTCACGTTTTGCATACTCGCCATTCCGCAGTTCACATTTCAACACATTGTTTGATAAATACCTTGCTTTTATATTCTCTACTCTAGCTGTTTTATACACTCTACGTGAGTTTGGAAGGTTGCTATCAGGATTCTGACATGACGAGGGCCAACTACGAATCCAGTAAACTAGTATCATAAATGTTCCATACCCAGGATCTGTCTCTTGGATTGCAAACTACTTTACTGCTACAGATTTGGGTATCTTCTCTTGTAAAATGTCACCAGCAGCAGCAACAGGCAACGATGGTATGTCTGCTGAAACTGGATGATTGGTAGCAGGAATCTATGTAGATGTGGCTCGCCACATATGTCTGTTGCTTAATTTAGAAACTGTACTTATGGTCGATCTCGAGCCCATTGTTAATGTAATGATGTGCACTGAATTTTGCAACTAGCTCATCAAGATTGTAACCTGCTTAGCTGAAGGAATTGTGGGGTTCAGTCCCCGAGCCCATTTGGGCCTCTGTAACCCTTCCGCTACTGTCCACAAGATGGGTATGGGGTGCATAATAAGTGAACGAAACTAAACTGGTTATCTGAATTTGTTCGGATATGGGAAAGTTTGACAGAAAATTATCTGAATTAGATTTTGACCAGATAACCCAAATATTCGGTTTAATGGGCTTAGGATACCGAGCTTATACATTAGTAACCAAAAGAATTATGAAGGTTATAAAAGTTCTTAGTCAGACTTCACTGGATGTTCTGACATTAGCTTTAGCAATTTATCTACACACCTTAGATTTAATTATAATGACTGCCAGGAAAGATAGTAAATGTAAATGTCAAGACAGTAAATCTGCAGCATTTTATCCCAGGTTTTATTCCACAGGACTGTTGACCTTAATGCTGCTAAACTTCCTCCAACAGAGCATACTTGCAGCAGGGTCTGAACAATACCGTTGGACAAGGTATTGTGATGGACTTTTTGAAGTTTAACTGGCAGTGGCTTAATGTTCAGCAGAAGAGAAACAACTGGGGTCCCCTCACATCTAATCTCCTACTTGTTGGCATGGAAGGTTAGATCCACTCAACGTATAAACTTTCCAAACATTTTTATATACCCTGTATTCGTTTTTTTGTCATTTATTCTACTTGAAGTACAGTACTTTTACAATAGAATGCCTGTCATGTGGGTAAATTGTATAATTCCCATTGTTGGGACAAAAAGCCTATACTAGTACTTAAGGCCTGTTGAGGTCTTTCCTGGGTCAATTACTGACCCTTCCCAGGATGCATCCCACAACAATTGCCTAACTTCTTGGTACCAATTACTGTACCTAACAGATGCATCAGGTGAAAGGAAACATGCCCAACCACTTGGCCTTCCCGGGGATTGAACCCGAGTCCCTCAGTTGCAAGTTAAGGATGCAGAGTATTGTGCTACAGTAAGTAACCAGAATATTTTTCTCAACTAATCTGCAATGGTATAAAAGTGGTACCAAATATATAATAAACACTGCAGCATAAATTTACAATGTTGGTTTTGATAGTGTATAATATTTGTCCTGAATACTGTATTTCAATTACAGGTTATTTACCTTCAGACAGGGCATCCTTAACATTAATACAGTGGTTAGCACTGTTGAATCACTGTCATTTGGACCCAAGTTCTATTTCATGGTAGGATAAGGTGTTTAGCCAGGCTTCCTTACACCTGATACTTCTGTTCACCTTGCAGTAAATAGGTACCCAGAAGTCGAGGCAAATGTTATGGGTCATTGGAGACCCCTCAATAAGCCTAACAAGCTTCCTGTTGCTGGTGATGGCAAACCATTTACTAATGAATTTAGTTTTACATGTGGGCTTCACACATGTGTGAAGCCTGTGTGATAATATTGATTATGCTAATAATAAAACATAATAATTTATGAAATAAATCATCTTCAAGTAATTTTACTTAGAAATCAAACAATGAAATTGTATACAATAGAACTCAGGCATTGAGATTTAAGACATGTATAACTGTCAAAATTTGACCTTAGATTAAAAGATCTTTGGTCATAAACTGCAGTGAAAGAGCTCTGGTATAATTGAATGGTAAATTGCCAAAGCAGTTTTATTTCATTACATAAATTTTAGTAAAAAAAACACAGGGTAAAAAGATAGTTATACAGTATGGTACTGTATTGTACTTGCTTTCAGAAACAAATTAATATTTATTATTGGGAATATTTATTGAAACTGGTTCACTGTAAAGTGCAGTATTTCTGTTTACAAATATTATATATATATGGGCTTCTTTATAGGTTTCCCTTTTATCAGCTGTCACATTTAGTTTGCACCCTAGGTATAATTTCTTATGTCAGTACAGTAGTCTTAGAGTTGTGAACAGTCATGCAGAGAGAAATCCTGGCATCGTCATCACAGGGAATTTTCAGATGTTCACTGCAGGATTAAACAAAATGCTAAGGGTCACTTGAGATTACTCAATCCAGCTCAGACTGACCAACAGACTTGTGCAATTAGTAAAACTTGAAGTCTTTCCAAGTCCAATTTTGACACTACAAGTAACTGGCAACAGTGTGTCCCCTTCTAACAGCTTGCTTATTTGCCCACGAACCTCTTTTTCCGGTAACCAGGTGGCAGCATCAGGTGCGACTGAGAGTTCTAAGACCCGGAGTTTCCCAAATGATCCCTGACTGAAACCTGATTTCTGAGCTCTTGCATTCATTTTTCTCTTAAGTGTTTTCAGCAGACGAAAACATAAACCAGAAATGTTCAGAGTAAAATTCACTTGTAATTCAGAGCAATGTAAAAGCCCCATTCTAGGTTTCCAAGGCCTGGCACATGTGGTGATGTGTAAAGCTAATGGAATAAAAAGCACCCTGCAACTCCTAAGTACACCAGATTAGATAACCTCTAATCTGTCCCTAAGTAAATCATTAGCTTTACACATCACCACATAGCTGTGTGCCAGGTCTTGGGAACCTGGAATGGGGCTTAGGTGACTTGCCCCATAAGAGACTTGCTTCCTTGTATTGTGAAAATATAATTGTTAATTTTAAAAAACCTGTTACTGTTTAATTTAATTATCTACTTTTTGCTTAAGATCATGAATTAGCTTTACTTTATTAAGTAAAGTATTTTATAAATATTTATAAAGTAATATTACTTTATTACTTAAGAGTGTAATTTCCAGTGCAGGTAAGGTGAACTAAAGCCAGAAAAATATATTTTGTTTATAATTCTAGGTAATGTGACTCCTGTGCATTATGACGAGCAACAGAACTTCTTCTGCCAGTTGATTGGTTACAAAAGGTGCATACTTTTTGCACCAGAGCATTATAGTCATCTCTATCCATACCCAGTGTATCACCCACATGATCGACAGTCTCAGGTAAACTTAACACTGTAACACTTTTAAGTATTCCTGATAAGGATACCTTATGATTTTGTTATGTTTATTATGTTTTATTGTTCTCTTTCCATGAAGCTTTTAACTTGGGTATGCCTTATCTTATTTGGAAACTAATAACGGTAATGTATGACAAACAGTAGAATTTCCTATTAAATGTGAGCTATATAGCCCAGTGGTGACAACCTTTATATATTTTGTAATTTACATTTATCATGGTCTACTTACAATATAAAACTAAGCTTCATATTGGTATTGGGCAATGTAGCCACCAAGAAACCATTTTTAGTCAAAAGGGAAAAGGGGCTATCTTCCCGTAGGAAGAAACTAAGCATCCCTTTGCAAATAGTACAGGTAGTATAAAAATTATGAAAATATAGATAGAATTACAAATAAGGGTTTAGAGCTACAAGAATAGTTGGGGAACTGCACTCTCATATTATACCAGTTATGGAGACAAAAACAGATAAGCTGCATAATTACATACTATATTTCGAACGGGATTGCAAGATCTAAGGAAGTAAAGGAAGGATTAGCCCTACTGATACAAAAATATTAATCATTTGTATAGACATAATACATTGCTTTATTTATGTTTGCATTGGTTGAGTTTTTTAATTCATGTAGATATAGTTAATTTGAAGACCAATACTATTAAGAGTAAATGCACTTACAGTTAAAACTAGATCTTCATGACTTGTCAGGAATCCTTGACTCCTGTCCTCTGGACAATTTTTCTAACACATGTATGGTTCTGTCACGAGTCATTGTTGCTGGTATCGGAGGCAAATTACAAGGAAAAATATTATCATCACTAGGTTTCTCATTTTAATCGGTTCAGGAGGCATTAGCCAGGAGAAAAGGAAAAAGAAAGTTGTATTGTATTACAGTACGTACTGTATATGCATCTAAAAACTTTAAATGTTTACCAAATTGGCTCTCAATATTTAAATTATCCAAAAATTACTAGTAAGCATATTAGTAGTAAAATTTGTGAATATCATAATACTGTATTAGTATTTTTTCGATTCCTTCCTTCCTTTTGTTTTACTTAGTTGTATACAGTATATCTCTATGTTAAAAAAAAGGATGCTAATAGATTTTACATACGAATTAACAAAACAAATTTTCCTTAGGTTGACTTTGATGAACCTGATGCTGAGAAGTTTCCAGGTCTTGAACATCTGCAAGGGGTGGAGGCGGTAGTGGGTCCTGGTGATGTCCTCTATATACCCATGTACTGGTGGCATCACATAGAGAGCTTGCCAAATCTTAGTCATACAGTTTCTGTCAACTTCTGGTATAAGGTAGGTTAATAATAAAAACTATCTCCTCACTGCATTGATTGCAGAAGCCTATCGGATGTTTATAAACGGGTAGAAAATTTGATCATCCCTATAATTTGTTGCCTTTTGGGAACTTTGGGAAAAGGGGTATGAACTCTTTATTGGCGCAGCCATTAAAGTCTTATGTCGTGACTAAAAATAGTTCACTAATGAAATTGGGGAAAATCACATATGATGATTGGAGCACAGCACATAATTGCAATGTAAGGGTTAATACATATGATCATATATTCTTCCATTTTGTATAACCACTTCATGGGTTAAAGGTTAATGGGTTGACAATGGCACTCATAATAATTTAGAAAATTATAAGTCCATTTCCAGTATTTCACTAAACATTAAAATGTCTTATCAAAATAAAATGTCATGCTTCAAAAAATTACTTTAGTAAAACAAATTTTACCTAATTTATTATAAATTCAAAATTTAATTGTAATAGGCTAATTATTCACAGCAAATTATGTACCATTTTAAGAAAACCCTTCCTCTTTCATTATTACTAAATAAAACATAAATTATTTATATTATTATGCTAGAGGTGATGGTCATGGTGGTGGATGCTGCTCTTGACTACCATAGCTAGTAATCATCTTATAGTTGTGTCCCCTCCTCCCTCCTATTGATAAACCAGCACCACCACACTTGAACATTCAACACCATCACCTCCCCTGTCCCTTTCTTCAGACTAGGTCTACAGTACTACTCATAAATTGTCTCCTGCCATCTCATGTGGTGTTTTCACTCAATGTCCATATTAGTCAATTATTTTCCTTGCATTTTCTTTGTCTGACAGCCACATTACCTAAAGTTTAGTAGTCTTTCTTGTATATTAATCACATATATGCTTTCTCATGACATGTAGCTGAATTCTATTCAAGATCTGAATTCAAGATCAGAAGAATTTGTCAGTATTTATGAAGTAAACATTTCTTAAGCAATTGTCAGTAGTACCTTAACATTATTTCAAACTCATTGAAATTATTTCCACTACACCTACCACCGTAACTGACAGTGGGAAATCTGCTCTTTTGAGGTTATGTATTGGGCATAAACGTCTTGTTCACGGACATTTAATGGAACGCCGTCCTGCTCCTTACTGTCCAAACTGCCTTGTCCCTCTTACAGTCGGGCATCTCCTTGTTGAATTCCTGATTTTCAGGATGTTCGTGTGTCTTTCTTCGCAACTGTCCCTTAATAGAATCCTTTGTCCCTCGATAAACTCTCTTGTAATTCCAATTCCTTTGATTTTATTCACCTTGTGCGCTTTTGGTTTTGTATTATCATCCTCGGTGATATTTAGCGCCTTTTGAATATCGATCAATGCTGATAGTGCTACACAGTCTTCCCTGCTTGGTGCCATCTTATGATAACTTCACTACATAGGCTCTCTTTCATTACATAAACATATGTCTTGGCAATTGTTGGGATTGACGGCTATCTTGATTGGTCTGTTTTGTCATGCTGTAGTTTTTTGATTGGTCTGTTTTGTCATGCTGTAGTTTTTGAAGTAAATGGTTCACATCTTTGTTTAGAATTCACAATAGTATTTTGGTGAAAGTGGGTTTTTAAGTTAGAGATGAGCCATGTGCAAAATTTAGTCAAATATTTGTAAAGATATTAGGAAAGTTTAGGTTTGGTATTTTGTATCTATATGAATAAATATTAGTACAGGTGTAGCATAAACATTAGAGGTCAGTTTTTCAGGTGCGATACCTGCCTCAAATGCGTACCTGTATCTGTAGAGTATTTTTGTTTATAGTTTGAATAAAAAATATTTTTAAGATCAGGCAAATTGTGGTGTTTATTTGCTCACATTCTTACATATATTGAATAATAGCTAAAATTACTGAAAGGAGGTCAATTAAGTACAATATACGATATACATTTCAGGGAGGCCCAACGGAGAAGATAGAATATCCCCTCAAACCACGACAAAAATTGGCTGTCATGCGCAATGTTGAAAAGATGTTACTAGAAGCCCTGAAAGATCCAGCAGAAGTGGGACCTCTTCTGCGTTCACTCGTGATTGGCAGATATACTGGTGAAGAAGCAGAGCAGCAGGAAGCAAAGCTGTAATTTGGTGCTATTTAGACTAGTGATTTGTGAAATAATTTTGTGTTTTGGTACCTGTAATAAAATGGTGGAGTTACTATCGTACAGAAATATTGATTTTGTATATGGTAATAGCTTTAGAAATCACAGATATATTTCCTTGGCTTTATAATGTGAATATTTATAATGCTTATTAACCACTGTGCTGCGTGTCTTTTATTGTGACATTCTGGTGGTGCGCCGAAATTGAAGCGCTCCCCCCCCCCTCCTCCCAATTCTATTTTATTTGGATATTTTTCAATTTTCTTCCCTAAACATGTACACGTAAAATTAAAAAAAAAAATTTGGCTGTGGCAACGTAGAGAGTATGTGGCGTGACGTCACCAGAACATGATCACCCATGCAGGAAGTCCACAGAGGTGGTCGCGCAGGTGATTCAAGACTCGTGAGTTGCCACAAATTTATTTTCATTCATTTTTTCAATGCATTTTCATTGCTTTCTAATTTTAGAAAGATACTTTCTAAAATAAGCATCTAAGATAAGTATCTAAGATACTTTTTTATTGTATCTGATGCACATTTGTGTCCTTTACAATATGTACACAGTAGAACATTCATATTGTTCCAAGTAACTGTTTATTTACAATATGAACACACACTATTTACAGTCACACACTGTATTACACACTCAGTACTTCGGAGTGTGTGTCACGAAGGAAGGCCTGCTTCTTTCATGACCCAGCAGAAGGAAGAGTAATAATTATTCATTAATTATAATATTATTATTATTATAATAATTCTAATAATAATTGTTGTAGTTAATAATTATTACCCTTCATTTTGCTGGGTCATAAAGGAAGCCGGCCTCAGGTGAAAGGGGGCTGTGACGATCTCTGTCTGGAACCCATAGGTGCGGGGCTCGGACGTCCACCTCCTGGCGCTCATGTGGCCCAAGGTCTGCTTCAGGAGGCTGGGATCATTCTTGCCCTTGCTGGGGTGGTTATTCTCCGGCCCCGACCACGGTGGTCTCCAGGTTTGGAGTCCCTGTGCCTTCTTTTACCAACTTCGGGGTAAACTCCAGAGCTGGAGCCCCTAGGGCAGTTTGTTGTTGCCTGCAACCTCGTTCTGACAGTTCCTGAGACAGTGCTGGAATCAATCGTATTGGTCCTTTCCATTGGAGACTTTCAGCACCATGGAGAGGGGGGACCTGCTGCACGAGTGACGGCTTCTTCCCTGTATCGACCTACTCTGGCTTTACGTCCTGGAGAGTCTACCCCAGACCGACAACCAGCATGCAACTCCATAGTCTCCCGAGACTGATGGATGCCTACTATCACTACTACTACTTGGGAAGCAAGTGATAATCAAAGCAGCAGTCCATGATACACAGCGCGACTTTGCACTCGATGCATCAGGTACACACATTTTCTCTTCCTGTTTCTTTGTTGTGTGCGCTTACAAAAAATGCACTCTTGTACACCTTTGGCTTTAGTTCCTGTAGGTGGTATGTAGCCAAGCCTGTGAAGTGTAAGGTAGTCAGAAAAAACTAGAGATTCATCAATGACTAAATTCTGTCCTGGTACAAAGTAATCGCAAAATTTTCGTCTGATACCTGTCTCGTGACATGTACCTGTTGAACACTGGGCTTGGAACAGCGCTCCGGTAGGCGCGCACAACTCCAGGGACTGATGACGCCAAACTAATATGGCACACGTGAGTTTGGATAGCTTCAGGGAGCCTCCGGGGCTCACCCCAGAAAATGGCATTTCGTTACATTCAACGCTGGTTATTTAACGAATGTTAAATAAAATTTAATTGGGTGTAAAATATTTATATTTACCCCACACATTAAAAAGACACGAAGATGTGATGAAATTTCAGTCGATCCTTGACCAGCAAGTGGAAACTTTTCTTATTTGATGATTATCTTTGATGGACCATAACAGTCACACTATCATCACTTTGATTTTTGTGTTGAGATTTTGTAATGAATCAATAACTGTCTAATTATATACTGTATGTATGTGTAATTATATATATATATATATATATATATATATATATATATATATATATATATATATATATATATATATATATATATATATATATATATATATATATATATAAATAATACACACATACATATGTATGTGTATACATATGTATATATATATACACACACACACACACACACACACACACACACACACACACACACACACACACACACACACATAAAGCAAGCCACAAGAATGAGGGAAGGAGATATACCGTCAGTACTGGATCTAGTATTCACCAGGAAAGAAGAAGAGATTTTTGACATCCAGTACCTTCCTCCCTTGGGAAAGAGTGATCACGTCCTGTTAGACATTAAATATGCTTTAAGATATCATCTAGAAGAAAATGGGGACATTGAAACAGTTGATAAACTCGATTTAAAGAGAGGCAACTATGGGGAACTTCGAAATTTTTTTAATGAGTGTAATTGGACAGAATTGTTGCTAGGCAGGGAAGTAAATGAAATGTATGCCAAATTTTTAAAACTATACGAGGAAGGCACACAAACATTCATACCAAAACAGAGATGCAGGACCAGAAAACAGGATTGGTTCGACAGAAATTGTGAGAGGGCAAGAGACCAAAAGACACAAAAATGGAATCGGTATAGGAAGAGGCCAAACCCCCAAACATACCAGCGATACAAAGATGCGAGAAACAATTATACAGCAGTAAGGAGAGAGGCAGAAAGAAATTTTGAAAAAGGGATAGCAGATAAATGTAAAACAGAACCGGGCCTATTCTACAAATTCATAAACAACAAATTGCAGGTAAAGGATAATATCCAGAGGTTGAAAATGGGAAACAGATTCACGGAAAATGAAAAGGAAATGTGTGAAACATTAAATGAAAAGTTCCAAAGTGTGTTTGTACAAAATGAAATCTTCAGAGAACCAGACACAATAAGAATTCCAGAGAACAACATAGAGCGGATAGAGGTGTCTAGAGATGAAGTGGAAAATATGCTAAAGGAGCTCGGGAGGAACAAAGCAGCTGGCCCAGATGGCGTTTCACCATGGGTTCTGAGAGAATGTGCATCTGAGCTCAGCATTCCACTTCACCTGATCTTTCAGGCATCCCTGTGTACAGGAATCGTAGCAGACGTGTGGAAACAGGCTAACATAGTTCCAATCTACAAAAGTGGCAGCAGGGAAGACCCCCTCAATTATAGACCTGTATCATTGACAAGTGTAATAGTGAAAGTATTGGAAAAGCTAATCAAAACTAAATGGGTAGAACACCTGGAGAGAAATGATATAATATCAGACAGACAGTATGGTTTTCGATCAGGAAGATCCTGTGTATTGAATTTACTCAGTTTCTATGATCGGGCCACAGAGATATTACAGGAAAGAGATGGCTGGGTTGACTGCATCTATCTGGACCTAAAAAAGGCTTTCGACAGAGTTCCACATAAGAGGTTGTTCTGGAAACTGGAAAATATTGGAGGGGTGACAGGTAAGCTTCTATCATGGATGAAAAATTTTCTGACTGATAGAAAAATGAGGGCAGTAATCAGAGGCAATGTATCGGAATGGAGAAATGTCACAAGTGGAGTACCACAGGGTTCAGTTCTTGCACCAGTGATGTTTATTGTGTACATAAATGATCTACCAGTTGGTATACAGAATTATATGAACATGTTTGCTGATGATGCTAAGATAATAGGAAGGATAAGAAATTTAGATGATTGTTATGCCCTTCAAGAAGACCTGGACAAAATAAGTATATGGAGCACCACCTGGCAAATGGAATTTAATGTTAATAAATGTCATGTTATGGAATGTGGAATAGGAGAACATAGACCCCATACAACCTATATATTATGTGAGAAATCTTTAAAGAATTCTGATAAAGAAAGAGATCTAGGGGTGGTTCTAGATAGAAAACTATCACCTGAGGACCACATAAAGAATATTGTGCAAGGAGCCTATGCGATGCTTTCTAACTTCAGAATTGCATTTAAATACATGGATGGCGATATACTAAAGAAATTGTTCATGACTTTTGTTAGGCCAAAGCTAGAATATGCAGCTGTTGTGTGGTGCCCATATCTTAAGAAGCACATCAACAAACTGGAAAAGGTGCAAAGACATGCTACGAAGTGGCTCCCAGAACTGAAGGGCAAGAGCTACGAGGAGAGGTTGGAAGCATTAAACATGCCAAAACTAGAAGACAGAAGAAAAAGAGGTGATATGATCACTACGTACAAAATAGTAACAGGAATTGATAAAATCGACAGGGAAGGATTCCTGAGACCTGGCACTTCAAGAACAAGAGGTCATAGATTTAAACTAGCTAAACACAGATGCCGAAGAAATATAAGGAAATTCACCTTCGCAAATAGAGTGGTAGACGGTTGGAACAAGTTAAGTGAGAAGGCGGTGGAGGCCAAGACCGTCAGTAGTTTCAAAGCGTTATATGACAAAGAGTGCTGGGAAGACGGGACACCACGAGCGTAGCTCTCATCCTGTAACTACACTTAGGTAATCACACTTAGGTAATTACACACACACAGTATATATATATAATATAGAATGGCAAACCCATCATCTTGGAATTTCATTCAATGTATCTTTACATATGTATTATAGTGTTGATTGTACACCACATCATATGTAACATATAAACATTTATATGCAGTATATCAAGTATGTGAATGATTAAATTTTCATTGTTTATTAGCATTATAAATCTATAAGCACTAAGTGCCTAGAGGCATGTCTGTTCATATTGAGAGCTTTTTTGATATGTTCTCTGACATTTTTATTTGACATTTTATTTCTACTAATGTGCAGATATTAAAAATAATTAGGACAGTTGTGGTATTGTTCATTGGGAATCACAAAATTTATTACTATTGTACCTTGAAATATCAAATACGCTACAATTAAAGATGCTTTTTTTTTTTTTTTTGCCTGTAATTTGTCTAGCTAGTAACCTTTGTTTATGGAAAATCTCTACCAAAATTCAGGATTAAGATGCATCTTTTAAATATATTTTTGTAGATGGGACTATCACATTAAGAAGAAACTGTTGTGGCAGACACTTGAGTGAATACAGTAGACTTGTTAATAGTTCTCACTGGCAAATGTTATTTGTACAAGATATGTACCACAGTGCCCACTCAGGGAGAAGGTGCCCTCTGTCTTGAGAATTCCATACAATTTTAATTTTATTTCTGCATGTACACACTTCTTAGTGTAAGCAAGTGGCTGCTGCTTCAGTCACACGATGACCAAATGGGCACGATAAATACTTTTAATAATATTGTAATGTTGTTCTTCAGGGGTCCTGAGCAGTCAAAAATTATTTAAATATTTAAGATACAGTATATTCCTTCTTCTAGAAGGAAGAAAATTCCCACAGGTAAGTTGTGAAACAACAAACTACTGTCTAAATCAAAGTTGCACTGTAATACATAAAACTGTGTGTGCACTAGCCAATTGTCATATTCTAACCTCATAGAATGGGGAAGAATTTACAATTACTGTCACATTTAGTAGGCTTAGAGAGATACTGCAAATTACTAGTTATTTAAAACAAATTTAAAAGTGCAGTACATATTCTGTTCATTTCTATAAAAAATAATGTTTGCCTTTTTCATGTAAATGATTTTCACCTATAAATGTCTATATATATAATAATTAATTATATTTTATATTTATGTGTTAAAATATTTGTTTTCACATACAGGTACACACCAATTTTATAAGTGCTGGTTAGATTTTAGTGAACTTGAATTTAGTCTTCCGGGCTAGGCACCTTTTAATAATTGCTTACATAGCTTGGGTATGGTTTCATGTGCATTAAGTTACGATGCAATGGAAACACACACATACTGTATGTGTTTCAAAGAAAAAGAAAATTCTCTGGTGAATGAAAACTTTGGCATAATATGATGATAGCATTACTATTATTGTTTGTGACATCATAGTTTTTAAAATTCCACCTTGGCAAGTACTTTATAATAATGAACTTGCAGTGGATGTTCGAAAACTATTTTTCCTAAAACTCTCAAATTCTTTAGCACCGTCTTCCTTTTGTTTACTTTTTTCCTGCCCCTCCCACAAATTTGTTGGTGTGCATATGTAAATTTATTTATTTATTTACATTTCATTTACAAAAAAAGAAAAGTAGCCATCACACTTTTACTTGTATAGTACAGTCAAATACCTTACATCAGATGTGTTTGAGACGAGAGGTTTCATATAATGTTCCAGTTTATCTGAAATCAGAGATGTATATTACACCCCCAGCATTTACTATTAAGTAAATTTAGTGTTTAAGTCCCAGTAATTTAGTGCCCCAGTGTTAAGTCCAAACACTTGGGCTGGATGGTAGCTAACGGTCTTGCTTCATGCAGGTCGGCGTTCAATCCCCGACCGTCCAAGTAGTTGGGCACCATTCCTTTCCCACCCGTCCCATCCCAAATCCTTATCCTGGTCCCTTCCAAATGCTATATAGCCGTAATGGCTTGGCGCTTCCCCTTGATAATTCCCTTCCCTTCCCCAGCATTTACTTGTACTGTACAATACTGTACAATGAATATAAATCAAAAGATGATGAAATATTGTATGACCTTGTAGTATAATTCAGTAAATGTATGACATGTTACTCATGAATTGCTGTGATGCAGGAAAGTGACAAATTTGCTTCCAAGTTAAAAGGTTGATGTAGTGCAGTTAAAATTTTGTTCTGTTCTCAACTCTTCCACTGTGGCATTTATTTGAGGACTGCCAAGGCCCACAAAAAAAAAAAAATTATGAAAATATAAATTGAGAAAATTTAGTGGAGCACACTATAGGTAGAATATGGATTAATAGTCTTACAGGCTTGGTGTCATATTTTTATAATTACTTAACACAAGTTCAAGGTAAAAAAACTATTAACATTGAATATCATGCCTCACTGCTGCGGGGGCGAGACTGAAAGGTGACATGTTTTCGTGACCAAGGTTAATGGGGGACTGATCCCATCCCAAGTTCATCCAATCTAGGTCACAATATTCCCAGAGACCTCTGGTGGTCACATTTCCAACCATACATATATCAACTTTATCACTATAGCGTCCCACATGTCTGGACATTCACAGGAGCAATCCCTCCACACCCCAAACACATTAATGACACTCAGGTTTGTGCTTCTCAGTGGAAGGGATAAATACTGTTAGGTTTTCTTGAATGGCTTCATCTTAAAAGTGTTAAAGAATTCAAATATCTTTTGTTACAAGCTATTTTCTTCATGTGGGGGATAAGTCCAGTGTGTTCATCAGTATCACTTAATCCAGTTGCAGTAATTATGGAACCACCACTAATTCAAGTTTCACTAGTCTTGTTAGAGCGACGTAATGGTACATTAATTTCATGTGACCAACCTCTGTTAATATTTTGTCTGATTGTTAATGTATTGTTTCTTGTATAATGCATTCTTCATTCAAATTAAGGTGTTTTTTTTATCTTTGAATCCTTGAAAGTTGTACTTGCCTTAATAATCATCAAACAGCATTCTGGTCCAGATATTTTGCAAATATTTCTTATGGGTAGGAGATGTTACACTATTATCCATTCACAAGTTCAGCTTTAATTGTAAAAGCTTTTTTGAACTGTTTATATCAATTGGTCCATGAAAGTTTACCATTTGCATAGGAATTCAGTGCAATATTTACATTCTATACAAAGTGTGATTCCCTGCTCCAAAGACTGGATCAGCCAAGTATAATTATAATATCAAATAAACAGATTTAAACTATTTCACACACATTAGACGAGGAGGGGAAGTAGTCATATTTGTTAGGGAAAATTTGAAATGTAGTCCCAAAGAGGGAATCAAAACTGAGCCCCACACAGCTGTTTGGCTAGAATTAAACGAAAAAGCTAAAAATCTTATAATAGGAGCTATATACAGGCCACCAAACTTAGAATGGAAGGAAATGTCTAGAGTATCTAGGTCTAACAGTATTTGTGTCATGGGTGACTTTAATTTTAATGGAATACTCTGGCTTAACAAAATGGAATAATGAAGCAGAATTCTAGAATTAATTGACGATTGCTTCTTTAAGCAACACATTAAGGAACCAACTTGGGAAAAATAATATTTTAGACTGTTAACTAACCGGGAGAGAGACATTATGTAATGACATTGAAACAGATATAGCATAGAATGTAATAGATTTGTAGGAGAAAATTCTGGTAAAGTGCCAGATTTCAGAAAAGCTGGTTTTAATAGCCTAAGAAATTTTTTGGGTGAAATAGATTGGAAAGTCCTTGGCATGGGGGGGGTGGCGGTCTTATAGCAAGACGTCAACCTAGTGATAGTAAAAATGGCGGAATTGGCTTCGATCATTTGGCTGATAAAGCCAACTGGTGGCTCTACATGATACTGGTGACACTAACACTAGCTGCCTGCATTACAAAAGACGTTACGCCAGCTGGCGGCTGTACATCAGATGTAGGTGGTGCCAGATGGTGGTTATACATCAGATGTAGGTGGCGCCAGATGGTGGTTCTACATCAGATGTAGGTGGCACCAGATGTTGGTTATACATCAGATGTAGGTGGCGCCAGATGGTGGTTCTACATCAGATGTAGGTGGCACCAGATGTTGGTTATACATCAGATGTAGGTGGCGCCAGATGGTGGTTATACATCAGATGTAGGTGGTGCCAGATGGTGGTTATACATCAGATGTAGGTGGCGCCAGATGGTGGTTATACATCAGATGTAGGTGGCGCCAGATGGTGGTTATACATCAGATGTAGGTGGCGCCAGATGGTGGTTATACATCAGATGTAGGTGGCGCCAGATGGTGGTTATACATCAGATGTAGGTGGTGCCAGATGGTGGTTCTACAATAGATGTAGGTGGCGCCAGATGGTGGTTCTTCATGAGATGTAGGTGGTGCCAGATGGTGGTTCTACATCAGATGTAGGTGGGGCTAGATAGTTCTACATTAGATGTAGGTGGAGCCAGATTTTGGTTCCACATCAGATGCAGGTGGCGCCAGCTGGCGGCTCTACATAAAATACAGGTGGGGCCAGGTGACGGCACTACACGTGACTAATTTCAGAAGTTAAATGATCACAAACGACTATCAGGTGTCAGGTACTTTAACTCGAGCATTTAGTTATTGTATTAGGAAATAACAAAAAATCTGCTTTGAGTAATAACTAATTTGAAGTCAAATTATTTGTTACATACATTTGCAGCCACTTAGATACATACACTGAGAGCCACTGTAATTTAAGACTAAATGCTGTAACTGAGGAGACCCAGATCTGGCACTATGTTCTCAAGGTAATATTAGGCGAGTACACACACACAGCGTCTGTGTTATATCCAAATATATCAATATACAAATCTATATAACAATACACCAGTCAGCTTTTATTGCTTCACTCTATAATGTCATGCTTCCTCAGCAGGACACAAGCCATATGTTAAGGAGAGGTGGAGAGGGAGTCACTCTTATACAAGCTCATACAAGTTTATAACTATATGTAATTATACCCGTATAGTCAGTCGTTCACTAAGCGTTAGGCTGTGATACTCATGCTAAAGCATTGTTGATGTGAGGAAACTGAGTGCCCAAATGAGCCACAGAGATATTAGAAAGAACTTTTTTAGTGTCAGAGTAGTTGACAAATGGAATGCATTAGGCAGTGATGTGGTGGAGGCTGACTCTATACACAGTTTCAAACGTAGATATGAGAGCCCAATAGGCTCAGGACCCTGTACATCAGTTGAGAGGCGGGACCAATGAGTCAGAGCTCAACCCCCGCAAGCACAACTAGGGGAGTACACACACACATCCTCTCAGCCGATTGGACTGAGTGCCCGAGTTATATTCCCGAACAAGGCAAAAAGAAATGCAGTTTCTTTCATCTGACATCTCTCAGATGAAAGATGGTAATGCTCACCTAGCAGTAAAAAATAGTACCAGAAAGTTTGGCAGCTGCTTCGGGCTGCATTCTGGGCATGTATGTGAGAGAGAGAAATATGTAGAAGATGTAATAGAAGACTCAAATATAATAAGGTTGGGAATCAGTACATTCGACAACATATAGTTAGAAAAGCGGGGACCAAGAGCTAACAGCTGGATACTGTAGGTACAAATAGTAAATACAAACCTCACATCTTGCGTGTCACACACAAATTTAGTCGTGGACCCCAAAAGACTCCATATATTGATAATCAATGAAGCACCTTTTTCACTAACTGTAAATACTATTGTTTTTAAATCCGTGCAATGTTGGGTTAGTCAGAGACCATTTAAGAGCGCAGCTGTGTCATCAATAACAGATACGAAGTGACGAGGCTACCGGTGGTGGCCCTTGCACCCTGTCGTGGCCCCCAGTGTCCGGAGAGGACGCAAGAAGTGTAGAGAAGACGCAAGAAGCATGGAGAGGACGCAATAAGTGTGGAGAGGACACAAGAAGTGTTGAGAGGACGCAAGAAGCATGGAGAGGACGCAATAAGTGTGGAGAGGACGCAATAAGTGTGGAGATGACACACGAAGTATTGAGGGGACGCAAGAAGTGTTGAAAGGACGCAAGAAGTGTGTGGAGAAGACGCAAGAAGCGTGAAGAGAATACAAGAAGTGTACCAAGACACGTACAAGTGGCTGACCATAGTCAACTGGTGGAGGACGCAGGCCGAGCAAATACTAAATAAGGGGCTAAGATTATCACACCAGTTTATGTGGAAGACATCCTTGTCACAAGACTGATGTAGAATCAAAACTCTCAATTCAAACTACCTTAGTAGAAGAAGTTGATAAGTTGTATATGAAATTACAACATAATCACTGATGTTGGGATGATAAGCCTCAGTAAAGTCAACAGAATTTCACTTGGGATGAACTCATCGAGAGATGGAGACGGAAATATTACACCAAATCCTAATCAAATCAGCATATACAGACGTATCTTGAGTTCTATCTTTCTGTGTTTTGATTCAATTTTTAAACCGCGACATCTTACGACAGTAGCGGACATTCCTAACTCGCAAGATATTGTACAAGCGCTCACCGGTCACTCCGTTGTCAACGTGCAGCCAAAGTAACCCACAAACGGGGTTTCGTTGGCAGGCATTTGAGTTCAGCATTGTGGAAATGTTCAAAATTTTCGCCATCGGCTCAATATTATAGGTTTCTATAGTATTTTTTCAATCAAGGACGGAAGGATTGTGCTCTACTCAGCAACTACGGTAAGATTTGCATGTGCACTTGTATGCAAACGAAACCCGGTTATACAATTTCCCCCCGGAAAATTAACAGCCTAGTTAGGCCTGCTCAGGTGGTATAGACCTATATCTCATGCTTCATTTATAAAAATTTCAGATTTTGAAAGTTCTTTAGTAAGCACATATTTATTATCAATAGTTTGTTTCACCATAAGAGGAAAACTTGGGGTACGGATTTTTTTGTCATGTTTTTGAAATATTCAAATCAAATCAATAAAATGTTTATTCAAGTAAAAGTACATACATACAAGATGAGTTACAATCACAATGTTGGATTTCTAGATAGAGCTAGTACATACAGTGCCTAAAGCCACTAATACATACAGTTTTTCAGGTAAGGTGTGGGGCAAAAACATTTAGATTAAAACTTAATACTAATTGAGATTAAACAAAAAATTGAGTTTAAAAGGTAGGGGGGGTGAACATGGCAGAAATCAGCCGTTAGACCAGTTGATCAACAAACAGTATTGTTTGAAAATAGCAAGACATGGGTTGACATTTAGGGGATAAGGTAGGTTAAATAGAGTTTATTAGGTAGTACTTAGTTTTTATTGTTGTCCCCTAACTCCCCTTGCCACTTCGGGAGGGTATAGGGTGTTTATGTAGCTTTACGGCCTGGGAGTTAGTCAGCTGTCACGAGCTGCTTCCTGGGGTGTGTATGTGTGTGGGGAAAAAAAAGTAGTTAGTAAACAGTTGAGAGGCGGACCGAAAGAGCAAAGCTCAACCCCCGCAAACACAACTAGGTGAATACACACACACACACACACACACAGAAAGCAGCCCGTGACAGCTGACTAACTCCCAGGTACCTATTTACTGCTAGGTAACAGGGGCATAGGGTGAAAGAAATTCTGCCCATCGTTTCTCGCCGGTGCCCGGGATCGAACCCGGGACCACAGGATCACGTGATCCGCTCGGCCACCGGCTCCGGTGTGTGTGTGACACTTGAAACAACTTTAAGTATGTTGCATTTGTAGGTGTTTCCATACAGATTAATGACAGGGAAGGAGCGGAAAGAGGAGGGTGGCGCCACACCAGCCCATTCCAGCGCCAGAGGCCATGATGCCGCCAAGCCGCCACAGGCCGCCCACACCCTCTGGCCCGACAGGTCTGCCTCCTTACCCAGTGTATTCAAAAATCGAATTCAAAATTTTTACCACTATGAATACTACTTCTATCTTACCTTCCTTGTTTCAGTCCCGAAGTTGTGTCTGCACTATCAAAAACAGCTAATGGAAATAAGTAATAAGTAAATATTAAATTATTGGTTTATGATCCTTTGGTTTAGTTTAGTTCATTTATTATGCACCCCATACCCATCTTGTGGGCGGTAGTGGAAAGGGTTACAGAGGCACATAATGGGCTCAGGGACTGAACCCCACAATTCATTTAGCTAAGCAAGTTACAAAACTGAGAAATATGTAATTTTGTTGTTTAATACTCAGTTATTGAACTGTATTTCTCTGAGATTGTTATCCTGTTGGTGTTGTTTTAACCGTTTGCTTGCTGGTGTGTCGGCGTCAGAGGGTCAACGTCCTGGGTGCTGGAGGAGATCCTGAACCTCTCACAGCAGCTGCTGGCAGACAAGTGAGTATAGCTACGGCTCCTCATGTTAACCACCCCAATTATCAACAATAACAACCACAACTATTCGTTTATTCACATCATAAGCATATATTGAATATATATTATGTGTATATTTCTATTATTGCTTTGTATACTAGGCTTTCCTCAAATAATAATGTCGGGAAGTTTTAGCGGTGGTGTGTGTGTTCAGACTGACACAGTGCACTACTGATTGCATCAAGGCCAGTCAGGAATCAGCCATACTACAATAAATAATTAATTCTCGTTATCGAGGACAGGATTCCATGTCGTCCTACCGTCTACCTAACCTAGACTACCTAGCCTCCTAACCTAACCTTAGCGTATCAAGTACTTTTGCCGCTAGACCACAACTGACTGTACTAAAGTGTTGGTAGTCGTGGACTATTTCCTCAACACCCGACACCGCTTGATGGTCAACTTGAGCAACTCTAGCGCCTAAAGTACTTGATACGCTAAGGTGCACGGTGCTCCTGGCTGTCTGGGTTCGAATCCAGGCGAGGCCAGGCGTTTGGGGCTAGCCACGCAAAACTTTGCGGGTAACTTGTGATTGTCTGGAGAGTGCCATAAGTTGGATGGGGTCAACCCCCATTTCCCTTCTTTGAAAAGGTTCGGCTACTATTCCGAATCCCAGCGACTTCTATGAAGTCTGAAATGTGGGTTTGATTGTGATTGCCCACAGGATTTTTCAGCAGATTTTTGAACTGTTACTGATGTTGATTACACGTCGATAACGTAGAATTAACATTATTCCATCATCTTTCACCCTCTACCCAGTGTAACACGGGTTAGGGTTCCTCTCTCTTTACTTCTCTTTCCTTCTACTCCCTCTACCCGTATTCTTACTTTTATTCTCTACCAAGGGACTCCAAAACTTTTACCAAAGCCAATTCCACGCCACGTGGTCCTAAGACGATTGACCGACTTAGGATTCTACACCCAGTATGACGTGACCTAGGCTCTGAGCAAAACCCTAGAGTCGCCTCTACGCTGCCACCACCAGACCAGCAACACAGAGCAATGATCGAGGTCTGGATCGATCACGCTAATTAATCAACCTTGGGGCTTGATCCCCACTAGTAGTTTATAACCTCGGAAACTTGTGTGGAATTAATTACACGGGAATGATTCGATGTTAGAATCGGCGCCCAATCCAACTCTGCCTGTGTGGAGCACGTGACCAGGACAAGTATACACATAACCAAATGGAAACAATAAAATGCAAATTAATAACAAATTTAATTTATTAAAAGAAAACTAAAACAAAATCTAAATATGTTCACTCCCTATCACTTTAACACTCCCTACTTGACCTGAATGGCAAATGAGAAGACTATCCCTATAATTAACAATAGCAACTATACCTTGGGCGACCAGCTCTAGATGGTGGGCTGGTCTTGGGGAGAGGTAAGATGTTTGACCTCTTATCCCAGCTGCTCCCGTTTCCACACTGATCTCTTCCTTGTCTGGTCTACCCCAGACAGAGTATTGTATCCTTCCGCCTAGTCAAAGTTCTACCCAGTTACTAGCAAGGTTTAAGTTATAACAATTAACCTCTGTTGTACTTAATTGATCCAGACTGGTTGAGTTATTTTACCGAAATTAAATTACACAAACATCTACGGCAGAGCTGTTCCCGATCACAAAAATGGTTATTAAAACTTTGAGAAATAGTAGACCTGTCAACCCTGCTGACCTATGACCGCCGGTCACTCCGCCTTACAAGTTAGATCTGATTCGTGACGTCACTGATGGTGACTTAAACTCAATAATTAGAATACTCTTGATATTGTATCCAGTACTATTATACAATACAATTTTACTGCAAAATGAATAAAGGCTAATTTCTCTAAATTACTGAATACTATAGGATGATTCATTATACGCAGCTATGAACAAAGCGTCGGTTATTTCCACCGCGAATTCCCCTGGGGGTCCTGGGCGTTGTTGAGAGGTCAGGTCCCTACTCTAACTTCTGGAACCTTCTGGAATAATTCTTACAACAGCCTAGTTTGTTACACCAGTGGCCACGATATCCAAGAGTAATATTAATCCAACATTGAATTAACGTTACTCTTTGATATTGTGCCCACAAGATGGGAAATAAAATATGATGGGGAGAGATTATGAGTGATAGAGAACAAGAGGGAGGGAAGGAGAGAGAAAACAGGACGGTAGGAGAGTATGGGAGGGCTGGTGGGAAGAAAGGATGGGAGGGAGAGAAAGAGAGAGATAATAGGAGGAAGAGAGAATGGAAGGGTGGGATTGAAGAAGAGAGACTGGGAGGCAGGGAGGGTATAAAATAGGAGGGAGGTACTGAGGACGACATAATAGGAAGAAGGGAGAGAGAGAACGGGACGGTGAGAGAAGGGAGGACGGGAAAGGGAGAGAAATGATGGCAGGGAAGGAGTGTGTGAGAGATTGAGGAGGAGGGAGAGAAAATGCGAGGGATGGGGAAGAGAGAAAGGAAGGAAATGATAAAAAACGAAAAAGAAGACGGGGAGAAAAAAAGTGGGAGGGAGAACAGAAGCGAGAGAGAGGGAAAGGAAAGAGAAGAGAGGGAGGGCGAAAGGATTGCGGATCATAATAAAGTCATCAGGTCAAACACAGACACGAGAGATCACTCCGGATGGCCTATCCTATGACTTCATATTGAACAAGAGCCCGGGAAAAGGAGCGCGGTGAAGACGTGAAAATTGTGGACAATTTTACGTGAAATTTATGGACATGGAATTATAAATATTCGTAATTGTGAACGGGTTGTGAGCAAATTGTGAACCACAAACAAGGGGTGCCTTATATTTCATGTTCTCATCTGATTTTTAGTCAGAGTTGATTTGTTTTTGTAAATATGCCCCTCCCATCACGAGGCTACACGTACATATGACCTTCTCATCACTAGGTTACACTATATGACCCTCCCATCGCGAGGCTACACGTACATATGACCCCTCCCATCGCGAGGCTACACGTACATAATACCCCTCCCATCACGAGACTACACGTACATATGACCCCTCCCATCACGAGGCTACACGTACATATGACCCCTCCCATCACGAGACTACACGTACATATGACCCCTCCCATCACGAGGCTACACGTACATATGACCCCTCCCATCGCGAGGCTACACGTACATATGACCCCTCCCATCGCGAGACTACACGTACATATGACCTTCCCATCACGAGGTTTATCGCTGCCTCTATATTATTGTTCAAGAATCATGACTCCCGCACTGTCTCGGTGTACAAGGGTAAAGGCTACACGAGCCAGGAGGGCCGCCATGCACCATCATATATGCATCATGTTTTGGGAGCCGGAACTGGGTCACGCGAGGATTAAAAGAAAATTCCGTCAGATGCCGTAGTCATTTTCTGAATATCGGCAGCTTCCTCTGTGTCCATTTTTTTAAATGTTAAAAGTTTCATGGTGACTGAAATATCATTAATGGGTTTACAATAAATGGTTAATGCAGAACTAACTCGCTATAATGGGTCTCGATAGTACAGCTGGGTTCATTCTCGACTCACAATCAGGAATCGCGGATTCGAATCCCAGGCGGGAATAAAATGGTTGGCCACGTTTCCTATCATCTAATACGTCTCTTCAGTAAATAGGTAATAGAGAGTTAGTCAACTGTTGTAGGGATGCATCCTGGGGAGGATCAGGAGTTCGACCCTGTGGTTGTTATCCCAAGAAAACTTTCCACAGTTAATATTAAGCATCCTTGTCTCCTCGCTAGTTCCTATAGAGGAACGTCTGAACAGTGAGAACAGTAGGTCACATAATGAACATATTAACAGACATCTAGCACTTTTACAATCTGTAAATTATACTAATTTTAAACTACATTACATAGTATTAAACACTGAATAATCTCTGCGTGTTAATATTTGATCTGAATTCTGCAAAACAGGCACTCTATCCCCCCCCCAACCCACAGGTCATCACACCCCCCATCGTGCCCCTCCCCCACCTATAGGACCCCCCCCCCCCTCCTTACAGGCCATCCCCCACCCCCCCTCAGGTCATGTGGTGGGGGGGGGGGGATGCCCCCACCCAGTCTCTCACCGAGGAGCTCTGCTGGTCGATACACTAGTGTTTTTTTAAGCTTTTCTTCGTGAGAGCGTATAGTGAGGCGCACGTGGAGCAGGAATGACGTGTCAATGGTGATAACATAGAACAGTTGACATCGTTCTCGACTCACAATCAGGGATCGCAGGTTCGATATATATATATATATGTTGTTGAATATGACCAAAAAAGTAAGATTAATAATTCTAACACGAATTTTTTCAATATTTCTTATGTTTTTCTTCACTGTCGGTGGTAATGGAAATATCAATTCTCCAAAATTCATTTTTTTTATTAATGGTCTGACGCTTAGAAGCGTTTCGTAAGGGCTTCTTACATTCTCAAAGACTTCTTTACACTTAACACTATACTTATGAAATACATTTATGATACACTCGATGCACTGTGTATATGTGCATCGAGTGTATATATAAACATATACATATTTACAAGAAAGACTGCTACCAATATATATATATATATATATATATATATATATATATATATATATATATATATATATATATATATATATATCAGGAGTGAAGCAATGTCGCCGGAGGTGGACGCCATGGCGGCCGACAAGAGCAGCTTGCAAGAACTGTACCTGGTCAATATAACGGACCCGTTCGCCATCTTTGGCCTCAACGGCACCTACAACGCCACCCGCAACGTGACCTCCAGGGGCGGCGGTGTCTTCGAGGATACGGAGGATTTTGGCAACGATGCCTCCTGGATCTTGACAGCCACCTTCATCATCTTCACCATGCAGTCAGGTGAAGCCATGATGTATTCAAGAGAGGCCAGTACAGGCAGGAGAGGTTAGGAGACAGTTAGGTGAGGCCAGAAGACAGGCAAGTAGGATCATGACACGTTCAGAACCCTCCCGTACAGTTCAGTGTGAGCGAACACACTCCTCGCAGACTAAGTTAGTTTGACAGGTGTTTAAAACATTCCCTGAAGGCCAGGGTAGCGTGACAGGTGTTAACAGACACCTCGGACACAAGCTTGTCTGGTCAATAAATACTTCATGTTCCACCAACGGGTATACATAAGTTTACATCGATATACATGTAGTTTTTACTTTTAAAATACAGCGTTATCAAAAATGTCATAAATGTAATTTTATATAAATGTTATGTAAATTCTTCGCCAGGAAATTGTTACTACTTCCTCTTTTAGTATGAGAACTCACAACAGTAATTAAAATATAAATAATAACATGAAATTCTTTGTTTCTCATTAAGACGTTTTAAATATTATTTGACTCTATTTAATTTGGAAGATATAATCTATTGATTAAATAAGTAGAGGAGAACTACGGAGCAAAATAAACACAGAAAATCATGATAATCTTCCACATCCTCGTGTCACGTGGTTAGGCTTCGGTCTACTGGAGTCCGGGTGTGTGTCGATGAAGAACGAGACAAACATCATGGTGAAGAACGTGGTGGACGTGGTGCTGGGAGGCTTCACCTACTGGCTCTTCGGCTACGCCCTCTCTTTCGGCAAGTCGGAGTGGACCAACCCGTTCTGCGGCTGGGGCGACTTTGCCATCAACCCCAGTGAGGAGAGTATGGGCACCATCTATACCACTTTCTTCTTCCAGCTCTCCTTCGCCACCACAGCGACCACCATAGTGTCCGGGGCTATCGCTGAAAGGTGAGGACGTCAAGAAATATATTAAGGAAAATAATTTGTTACTTCATATTTTATATTGTATATTATACCACCATTCAGGTCTTGATAAAATATCATCCAGGAATTGTAATGACAATACAACATCAGCAATAATAATAATATACAAATAATTCACATTAACGTGATGTATCAATGGGAAAATCAGCAGTTGCCAGTAGAATCCAGTGTGCAGATTCGAGTCTTCTCCATGACTCCTACTGATGTTCTCAATAATAATAATAATAACTTGCCCAAGTGATCATTATATCGTTTATTGGCCTAATGGCCGGCTTCTTAACTTCTCAGGAGCTCTGATGATCTAACTTTGATCCTTGAAAGCTCTGATGAGCTTAACTGTATCCATACTTGAAAGTCAGGACAAAGGAGATGCCAAGTGAGCTTGGTCATCTTAACACCTGGTCAAACGTGCAATTATTTAACAATCTGGGGCCAGATTCACGAAGCTCTTTCGATTCGATTCACCTGCCCGAAACGCTTTGCGTAATAGTGGCTTTAGGCATTGTATGTACTAGCTCTATCTATAAAGCCAACAAACTTTGTAAAATCTCTTTATGTATGTACCTTACCTAAATAAAAATTATTATTATTATTAAAGCAGTTACGCAAACACTTACGAACCTGTCCATCTTTTCTCAATCTTTGGCGGCTTTGTTTCCAATTATTAAACAGTTAATGAGCTCCGAAGCACCAGGAGGCTGTTAATAACAATAACAACAGTTGAATGGGAAGTTTTCATGCATGTAAACTGTTTAATAAATGTAACCAAAGCCATCAAAGATTGAGGAAAGATGTACACGTTCGTAAGTGCTTGCGTAAGTGCTTTCGTGAATCTGGCCCTGGCAGGGTCTCGGTTTGTATAGCTACGAATCTGCGAAATGTAAACACCGTTGAGGTCCCCCCCTCGTGTTCACTGCCACTTGCTGTCAGGCTTCAGGTCCTCATTTACACTTCTAGGAACTAATAGGCAAATTATGCCTTTTTCTCATAAGGAAGTCACAAATCTAGCTAATAGGATTTGCTCTTGGTTTTCAGACATTCGTTTTTCACTGGCCGCTTTATCTTTGCCATAAATATCAACATGATTGTAAAATCTAACCAAGGAATATGTGATGTGTATAATGGCGTAGCAGAACAGCAGGTATAATGGCGTAGCAGAACAGGAGGTATAATGGCGTAGCAGAACAGCAGGTATAATGGCGTAGCAGAACAGCAGGTATAATGGCGTAGCAGAACAGCAGGTATAATGGTGTAGCAGAACAGCAGGTATAATGGTGTAGCAGAACAGCAGGTATAATGGCGTAGCAGAACAGCAGGTATAATGGTGTAGCAGAACAGCAGGTATAATGGTGTAGCAGAACAGCAGGTTTAATAAAATAACTAGTCAGAACAGAAATCAGGAATATCCGCATATCCGCAACTGGATCCTTGACATTGTTAAGATATTACTGACAAAAAGAGATGGGTTGCTAACACGCAGTTTACAGCAAGTCCTGTGCGTCCTTGTTACAAGTGCTGTTGTCACAGATAGTTTGATTAATTCCAGTCACTGAATCTGCTGGTGTAGACCTGATGACATTATATACAATGTTAAATAAAAAAAACTATTTGGTGATTGTGTTTATGTCTGGAATCATACTTTAATTCTCTGCCTAACAAATTGGGTTAGGCACGACAAATAGTCCGGTAGAATTCACTTGAATTCTATGTTTGTGGCTCTAAGCTATATTATCCTGTCGATTTCCACTGTGAATAGTCTGTCATATTGCACTGGTTATATTGCAAACAGAGGTGGTCCATGGGAACTAATTTTGTACAACTATATTTATAATGTAAGTCTCATTATTACAATTTTAGTTATATGTTTTGCCAATATGTTTCAGCTGAAAGTTTAGTTTTTTTACAGCTGTTTACCTGTTCAGTACAGTCAGAAAAATAACAATTTGTATATATTAATTACGAATAAGGCTTCAGATTATGATTCAGATAATCAATCGACCACAACATTTACACATCCGATACCTCTCATCTGCCAACAAACGAGAGTTCCTGTATTAACTCACGATGGGTGTCACTCTCCGACAGGTTCAACTTCATGGCGTATGTGGTGTTCTCGGCGGTGAACACAATAGTATATTGCGTGCCCGCTGGCTGGCTATGGGGCTCCCATGGCTTCCTCTTCAAGCTGGGAGCCGTGGACATCGCTGGGTCTTGTGGCGTCCATCTCTGCGGAGGATCATCTGGTATGATCTTGTACCTAAGTTGGTCATTGCAAAGCTTACCTTGCATTAACCTTGGAGTTAAGCTTAATTTTAACAATTTTGGAAACGTGTTCTTGTTGTTTGCAGCTTGCAATGGCTGGTTCACAAGAGTATTTCTAGTATTCTTTATTTTTTTTCATTATTTATCTTTAATATAGGTAAACTTTCTCAACAGCTCGTTTAATTGTCATTATGATTCAAAACCCTCTCTACGATACTTATAGTTTCTGCTTGTGTCGTCACAGCTCTGGTGGCGGCAGCGATGGTGGGTCCAAGGATTGGCCGCTATGACAATAACGAAAACCCGTTGCCAATGGGATCCCCCACCAACGCCATCCTAGGCATGTTCATGCTCTGGTGGGGCTGGCTAGGCTTCAACTGCGGCAGGTAACACTACACAAAATTAATGACAAATATTTGTACTGGAGGAAACGATGAGATTAATAAGATGAAATACTTGTAAAGAAGTCAAAGGTTGGCGATTGTATTTGAAGGATGACTGCATAACTTGGCTTCATCTGGTAGAAAATAATATCTAAAATTAAGTTTATGGTATAGACTATAGAGTAACTAGAAATTTGAGAAAAGATAATACATAATTAATATTCAATACGAGGAGACCAACAACTTTATTTTGTTTTTGTTGTATGGTAAAGCATGTCATTACTTTTCTTTTATCATTTAGACGAATCTTCCCACTTGTTCTTTCTTGCTTTCGCCATCTCTAACCTTACACTTGTATTGCTTACAGCACCTTCGGCATCACGGGAGACAAGTGGAAGTACGCAGCACGGACGGCAGTTGTCACCATCCAATCCAGCATCGGCGGGGGTCTTGCCGGAATGAGTCTCTCCTGGTACAAGAACCGCAGACTGGAGATCGGTGACGTGGTCAACAGCATTCTGGGTGCGCTCGTCAGCATCACAGGTGGGCGTCTGCATGTTATATACAGTATTGGAGTAGCACAGTCGCCCGCGCTGTGGATCCTGGAGGGATACTAATGGTGCTGGGGAGGCAGGTACCTTGTGTTGCTCACGTTCGAACATTTTTGATTTGGTAAATCATATTTTAGTGGAGTGTTAAATCGTAAGAACGGGCTGGCGAGTCAGGAATTGGTACGGTCGGTGCAGGTTTTAGAGTTTCTTTCCCCAGCTGGTTGTGCGCTCTTCACTACCTGGGAAGCCCTCTTCGTTGGTATAGTAGGGGGAGTCATCGCAGTGATGGCCATGCCGCTCTTTGACAAGCTCCACATTGATGACCCCGTAGGCGCCACTTCCGTCCACGGTACGTCCCGAGCTCTTAACTTTGAAACTACGTACAATTTACAAAATTACAATTCTCTTATCTTAATATCGTAAACGTAAATAAATCCCTCTTGACTAATATCAAAGCGCATGATTCCCTTCTCTTCCTAACTTATTTATTTATTTATTTATTTATTTATTCATTCATTCATATACAAGAAGACACGAAGGTTTGTTAAAGTACATATGTTGGAGGGTGAGTAGTAAGTACATTTTTGCACAGCACGAAGGCTCTTAAGATAACAATTAAGCATTGTCTACCTTGCAATATTTCTCCCTTGTAATATACTGGATAAGATAAGCACAAGAATACTGTGTGAGATGATTGTGTTGTGTATTTCTGGTGTTGTAGGTGTGTGTGGGTTTTGGGCCATGATCGCCATCGGACTCTTTGTTAAGGCAGATAAACTGATCGGCTTGACAGGCGGCAAAGATGGACTCTTCAGAGGCAAGCCACTCCAGTTACTGGTGTTGGGGTACTGACATTAACCATAATAATAATAATAACAATGACGATAATAGTAGGCATCATAATAATAATGTTAATAATAACAAAAAGCGTCTTGTGCTGCAGGAGGAGGCTTCTACCTGCTGGGTATTCAGACTCTGGCGTGTCTGGCCATCGTTGTGTGGTCCACCAGCACCACTTTCATTATTCTCTTCGTGAGTACCGTCTTTCACAGTTTATGTATACACGTGTATTGCTCAGTCTATAGTTTAGTTAGTTTAGTTCATTTATTATGCACCCCATACCCATCTTGTGGGCGGTAGTGGAAAGGGTTACAGAGGCACATAATGGGCTCAGGGACTGAACCCCACAATTCATTTAGCTAAGCAAGTTACAATCTTGATGAGCTAGTTACAAAATTCAGTCTATATACAGTACATTCAGCAGTTTACTTTCACTGTGAAAGTAGATTAATCATCCATTAATTTGTGAGAGATTAGATTAGGCTTCAAAGTTAGAAATAAGATAGATTGCTGTGTTAGATGTCATTTCCAGATATTTTGAGAATTTACTTAAATAAAATGTCCTAATTGTCATTTGAATGAAATTTATCACAAAATGAAATAATAAAAATCAACTTGGTTGATCTGACTCTAAGGTCCTTTTCTTCATCAATCTGATGCAAGGTAATGTTGATGATTTAGTAGTTGTGTTGTGCATTGTTATGCCCCACATGCAAAGTCTTGCATTTTTCGATATTAAAAGGCATTTGCCAGCCTTCCTACCATTTGTGGTGTTCATTTAATTGTTTTAAGTAGTATTATTTTGATTATAAGTGGAGTGCCTATGTATATCTCATCCAATTTCACCTTTTTGTTTCGCATACCATCTATACACTAATCTAATATTTTTAACTTTGGTTATAGATTAGTCAGTGATATTTCCTTGTACCATAAATTAGGCGGCCGGTGCTATTCTCACTGTGTTCTTAAAATAATATCAACGCTTTTAAATACAAAAAATAATAGAACGATAACATCATTGTTGACATTCCACGTTCCACTGACTTTTTAATATCTAACTGAAGAACTCTTTCTATGTGGTTTAGCTCGTCAACAAGTTTTTCCCAATCCGCATGACGGAGTGGGAGGAGCTGGTCGGGGCCGACTTCGCCGAACACGCCATCTACCGGAGGAGCATCGGGGTATCGAGGGCGGTGTCGGTGCTGGGCCTGGAGCACCATGGCAACGACTACAGCGACGTCCGGCCCCAGGGCGACAACCCTTGTATGTCCAGCTCATGGCAGGCTCTCTCAACTGTTTGTCATGTTTTAAATTAAACGTTTAGAAACTCCATTCCAAAACATTAGCATGAGTAGTTCACAAATATTTTGGTTGTGTAAATAATTACAAGTTTTAAAATTAGGACTGTTAAGAGTCAAAAAAGTAAAAAAGTAAAAAAAGTAAAAAAATACTTTCTCCAAAGAAGATATATATTTCTTAGGATGAGGTCTCCCATGCTGTAACACAATAATCCAAGTTGGGGTGCACCACAGATTTATACACTCGAATAACTTCCTTATTGTCCTTGAAGTTAAATGTTCGTTTAAGTATTCCTAGTGTTTGGTTGGCTTTGTTTTTCTGACGTTTCCACTTGTGTAACTTTCAGTGAATAGTGGATTCTGACTCCAATGTCAAAATTCCAAGGATTGATATATCCAAACCATCTACTGTTGCAAAGATGTAGTGGAACATGTCAGCTTCCGAGACTGGCTTATATTATATACATTGAAAGTTATCTTACTTCAGAATGCTTGCAATAAACTCGCAACTTACTGGAGTGAGAAATGCCGCACGTGTACAAATAAACTCAATTAACAGGAAAGGTGCCACAATTAAGTCCAAGTACCGGTCACAGGTATATTCAGATTACTGTTGCGAACTCTTATTTAATCATGTATTAAATTAATTGCTTCTGTGTAGAAGAGGGTGCGCAAATATTTTGTATATAGACCTACTCTTACAAGAGTGATTTGTATTTTCTGTTGTTCCCTCCCCATCTCAGCAGGTTGTAAAATATTATTAAGCTCAGTGACGTGCACCACCATTAGCCTCTCCTACACCCTCCTCACCTGCCATTACCTCGCCATTATATATTCTTAATCTACCATTTTTTCTCAGGTCACGTTCAGGTACTGGACAACATGGCAGCTAAGAAAGCTCGTCGCGGGTCCACCGTCTCCAAGGCGGTGGAGCCGGTAACCCGCCCCAGCTTCCTGGCCTCTTTCCTCCCAAGAATCATCGTCAGGAGAGCCTCTGCCGATACGTCAAATTCCTCTACCATTGAAGTCACGCCAGTGGAGTCACTAGAGGGGCCAGCCCGGGCCTGGACATGAAGCTGGGGTTCCTTTTACACCTCCGCCTTCCCCACGACCTCGCCTCCAACCATATCTTGGATTCAAAGTTATTTTTCACGTGTAATAAGTCAAATTCTAAGTGATTTGCTACATGATCTCAATTTCACAGGTAACCCTTATGTCTGCAACTGTGAAACCTTCGACATGAAAGATCTTGAGTTTTTATACTCTCGGCCCCATGGTCAAACATTAGAGATACTAAATTCGTCGAGGCTATTAAGCGACTGACCTTAACCCAGGAAACGACCCACAACAGTTGCATAACTCCTTACTACATATTGACTTATAGGTAAACTGAGACATCATGTGTAAGTGAGGTTACCTGCCTGAACGATTCCCAGGCAGGATTCCCGTCCTGCTTGGGAAGCGAATTTCCGTTGTGAACACTGAAATACTGTTTTCCCCAGAGATCCCACACATATGTGGGATCAGTTTAGTTCATTTATTATGTACCCCATACCCACAAGATGGGTATGGGGTACATAATAAATGAACTAACCTGATCCCACATAGCTAACTAATAAGAATATATAATAATAATAATAATAATAATAATAATAATAATAATAATAATAATAATGGTTATTCAGGTAAAAGTACATACATACAAGATGAGTTACAAACAGATTGTTGGATTTCTAGATAGAGCTAGTACATACTGTGCCTAAAGCCACTAATACGCACACGTTTCGGGCAATAATAATTGCTCGTAAATAATAATTTATGCGTACGGTATTTGCAGAGTAACACCATCAATGTCTTCTATTACGACACAGTGTTAAGAGTGGAATCCCAGTGAGTTAGTGTTAATTGTTATGGACCCCCCATACCCATTCTGTGGGTGGTGTCTGAAAGATTTGTCATATAATGGGTTCAGGAACTGCAGGACCCTAATGCTTTTTAGCTAAGTCACTTTAACTTGCGTTGAATTTAACTGGCACATAAGATATGTCTGTAAATATAGATTTTGTTCATTCCTGGAAAAAATCATGGCAAATGGGGGGAACCTTTGACAAACCGCCGGCTTCTTGCCCTCGTCGAGGCCACTATAGTGTTAGTGGCCCTCAGGTAAATCAGGTAAATGATGAATGTGGGAAGTGTTGAAGTCAACGATTATTTTGATATGTGTTGGACACGGGCTTTTCGGGAATTTGGCTTTATAGTTGATATTTCAGCATTTTGAGTACAACTGTGGTTCTGTTTCGATCGTCTCGCTTTTATACATATGAAAAGAGTGACTCTGCAGTGTTCCAGGAATACATATTCCGTGTTTTTAGCCCAGTGTACAACGTAGACATTCTTGCAGTGTACAGGCAATCAACTTGTCTAGGAGGGGGCGCTAGAAATATTTGGGAAAACTCCCTACACCACAACACTTCTATCGCCATATTTAATATGACGCAAACATCATATTTTTTTTATAAAAAAAAATTCTCACGCCAGAAAAACAAGCTTTAAAGTTTTATGACAAGCTGTTCTTGTCGCGCTGATTAAAACAGAGGATGTCGTTAACTGGAGTATGTCCTTAACGAAGTATGTCGTTAACATAATAGAGTGTACCTGAGGGCCACTAGATTTTCAGTGGTTTCGACGAGGACAGGAAGGCGGCGGCTTATCGAAGGTCCCCCCCACCCCCCAACATTTGCCTTACGACTTCGGTTTCATGGTTTTATAACCCTATTGGGTGAAAAAGCATCCTCCGCATTGCGGCTTCTTGAGTTTGAAACCGTTGCTTATTTTTGTGTTACATCTGATCTTTTAAAGAAATTATCCGGATCAACATCTAACAAATTGTTCATTATTTTAAAAGTTTGCATTAAATCAGCCCTGTCATGCCTGGTTTGCAGTGTTGATAGTCCTGTGGCCCTTAACCGTTCCTCATATGAGAATCGACTTAGTTCAGGAATGATTTTTGTTGCCTGTTGAACATGTCAGCTGTATATATGTCCACGGATCTAGTGGTGTAATCTGCTTCTGTTTAGTTGTATATACACTGAAAGCTTACTTAAGTCCTGACTTATATACAGGATCAAAGTATATACACTTGCTGGTCGGTGCAGTAAGTAGGCCTTAAGCTCACCACAAAACCACTTTAAATTACTTAATTTAAAAGTGAGTACACTTAATTAACTGTTAACTTGTAAATCACTGCAAGTTTTCAATGTATACCTTGATTTCACATCACTTCAAATTCTTCATGTATATTTCATTCACTAGCTTTAAGAATTTGGTTTTAGAATGACTATGTTAACTTTCAAACTACAACAAATTCTCATTAATGTGTATACTTCAATCACTATAGTTTTAATTCTTTAGTTGTTTTAAGTTAAGATAGCTTGCTCATCTTGTAACTTACAAATCACTACAAATTCCCAATATATATCTAAATTACGTTCTTTATTTATATAAATAACTACAGACGTACTGTATTTAGAGTACAGTATTACAATAAAACTTGACAAATTTATTTAGCCAAGGAACACAGTTTTATTACCTGAACCCTCTGTGTAAAGGTTTTTATCTGTGTAAAGTGCGCTAACAATCTCTCATGACATCTGTACTGTAAATTTGTATAGGTAAATATGTTCAGCTAAGAGTCTGTCAGGTGCCACTGTAACCTGTATTTTACTTTTCGAGGAAGGAGTATGTACTAGGCTGGCATATCTGTATTGTACGTTAATGAGCTGACTAGGCTAAACTAACCAAAACTTAAATGTCGGTGTATATGTTAATAAACTCTGTAATAGTTCATCATTGATGTTATTTGTCTAGCAAAACAGGTATATTGAAGCTCAGTTTCTGACCCCGTTATATCTATGTGTGTACTTCTACCATCTTTCTATAAGCTTTCACACGATGGGTATACGTTGCATAATAAACTAAACTATTTACGTCACTTTTTCATCAGTACGATATATAAAATTAATGATGGTTGGAATTCTCTCAGAGTGGAGTCTATTTTTAAAACTGATAAATAAGGGTAGAGCCAGCTACCTATACAGAGACAGTAAGTACAAAGAGTCCACCAGACTGTGACAGCCTAGCTAGTTCAGTCTAGTTTATATATATATATAGCCTAGCTATATATATATATATATATATATATATATATATATATATATATATATATATATATATATATATATATATATATATATATATATTAAATATGACCGAAAAAGTAAGATTAATAATTGTAACACGAATTTTCTCAATATTTCTTATGGTTCTTTTCACTGTCGATGGTAATTGAAAAATCAGTTCTCCAAAATTCATTTTTATTTCTAGTCTGACGCGACACTTGAACGTGTTTCGTAATAACTTATTACATTTTCAAAGACTTTAATTTACACACACACAACTATAATCTGCAAACACTAAAACAGATTTCTTACTATGCTATAATTCAAATGGCTTTTCATTTTATATACCTGCATTTGGGTGAGGTGATATGTTACAACAGTTTTGGAGGAGGTGAAAACAAACTTTCAACACAAGATAGAACACGAAATCTTGGGTAATATTGGGTAAAGTTAAAGGGGAAGAATGGAAGTAAATGCAAAAGGCCTGTTGGCCCATATTTCTTGATGCTTCTATATTGGTGCGGAGTCTTGAAGTGGGTAGAATATATATTCTACCCACTTCAAGACTCCGCACCAATATAGATTGCACATTGTTGTATATACCTAATCTTGTTAAATAAAATAAAAAAACTGAATCGTGGAAACACTTGTAGATCTTACCGAGGATCCACAAGTAATAATTACTTGTGGATCTTGACCTAAACTAAAAATACTTCCTACCTAATAATCGTATTTTATAAATATAATTTCCAAATCAAACATACATTCAAAGATATTTATACATAAATTAATCGATACAACTGGCTGGAAGATTGTGGCATCTCTTCAAGTAAGAATTCGGCTCAAAAATCACGCTCAGGAGTCAAATTTCCAACATTTTAGATATTTTGAAAACTGCAGGGGGGGTTTGGGCAAAATATGACCCATCGCCGTTTTCAGTAATTGGTATATTTTCGGTGTAAAAAGTCGTAATTTGAAAATGAAAATAGGTGCAGAGAGTCAGAATTCGGCTCAAAAATCACGCTCAGGAGTCAAATTTCGGACATTTCAGATATTTTGACAACCGCAGGGGGGGTTTGGGCAAAATATGACCCATCGCCGTTTTCAGTAATTGGCATATTTTCGGTGTAAAAAGTAGTAATTTGAAAATGAAAATAGGTGCAGAGAGTCAGAATTCGGCTCAAAAATCACGCTCAGGAGTCAAATTTCCGACATTTCAGATATTTTGAAAATTGCAGGGGGGGTTTGGGCAAAATATGACCCATCACCGTTTTCAGTAATTGGCATATTTTCGGTATAAAAAGTCGTAATTTGAAAATGAAAATAGGTGCAGAGAGTCAGAATTCAGCTCAGAAACCACGCTCAGGAGTCAAATTTCGGACATTTACGATATTTTGAAAACTGCAGGGGGGTTTGGGCAAAATATGACCCATCGCCGTTTTCAGTAATTGGCATACTTTCGGTGTAAAAAGTCGTAATTTGAAAATGAAAATAGGTGCAGAGAGTCAGAATTCGGCTCAAAAATCACGCTCAGGAGTCAAATTTCCGACACCAGATATTTTGAAAACTGCAGGGGGGTTTGGGCAAAATATGACCCATCGCCGTTTTCAGTAATTGGCATATTTTCGGTGTAAAAAGTCGTAATTTGAAAATGAAAATAGGTGCAGAGTCAGAATTCGGCTCAAAAATCACGCTCAGGAGTCAAATTTCCGACATTTCAGATATTTTGAAAACTGCAGGGGGGTTTGGGCAAAATAGGACCCATCACCGTTTTCAGTAATTGGCATATTTTCGGTGTAAAAAGTAGTAATTTGAAAATGAAAATAGGTGCAGAGAGTCAGAATTCGGCTCAAAAATCACGCTCAGGAGTCAAATTTCGGACATTTCAGATATTTTGAAAACATCAGGGGGGTTTGGGCAAAATATGACCCATCGCCGTTTTCAGTAATTGGCATATTTTCGATATAAAAATTCGTAATTTGAAAATGAAAATAGGTGCAGAGAGTCAGAATTCGGCTCAAAAATCACGCTCAGGACTCAAATTTCCGACATTTCAGATATTTTGAAAACTGCAGGGGGGGTTTGGGCAAAATATGACCCATCGCCGTTTTCAGTAATTGGCATATTTTCGGTATAAAAAGTCGTAATTTGAAAATGAAAATTGGTGCAGAGTCAGAATTCAGCTCAAAAATCACGCTCAGGAGTCAAATTTCGGAGATTTCAGATATTTTGAAAACTACAGGGGGGTTTGGGCAAAATATGACCCATCGCCGTTTTCAGTAATTGGCATATTTTCGGTATAAAAAGTCGTAATTTGAAAATGAAAATAGGTGCAGAGAGTCAGAATTCGGCTAAAAAATCACGCTCAGCCGACACTTCAGATATACTGATTGACTTCAATCCCATAGTGATTGACCTCGCTGAGTTTGTGTTGAAAATATACAGCTTGCCAATCAGTAATGCCCTGGTTGAACGGATATTTTCGAGAGTAACGTCTGTGAAAATTAAACTGAGAAATCTTGAATGGGAATGGGACTTGAGCTTTTGACATCAGTCTTGAGAATCAAAACATATCTTGAAGAAAATGTAACTTGTTGCTCGTCATTTGAACCACTCATGTCAATGCCTAAATATGAGTCTGCAATATACAAGAACGAGGTTGTGGATGCAGATCAAGATCTTGGTAATCTTCAACTGTAAAGACGTGGAAGGACGTCACCCCATTAAGCTTCAAACAGTAAATATTGGTAAGTTATCCTATTATCATATTGGTTAAATATGCAGAGATAATGTTAATAAAACAATTAAAATCGTTTAATGTACTCTATATATGATAGTTAGTTAGTTTAGTTCATTTATTATGCACCCCATACCCATCTTGTGGGCGGTAGTGGAAAGGGTTACAGAGGCACATAATGGGCTCAGGGACTGAACCCCACAATTCATTTAGCTAAGCAAGTTGTAGTAGTAATAGATTACTTTGAAACCCGTAGCAGTCACTAAACAAAAAATTGGGCTACACCTATTACAAATTCGCTACTTTTAGCAATTTGAATCTGGCAACCCTGACTTCAACTCTCACTCAGTCCAAAACAACACTGCGTCAGGTGTGGAGGCGTCAGGTGTGACACACGTGAGAAGAACACTGCCATATATGCCCTCGGCAGGAGTCTTTGACTAAGTCTTCTCGTAGTTAAGTGAAGATGGAGGAGAAAACAATGTTGTGCGGATATTACATGAGGTGAGAGACCCTCACAGGATATACACTCTGCCGGAGGTGAGAGACTCTCACAGGGTACACACTCGGCCGGAGGTGAGAGACCCCTCATAGGCTACACACTCGGCCGGAGGTGAGAGACCCCTCATAGGCTACACACTTGGCCGGAGGTGAGAGGCCCTCATAGGCTACACACTCGGCCGGAGGTTAGAGACCCTCACAGGGTACACACTCGGCCGGAGATTTGTACATGGGTTGAAGTTGTGCGCTAACTGCTCTTATATGTATATAGGTATTAAAGTATCAGTAAAATGTATACAATGTTTTAAATATTATTATAGTAATACATTTTTTATTTCATAAATCTTGTCAAGTAAATATCTGCTATCTTAAAAACAGCCTTTTAAAGTTTTTGAAAGAAACCTATTAGGCAAAGTGTACGAGTTTAATGTAAAAAAATTCAACATGTAATATATTTCAAATTGATAATAGGACTACAATCACGCTACCTTAGTTCTTTATCTGAATCATTACTTTGTCAACATGACAAATGTAAAGTGAAGTTGAACATTGTCAGGAAAAATATGGGGATCTTGGACAAGCTGCTGGCTATCTGTCTCCATCGAAGCCATTGGCGAGATGGTGGCCCTTTGGGTAAATTAATTGTAAGAAGAGTAGCATACATTAATTACAGGTTATGTAAATACTCAACCCATCCTCCTGTTTACATAGTATCTATTGTGACGATCTTCAATAGTCATGAATTTGTACATACTTAGTTTTAGATAGTAGTAAACTGACTAGTAAGGAATTCTTTAAAAAAACAAACTTAAATATTCCTAGACCTAATACTGTATGGCACACACATGTACTATATTAGGCCTCAGATATTGTGTATTAGGTCTAGGAAGATTAGGTTAGATTAGTTTAGTTTGGCTTTGCAACACAAGTAAAAAAATAGTTTTCCGGTTTGTCCAACTCAATAGTGCTGATTTCTACTTTCTGATTTCGTTGTTTGTTGGTATATATACAGTACAGTGTACCATGGTCCTCATTGTTGTTATAAGTACTACCAAAACAGCAGGATGGGTTGAAATACTTGTAAATGTAAGGTCCATGGATCAAAGACAAGGTGGATTGCTGATTTGTCCTCGACACCCGGTGGATGTCTTGAGTGTGGGCTGTGACGTAAATGTAAGCATCCTTATTCAACATTTGACCTTGATTGTTGCAACACCTCATGCACATATTGCATGGGGTCACAGGGACAAATGAGAGATGTTTGTATTATCCAGTGAGATCTTTGGGCAGTAAGTGTGGGTTTGATTATGGCTTGGCTGAGAAGTTCCATGGACTGGATCACAGCAGCTTTTGGTAAGCCCTTTGAAATAAACCAATTCCATGGTTTATTTCCCATGATTTATGATTTATTTATTCCATGATTTTTATGATCCATGATTATTTATTATTATATTTCCATGGTTGGAGACTTGGAACCATGGGGTCCATGGTTCAAGTCTCCTGTAGCCCAGGTGAATGAAATGTTTATTTCCATGGAAGTGTGGATGACAATTTATATGATGTGAGCGTGGATCACTAATTCCTCTGAGCTTCAGTAGTACATAGTCAGAGGAAGTTGAAAATTCCAGCATAGCAGCAGTAGTTGCATCTGGAATCGTCCCTTATTAAGACTACTCATAACCGAGTGGATAGAGCTTCTGCCTCACACACATGAGGTCCACGGTTCCAGTCTCCTATAGCCCATGTGAATGAAATCACCCATGTGAATGAAAGCAGTCTCCGTGGTGTAGTGGTAAGACACTCGCCTGGCGTTCCGCGAGCGCTATGTCATGGGTTCGTATCCTGGCCGGGGAGGATTTACTGGGCGCAATTCCTTAACTGTAGCCTCTGTTTAACGCAACAGTAAAATGTGTACTTGGATGAAAAAACGATTCTTCGCGGCAGGGGATCGTATTCCAGGGACCATAGGATTAAGGACTTGCCCGAAACGCTACGCGTACTAGTGGCTGTACAAGAATGTAACAACTCTTGTATATATCTCAAAAAAAAAAAAAAAAAAAAGAAATATCATGCATCATTAAGTGCTAAAATTTTGCATATACTGTATAAGTTACTTTATGTCCTCTTCTATCCTGTTAAAATTTAAGAAAATCTGAGATGATCAGGTTGAAAATCCACTATTTTGTGATGGTTTGGCAAAATATGACCCCATTATGTTTCAGCAGCATGCTCTCTGCTGTAATAATAGGTTTCGGTAGCATGCTTTGCTATAATAATAGATTTCAGCAGCATGCTATTTAATTGGTTTCAGTGCTGCAATATATAGCTGTTATTAATGTTTGTTATATTTTTTATTAAATTCTTGTTAAAGAAAACAGTTTACTTTCCAGATACCTGTAGTACTGTATTATCTTAGCAACATTATGATTTACATTATTAATTTATCCCTGTGAGGCATGCTTAAATTCCAGAACTCTGATGCACATTTTTCAGATGAAGGCAATATTTGCACAAGGCTCTACATGAGGACTATATCCTGACAAGGCCGTCCTTAAAATGGTCACTATTTTAGGAGATGTCCATTTTTGGACTCTCCGTGATGACGTGATTGTTAAAGATGCAGATTTTGGGGTTTATAGGTAAGTACAGTATTTGTTTTATTTTTAAAGCAATTTCAATAAATAGGTAATGTACATTTTTTTCAATCTTGTATGTCATATTTGTGTAATAAAAACAGTAAAAAAAAATATGTAGATCAAAAACCATTATTATTTCATGAATGATTCTCCTTCACTTCTGACGAGGGAGGACAAATAATAATTTCCAGTAAGCAGCATAATTTTTGCTAATTCTACCATTATTCCTTCAAAACTGAAAAATATGTACAAACAGTATATTGTCAAAGTAATTTGTGTAATTTTCCTGTGTAATTACCTAAGTGTAGTTACAGGATGAGAGCTACACGAGGTGGCACTTATACTTGTTCTTGGTAGGTAGTGGGTAGAGGAGAAAATTAACTAGGCACAAGGACAGAGGTCACATATGACAACATAGGCCCTATTTCCTTGATTTGGCCACTATCATGAAGTACTTTAAAACAAAAATTTTATTGTTCAGTGACAACTTATTTTAATGTGAAATAACTTTTTTTTTTTTTTAAGTGTCATTTACTATTGTAAATGACACACTTGATTATGAGTAGGTTTTATTGAATAAAATTGTTTTTAGTATTTGTTTTTGTTTTGATGCACAAATACACCTATTTTTTTCTGTTTTTGTTTCTATTATTGTACTTTCTACAGATATCAAGATAAAAACAATGTGAGTAAGGAGCGTGTGTACTATGAAGATAAAAGGCAGTACCTTGAAGCCCGAGGTGGGGTGATGACTCCAAAGAACAGTCGTCCTGCTAAATTAAGAGACTCGCTTAAGGAGTTTGAAGTAAATTTAACTTTTCTATTTTTATCTTTGTTTTATATTCTAATTTCATTTCCAATCATTAGCTTAGGAGTAAGTTTAAGTAGCTGCTCAAACTGTGGTACTAATATCTTTTAGCCTGTTCACTATTTCCAGCATCCAGCAGGGCAGCAAGCTTAAAATTTTCTTCATAGATTTCTAGTCATTCACAACCCACTCAAGTCGTTAGTCTTTCACTTTATTTTGGTTGGCCTCTTCATTCTTACCCGTTAATATTTGGCATGCACCTATTCTTTGTCATCCAGTATTCATCTAATGTCTCTTTTATCTTTATACCCTACCACTTATTCACACCATCCTCATTTTTCTAATATGAAATATCTTCATGTCTTTACTGCATTGTTTCCATCATTTCCTAACAGTATACAGAATATTCCAATATAAATGTGCATACTGCTAAGTACTGCACCATTGTTGCATAATGCTGAATTGCAACTATTTTGTTTATTTGTAATAAAAATTATTTAATTTTACTGATACATTAGCTGTAACTATAGTTTAATTTGTGCTTGTTTGTTCTCAGGAGCTGGTGTCAAGAGAGAGAGTAGTTTGGGAAGGCTGGCAGTCACATGTGTTATATCAGATAATATTTGCTTCAGGAATAATTGTACTGATGACTGTCAATCCAAGCACAGGGGATCTGACCAGAATTATGTTTGACAAGTTTTTGGTGGGAAAGCTTCTGTCTGAACATCTTGCCAATGGTAAGTTATTATGGATCAAGAGGAAATTTTGGAATTTGTCAAAATTTTATTTAGACCCTTATCATTGGTGATTGAGTTGATTTTGAGAGGAAGTGGCAGAAATGCAGGCAGACAGAGAATATATCAGAATTACTATATTTTCACTTAACATAGTTTTGTTTTAATAATTTTTAAGTTGTGTATATCAAAGCATGTCGAGCTTATTTTGATAAAATACCACAGTGCATATAAAAAAATATAATAGTGTACAGTACATATGCATGATTAAAGATTTTTTAATTTATTAATAGGTTTTGGTTACTAAAAGCAATTAGCAGATGGTAGTGTTTGAGGATAATTACATGAAGTTTCAGAAGAGATCACTATCACTATGTACTGTAATAAGTTATGCTAGAAATATCTTCCTCTCTTTACATAATTATTTCCATAGCCCAGACTAATTTCTACCATGTTATACCTCTCCTTCCTAGTACCTGGTCAGGCCAGGATACTCACACTTGCAGATATCTTTTGACAATCACAAACCACACACATGAAAAGAAGGGGAAAATGTCAATGTTTTAGTCTGTCCTGGACCCTTATAAAGTCCTGTCTTGATAAGGGTCCAGAATGGGGGTGAAACATTGGCATTTTCCTTTTTTTTTCATATATGTGGATTGGATGTCTAATTTTCAGCCATGTTGCTATGAATTGTTCTCTGCATCTTCTTTATATACATTAAACCAGCCATGAGGATATCAAATGCCCCTGCATGCATCTACATTTATATCAAACAAGTCACTTATTACACCATGGAGACCACCTTGTTCATCACCTAGGTATAAACATTTCTCTTCAGTGAGTATTATGTAAAATATATATGCATTAATTTATTAAATATCTTGGAGTTAGTGCCTTTGCTTTAATAAATTAGGGAGTAATAAAATAAATTATACTGCAGAATATATTTGTTTATTTTGTTAATTGAGGTCTTCAAGAGCTGTGAGTAGCCATGTAGAAATTGTAGGCATCTGTTAGAGCTACAGTACTGTATATCAAAATATAGTACAGTACTAATGTCAATGATAAATACAGCACCTGCTCTCCTTTCAGTTGTTATGACAAAGCACCACATGCTGTTTTCCTACAATGAATGTCGATTGTCAGTGGTGCACTTAACACGTTCTCCACCAGAGGGACATGTATTGGAGAGATTATCTACTATGGATCCTAAAATACATACGTGTGAAGTTGCTGGACCATCAGGTCGTCGCTTTGAAAGAATGCTATCTGCAAATCTTTCTGGTGATATGGTAAGTATTGAACTAGAATCATAACCAGAATGATACCCAGAAAATAGCGATAATTTACATTAGACGCTGGATTTTTCTGGTGCAGCTGTGGGTGCGTGAAGTGTGCAGTCTGGATAAGGAAGAGGTTATCACTAGGATTAATAGCTCTACTCCATTTTGTGTAGGGAACACACATGGAGAGTGGCTACTCTATTTTTATGACTGGGGTTCCTTTTGTGGCTGTTATGCCAAAAAGGGGTAATGTGCATCACAACAGAAAGTAATAAAGAACTAAAAACAGCACCGTCTTTGACTGCATTTTTTAGTGAGAAATTTTCAAAAGGCATTACTCCATTTCACAGCTACTCTGCATACCTGATAAATATGTCGAATTATATAAATATCTAGTAATTAAAGGGCAAAGTAATTCACAAACAAAATTTGGTGTGTTCAACTTTGTCAAATGCCTTAGTAGCATCAAGAAACAAAAGAACATATTTTCAACAAGCTTTGTTTTGTATTATAGCTTTTATCAAATGCTTGCTGCTCCTTGTATGTTAATGCCACAATTTTTTAATACAGCATTTATGTGAAAATTAATACACATACAGTACTCTGATACTGCCTCCTCCTTATGATTACAGTATTTAAAAATATGCAATAAAAATGATAAAACTCCCAATTCCTTATTTAGAGTACAGTATATATACATTAAAAATGGAAATACTGAACAAATATTTATAAAAATATGCTTGAAATACGAGAGGGCACTCCAAGTGACCAGCACAACTATTTTGAATTTCGGTATACAAACAAGCAAGTAATGTGTGCATTACATGTGTTTTTAAAAACACAGAACATGGACATAATAGAATATGGAATAAATGTATTAATTAACATCAACTGCTATACCTAGTCACATTGAGAAAATGAGGTAAGCAACCTCACAAGTGAGGTGGACACCTCACGAGTGCACCCAAACACACACCACAGTTGGTTTAGCCCAGCTCCCCTTTGAAGAAGGTGGAGGCAGTTACGCTCCCCTCATGAAAAGCACGAGACATCTACTTTACACAGACATAATATTCTCCCACACAACTTGGCAACTTGTAAACATTGAAAATAATAAATAATTAAAATAATTCATTGTGTCAGAGGCTATGCAGCCAATTTATACATAGAGTACAGTATATATTAGCCTTGTATCAAGGTTCCCCCTAGGGTACAGTAGGGTCAAAGAGGGGGAGGGGAGTAATTTGACCCCCCCCCCTCCCCTGGGGAGGGTCAAATTACTGACCCTCCCCAGAATGCAACCCTGCAACAAGCTAACTAACTCCTGGGTACCTATTATTGTTAGGTGGACAGGGGCATTAGTAATGAAAACTAACATTACATTATGTATTAACATGTAATAAGGTATAAAATTAACATTGACAAAAACAACTAACAAATAATAAAATAAACATTTAGATTCATAAAAAAAAGCTAAACATTATAATCATTCCAAAGTTACCTCTTCCAATGTAATCTTATACAGTAACTTCTTTTTGTATTATAATTTTTTTTTTTGTAAGACAAGGAATGTTTTACAAACCGGTGGACATTTCATCATGGCTGTGAACACTTCAGGTGGTGGTATGGTGGAAGACCAGTGAGGATGAGGTGTATCCTTGGAGTCCATTAGCCAAGGACCGTGACCGTGCAAACATTCTTGTGTATGCCCTGTATGGAACTACTCTTGATTTGGTGTGTTACTGCCGCACAGAAATGGCACCTCTCAGTGTATCTTTCAGCAGAGTACAGCCAAATGTCCTGCTGACTGTGGAACAAGGCTTTGGAAAGAAGGGAGGTGTGACGGTGCTCAGCTGTGTGTATGAGGTAAGGGGAAGTTTGCTTTCTTATTTACTGTATGCTAGAAAATCTGTGTTTTTATAAATTTTAAATTTGAATAATATGCTTCATATTTTATTTGCTTCTCACCATTTCCTTCAGCATATCACATATATATATAATATATATGCAGTCACAGGATATGACTGGTGTTCAGTATATACTTATTTTACTTATCAGGTAGAGAGAGGTGCATTACATCGTGTAACAGTTACAACAATCCCCTTGGAGGCTCCTTTAATGGCACACTCTCACAACCCAGCTGAGGATCGTTTACTACTGGCGTGTAACAATGGAGTCTTGGCACTACACTGTGATTCTCGTGGTATGACACATGTAACAAAAGCAGGGCTGATCCCCTCTAATATTGCTTGGTTGGACTCTGGAAACATAGTAATTGTGAGTAATGAGCGAGGACAGATTCAGTGTTTTGATCTTGCATTGTCTCTCATTAGAATGCAGTTGGTTATGGAAGATCCAAATCCTCAGAGAATTTTGGACTTTTCTGAGCACTTTTGTCATCAACAATCCCTGTTAAAGCTTTCCTGGGCCCCAACTAGAAAACTTGAAGATTCTCAGATAAAGAATAATCCTCACTTACTTTTGCTCCATTATATCCGAGGTCCTATAGCTTGTCTGCGTGTTGATGTCAGTGTTATGAGCAGAGATGAACTGACAGCTTTGGGTCTAGTGGCCCAGTACATCAAACATCGTCAACTGGATGAAGCTGTGAACTTGCTGGTGTCTCTCAATTGGGATCAAGAAGGGCCAATGGCCATGCAGTGTTTAACAGCCATTGCCAACCATCTTTTACGGTTACCAGTCACTCCCCAAAGGGAAACTCAATTAGAAGGTGCACTAGGAAGCTTTCATGTTCCAGTACAACCTCTCAGTCAGGCTGTAGAGGAGGAATTTGGACCAGCTGTAAGGGCACTTACTCGTAGATTCTTCTTTCGTGTGCTTAGGTGAGATCCACATTTTCTTTTATAATATTAATTTGGCCTAGATATTCCTTAATAGGATACTTCAGGGTTTTGTAATTTTTAATTTCTTCCTCAAGGTATTTGTTCAACATCTGAAGAATGCCTCGTCATATAGCCTTGAACCCTAAAATACTTTTGTTTGGAGAAATAAACATTAAACGTTTTATTATTTCTGACATTTAGTAAATGTCCTTCCCCCCCCTTTAGCTTTTTATAGACTGTATTATTTTTATACTTTGCATGCTTTTTCAGTCCCCGTGGCGCAGTGGTAAAACACCCACCCGGCACTTCGCAAGTGCTTTGACCTGGGTTCATATCCTGGCTGGGGAGGATTGATTGCCAGTCCTTAACTGTAACCTCTGTTCGCCCAGCAGTGAATGGGTACCTGGTTCTTAAAACAATTTGGAGGGTCATATTCCAGGAATATTAGGATTAAGGACTTGCCCAAAACGCTATGCGTACTAGTGGCTGTACAAGAATGCAAGAACTCTTGTATATATAAAAAGAAATCCTCTAAAATTCATACGCTTCATTTATTGACAGGGCCTTGTGTACAATTTATCTGAAGAGCCACCAGCTTTCTAGTGGCCTTGAGGACACAAAGCCAGCAGCTTTTCAAGTCTCCTCCCTCCTTATTTGTCCTGATGATTTTATTTAGTTGGATTTTAAATTTCAGCAGTGTTTTGGTATGAGTAGGTATGACTTTGGTGAGTAGGCATTTCCATGGGTTTATCTATACCTATAAGAGTGTCTGTCTGTCCAGAGTTGGAGGTCAGATGCTTGGGACTAGCCTAAACCAAATTTGTAGGGTAAATGGCCTGGGGTACGGGACAGACATAAGCTGGTTGGGGTAGGCCTGAGCTAAATAATTTATGAAACATTAGTATTTCTCGCCTTCCCCCCCCCCCCCCCTCACCCATCCAATTCTCATGGATTCAAAAACAGTTAGATCCTGCAACAGGTGAATGAGTGTGAAAGGAGTTTGGTTGAGAGCACTGCAAAAAGATACAGCTGTAAATTATAATGAATGGGCCATTTTAGGTAGTGAAAGTAAGTTATAACAAAGATTCTATAACAGTAAACTTGTCAGGATGCAAATAAGGCCTAGTTTCTATTTACTGTATGAAGATTATGTTTGTTACAAAATAATCCAGCTGGATTGGGCCATGGAAGATGTATGGAAAGCTAATTTATATTTAATATAAACTCTCCCTTGAGTAAATTGTTCAGAAAGCTATGGGAGAAAGGAAAGTTTTTCTGCATTAACAGACAGATCAAATTAAATTTTGTTATGTAGGGTGTGTTTGGATAGTCAGATTACTTATGGACTTTATATAGATGTAAGAATGCATGTTCTATACATATATTTAGATAAATGGTATTGTCAGTTTCAAACACAAGTGCAAGTAGACAAGTGCTGTCTGGTGTCTAGTAATACCGTACAGCAAAAATGTTCTGTATATTTGTGAGTCACAGCACATGAAACAGGAGCAATAATAATGGGTAACTGTAGATGTAAATAACCTCTAGTGTCACAGAACTAATACCACTGTAGTCATTGTTTGTGGCTGGTACTTCAGGATTTGCCAAGACAAACATGACCTTGAATGTAGACAGAGATAAAGAAGCAGAATACAATGTTGTATAGCAAAGGTAGTCAGTCATAGAAGAACTCAATATACAAGAAACTGTAATGGGGTCTCCTATAGATAAGAGACCATAGTAGACAAATGTTTTTTTTAGTAAAGTAGGTGAAAGTTTTGGAGTATTTCATTACATATATATACATCTGTACAAAATGTGGACATCAGTCGGTAATAAAGTTGTTACGCCTTTTATTGTTATGGAAGATGAAGGAAAGTCTCAATATAGGTGTAAGTGTATTAAAAACTAAATATTTGGATATAACCTACATCGTTTCTCATTTCTCAAGGTACTGTAGACAATGTTCATTATATACAGCACTTTGAGAAAGGATGTAGGTTACATCTGAAATTTGGGTTTTAATATACTGTACAGTACTTACACATAAATTGGGTCTTTCCTTTGCCTTCATTCAAGCACTACTGCTTTGTAGTAAGTTTCTCTATTGTTATTAGTGTTATTATTTTTATTTATTATTATTATTATTTTTATTATCATAAGCTAATTTGATAATCATAGTGAATTGCTTACCACTAATATAGATCTTACTTTATTCAATACAGTAGTTAAAAGGTCTGTTCTGTCCCATTTATTTGAGTGGAGTGTAGAAACTGTGTTATATGCATTATTTCTGAACTATCTTGCTTGGTTGCTCCCTAAGGCATTTCCACTGTCTTGGAAGGAACTGATTCATTCTATCAGGTATGGCAGTATTCTGGCACCAGTGCCACAGCCCTGACAGGGTCATAAGAGTACTAAGGAGCACTGGAGGATACCATCAAGCTGAAGTGATCTATAGAAAGCCTATGTCATATACAGTACTATAAACTAAAATGCCAAATTTAGTTAAATATTAAATTTATGAAAAATTTGAGATGGCTCAGCAGTGGTTGCTAGTTTGAATGCTTTTGGCAGTCTCTGTGATGCCTAGGAGAGCATGGAGGGCGTTTGAGTGTATATGGTCATTTTAACTGAATAGTATTCACCAGTATTGCTAAATACCGATATTGACCCCTGCAGAGCCAGAATGTTGCCCTGCCTGATGCATGATGCAATTACTATTGAGACAGTGGAAACTTACCTAAGGTAGTCACAGTGTGACTTTATAAAAATAGTAACTTTCTTTCACTTTAAAACTTTCCATAAACACTCCGAGCTTATTTTTCTTACTTTTATTTACAGATGTGGTAGGCTAGAAAAGGCATTTCGTTTAGCTCTTGATTTGAAAGACTATGACTGTTTTATGGCAGTCCACTCTGTTGCTAAACGCAGGGGTGACAATCAAATAGCCACAACAGCACTGGAAAATGCACGGGACCTAGAATCATCATGTAGTTCTAGTGCTTCATGCAGCTCGGTGCTCTATGGAGAGTCAGGTGCTAGCTCGGGATCCGAGTCTTGCAGCGAGTCTTGCTCCACTTGTTTCTCTGACAGCGGATCAGCCAGTGGCTCAGAGTGTGGTGATCACAGAAGACGAGGTAAGATAAATATCCCATTCTCATTTCATGCTGCTACTTTCAATTTGGTAAATAATAATAATAATAATTTTGAAACAATAACAACCATGGATTGAGGACAACCTTGTAGAGCTTTAGAACTCATAAACTGTTTATAAATACTGTACAGACTGATCCACCATGATCATTGTAAGAGATACAGATTTTGTAAGTGGACTCCGTAGGTGCTTGGTGTATCCTGAACCTGGTAACATGAGTTTGCCTAGTGTGTACTAGGGCCCCACGAGTGTGTTCTGGCTCCACAGATGTGTACCCTGACAATGTCAGTGTATTCCCTGGTCCTAAGAGGTCCTTCCTTGTTTTTATTCCAGAAGCACCAGGTTGCCCTGAAAACATTTTTCCTGATCTATGGGGGTTAAGCCTTGCTTCCCTGGTGTTTTTGGGTGTGCTTGGGAAGCCTGAAGACCACATGTTTATCCTACTATAATACAATAACCAATGCTTCCATCTGGTCATAGTTGGTGTAGTAGTTAATTATTTATTGGTATTTAACAGTGATGGTTCTCTTTCTTGGCAATTCCATTCACTTGCAGGAAGTTAAATGGATACAGTATTTGAGGAATTGTTTTGTGACTCGTTTTAGTGAGTCGCAAAACATTTTAGTTTTCGTTTCACGAAAACGTTTAGTTTTCACTTCAGTGATGGCTTGAGTTACACTGTCTCCCTCCCTTTCCCTATCTATGTTGCAATACCCATTTACAATGTTCTGTGTCACAGTGGGGTGACGAAGTCATTAAGAAACTGGTGAGTAAATTGGGTTCTGCCTCAGGGTGCAACAGAGGGACCTGCTTGGAAAAGAGTGTTTCATTTCAACCAACATCTTATTATTTATCATTCCAGAAATGTACATCTTTTAGTAGTAGTGATGCCTCCCAAGCTTCATATCTATAAAAAATTGAGACCAGTTCAATTTAAATGTTAATATGCAGACACAACAATAATAGATTGCAAGAATACCTTGTGGCCAAAGCTGATGAAGGTGTACAAAGCTAAGGATATAGAACTTACTTAACACTACAATCTTTATCATTAGGACCATTAAAGATGTAGAATATTTTATAATACTGAAATGAATTCATCTCAATTTCTAAAAATCTTTTTCTTGCCTTACAATAATTTTATGGTTAATTATATGCTTATCATTCGGTAATAATTTTACCATTTTGTAGGTTCATTGCTGTTCTATTTGGATACATGTTATTAAGCACTGTGTTTGGACACAAGATAATATAAAATTAAACCAAACATAATGTAAGCTGTATATTTGAATCATGACGAGTGCAAAAAACATCTTGATGCGAAGAAAAACAGTGCCTGATTTTTAGTGATACCTCATACAGTTCAGCCATCAGGTTATATTTACCACCAGAAATAGAAACTGCTTAACCTAATTAACAGCCCAATCTAACATTATGTTGCCTTGCTTCAGCCTGTCTTTATCTAGCCTAATCTAACCAACAGGATCTGACCTAAACTAGACCAGCCTCTCCCACTCTGCTAGAGTGCAATACCTTGAGAAAACAACACAAGTTTTCAATAAACATGCTATTTGGTACCAAGATCAATGATTGATACTGGTTTACTCAATGTTAATCTTAAAGCTAATATATTCAGTTACTGACACATTGCATTTTGAAAAATTTAACATTTTATATTAAAATAATCTAACACTCGCCTTTCTAACAATCGCCTTGAGTTGAATGTTAGCGACTGAAATAATAATGTTGAGCTCCTATCAAGGATGTTATAACGCCTACTCAGCATTCCGACTACAATCTTACTGATCAAATACCAAATGGATTCTCCATCTTGCTTAAAATTAGAAATTTTTTAATGCAAAGCTTGTTACCCACCAGTTTTAATGTTAATATGCTTGATTTCATAAAATTTGTTGTAGGTATTGTAATCTTCATATTGATAATGATCGGTTGAACTAAATATAACTTATTTTATTCACTTCTTTCAGGAGAGGACTGTGGTAATGGTAGACTGGAGGTTATTGCCGAGTCCAAAACTCCACAAGAGCTTCATCAGCCTTCACAGTTGGTAGGGAAGGATATTATCAAGTTGTATTTTTGGTTTACAGAATGCAGTTTGTGTGTACTTGGTAGGAATTCTTTATGGCTTTGTCTTATTTGTATTCTCTCTTCTGAGAGGATGCTGTTTAATATCTTGGGAATGCCTTATCATATATTTCCTTGAATCCATTGTTGCTGCTTGTCCTTTAAGAGCTGGAGCATTTTGTAGACCATATGATATTACTGTACTAGTTTTCCTGTAGCTGGTTAAACCCTGGATTCCCGTCCTGGCCCTAGTGTCCAAGTGCTCTGTCTTTTTCTTTCATGCTTTCATCATGCAGGAATTAGCCATGGGTTTTAAAAAAACATTTACATGCCCTTTGCTGATCTTCATGTGAGGAGCTGTAGAGGGGATCTACCACAAGCTTTACTGTGAGGTGGTGATACTGCTCTTTATTCACTGCCTTTGTGCTCATAACATCTGTAATATGAGGTGGCTTGACAAGCATTCCAACATGCCTACAGATATATTTTGTATATTGTATATTATTATTAATAAGCTTAGGTGCCCGACACTGTGCTGCTATCCTGGTCTGTGTGAAGGATTACAGAGTGTAAGTCAAGGGCAAGCCAGGTTCATCTTATATCCCCATCTTGCTGAATGGTTTGTTATACATCTGATAGGTGCTCAAGATTGTTGACTTCCATTGACATCATTTGCCATTTTTGTCTTAAGTTTTAAAATTACTGTGTTTTTGAGTAAAATTTTGTTTATTAATATTCTGCATACATTACCAATATTATGGTAAGAAAATGTTTAATTTCTTAATTAATATAAGTAATTCTACATTCTGCCCCAACCCAACCTGTTCTCATCTTACCTGACTGGCCCTACCAGTAAGGCCTGAATACAGGCAGAAGCTAGAACTAATCACTTTTGTGGCTTGTACCAACACTAGGAACTTAGTGTTTCATTTTTACAGTGGTCTTGTGTTACAATAGTGAACATGTCACATCAGCGTGTAGACAAGCCCTTTGTGCACATGTGTTGACTTTTACTGAAAGGCTGGCCAGATTTTTTTCTGCACTTGGTTCATTTGTGCTCTTAGCAGTGGTGATTCTCCACTTCAGTTTCCTGCTACATTGGTTTCTTGGAACTTTGTTGCAGGACATGGACATTTGTGCTGTACTGTGCTGTTACTTTTTCATGAATTATGTGTTTGTGGTGTGCATAGAGTACATATGGTTGCTTGTGTCACTATAGGCAAGACCTTTTGTTTACTCTCAGAGCATACTTTGGCAGAGCTTTTGTAGCTGCTTTGTTTTCCTTTATTTATTTCTGACCGCAGGATTCCCCCACTTATCAACTTTTTTGTGTGGAATAAAGATTTAGGAAATGTAATGATAATGGACAATAAAATTGAGTATAATTTAGGAAAATGTTGGGGAGGGGGGGGGAGAGATTTACAAGGGCTTATAGAAATTGGAGAGTAACCATTAACCTGGAACGGGGAAGTAAAGTAGTATAGTACATGGGAGAAATTCAGTTAAGGCATAAGAGCAGAGTGGAACAGACTAGAAAAGCTAGTTAAAACAATATATTTTTTTCCTGAGGAAATGAAGCTTAATTATTTTATCAGACAGAATGGTACTGTTTGAAGGTATATATTTGAATCTGAGCAATTATTAAGATGAAAACATTGTAAAACGTTTTACAAGATTACATAACTTTCAGCACTATGTGAAACCAAACACTTGAATGCGATTTATTTTTATTCGATTTGTAGTATCCTAGACATAATGCCTCTAAATATTTTCATTCTTTCATTATTCAATGTATTGAATACATTGAATAATGTATTCAATACAAAATTAATATTGTATATTTATCTTACATTTTGATAAACAGTACCTGTATTTACTTGTAAAGAATTTTATAAGATAATATATATTCAAGAATACTGTATAATGTATATTATACAGTATTTTAATTCAAAACTTTTGATTAGGATTATAAATAATAATCAGACTCAGAACTATATTATACTTGTTTTCTTTATATTATTCAAATATGGTAGAAATTTTAATATGATTCCTTCTTCAGGTCTCGGGAGTTAAATGTTTGTCATTTAGTGACACCCGAGCCCACAGTGGTGCTATAGCAACAGCCACATCGGTGGACTATTCTACTTCATCACAGACCCATGCCACAGCTATCACATCTCAAGATGGCACTGTCACAATCAACATTCGACAGCCAGATCGCACTCCCAAAAGAGCAGCTGGTCATTCAGTTGGCCCATTTGCAGCAAGATCTAGTACCCCGGCAGCCATGACTCCTCGAGGAAGCAACACAAGGCCGCTGAAGACAGTGAGGGAGGTGTTCTATTCATCAGACCCAAATGAAGAGTTTGTTGATTCTGAGACGGTTTCAGTGTATGTCGATAAGGATGAATTACAAAATCAATATGACCGTGCTGTATATCATGGTAAGTACATTTTAGTTTTATTAGTTTTATTATTTAAAAACTGACATTGAATTCTTAGACACTACCATAAATCTGGCTCATGTTGAAGACTGTGTTGTCATAAAAGCATTGTTCACTATTTTAGTGATATTTGACCATTTAGTGACTAAGAATTTTCTGACCAGTTCATTATTGTTGTAGTTGGTAGTTCTGTCATTGTTGCATATATGACTTGTAGTTGAAGTAAAATTTCTTTAAACTTACTGATCTAATATGACTGTAGTAACCTTAGGTATGCTTTAGCAAAAGGGGAATTTGTATACAACCTGTCACATCTATTTAGTTTCAATATTCTAAATGGGAGATTCACACTGTTTACGGAACTTCATTACTATTTAGACTTTTCTGAGCAGACTCTCCTTGCTTCTCAGAGTAGTCAGAACCCAGAGTCTACCTAGGACACTGACAAATGTCCCAGGCTTTGTCAACATTTACCCTCACCATGACTAGTAGCTTTGCAAGTATGTTGACCAGACTGTAGTAACTTTGCAAGTAATTTTGTCTTGTAATTTGGAGAAGGGAGTTGGGGGGGGGGGAATTCTTATCCCACCTCTGAGCAACTGCTTGCTATATGGCAAAAGATCTAATGAAGAAAACTTAATTACCTTTCATGTGATCCTTCATTAGCTCTTTTGTCATAGTGTTGTAAGCATTCACTCCATTGTGGATCGAGGACTATGCAATGTCTCCCTTCCCCAAATTACACAAGACCAGAGCTTGGCATATCTGTCAATGTTCTGAGTGGACTGTGTTCTCTGGCTCAGGGTGCACCCAAGGTGCCTCTCAGAAAAGAGCTTTCCACGCTATTCAAAGAACTAGTATTTTTTATTTTGTAAGAGTTTGAGCACAATTATTTTGTTGTATGGTGGAGGCTTAATTGAAGCTTGTGATATATATACTTAACATTATTGATAAGTCACTTTTATTTCTAGTGACAGTTGAGGGTTTCCTCATCATTTTTTAATATAGAACAATGCTCTCTAAAATACTGTTTCAAAACTTATAGCAATATTTGCTAAGCATCTTAAACAAATGTATTTACTTGTTCATTATCCAACACTGATAGTTTTTAATAGTACAATACTGTATGTAATACAAAATATTTTAATGCCAGAGCAAAGGTTTATACTGGCAAGGAAATGGAAACAGCAATTATTGTGCGAGTGACACAATTACATAAGCATTGAAAATAGATGTATAATAATGGACATTTTGCATTTTTCCCAAAATTACAAAAATGGTTTAATTCATATTGTGTGTCTATTTTTCATAACACTGTACAGTAACCAAAAAAATTATCATGTGTATATCCTAAGCAGATTATTCAATATTGCAAAAGACTGCTATAGATGTATAATAATGTTGTACTGTATATCTCCATCTCCATCTATTTTATGTATGCTTTCCCTTATTTTAGGTAGGTTACTTGGTTACTGGCCATATCTGAAGCTTTAATTGTCAAGACACATTAGCAATGATATGAATTGCACATTTCTGTACAAATCCTGTACATTTCTTCTGTTATTTGTTAGTTTATGTAGTCACTAACATAATGCCATCACTTGCCACGCTGAAGCAGTGAAGATACACTTGCCCGGAGAATGTAGAAGGAAAGGTTATTTCTTAAGGTTAAAAGTTACATAAAAAATATTCATTCCATTCATCATATCATCAACACTAAACATCTTCACAGACAAGTTTTATTACACATTAGCAAATAATCCATGCCATTACATATGATAGTCTTGGGGCCAGATTTACGAAGCAGTTACGTAAGCACTTACGAATCTGTCCACCTTTCCTCAATCTTTGGCGGCCTTGTTTACTATTATTAAACAGTTAATGAGCTCCGAAGCACCAGGAGACTGTTTATAACAATAACACCAGTTGATTGTGAAGTTTTCATGCTTGTAAGCTGTTTAATAAATGTAACCAAAGCTGTCAAAGATTGAGGAAAAATGTACACGTTCGTGAGTACTTGCGTAACTGCTTTGTGAATCTGGGTCCTGGTTTGTTGGGAGATATGGGTGCACAAAGTACATTAACTAGAGGTGGGGCTCTAGAGCTGAATCTCATGCCCCATAAACACAACTAGGTAAGCTCCTCATAAGTTCATATAAATATTATGTCACATTCACTGTTTAAGTAACAGATTCCTAGCCTTGTCCCCCAACAATTTTCTTAGTTTACATTGTCTCCATTTCCTCACACACACACATTGCCTGAACATCATCCTTCCTTGCCTTCATGTCCTTTAACCCCCAGAATAGTTCTGGGGGTTAGAGTGACTAGGAATTCACTCGCATACATCTACTTATCCAACCTATGCTTGAAGTTTGCTTGTATATCACTTGTTAATCCCCTTTGTTGATTATTTCTTTATTATATTTACATTTCTCCAATTTGAATCTATTGCTTCATAGTCTGCTTGGCATTTATTAAACCCTATTTGTTCCCAGTTACACATTTGTACATTTCAACAATGCTTACTCTACACCTTTTTAAAGAATGTAAATAGAGTTTTCCAAGTCTCTCTCTCCATAGAGAAGATTATGAATGACTGGATATTTCACTACGTATTGTTTATCTTATGTCTGGTACATCTGTTTTCTTTCCCTAATCTTAGAACCCTGTATATATTGAGCTGCATCTGATAATTTTCTATTCACGTTGGAAGTTCATTAAGGTACTCCTGTAGACGTTTTTGTCCCCAATTGATTTAATTAGTGCTATTGACAAATTGATTGAGTAATCTAAAGCATTTGTTTATGGTGAACAATAGAGATCCTAGAACAAAGCCTTAGAACACTTGCAACTGTTGCCAACACTGCCTTCTTCATTTATTCTGACTCTTTCATATGCTCCAGTACTGTATGCTGCTTCTTTCCTGATCTGTTTTTCATGCAGAACAGTTTAAAAAAGACCTAATAAAATCTAGGTATAGGGTATATTTTATCTTAATGTTTACCATTGTGGGCTGCTTCAGATATATTTAAAAGGAACAAAAGTAAATTTATTGAACATTTTTCTTTTGTAAAGCCATGTAGCAATGCTTTTTATTAATACGTATTTTTTCCAAGCGATTATGATTGGATGTTGCAATTATTGCTTCATATAATTTTTCCTGAGTTTATATTCCACTAATTAGATACTAGTTAGATGCCAGTGATTTCTCTTCAAAAACTGGGATTGCACTTGCAACCTTCTACTATTTTCGAACAGTAACATTCTCTTAATGATTCGTTGAATATGCTTGACAAGGGTTGACTACGCTCTTCCTTATATTTAGTAAGATCCTGGAAAATACGTTATTGGTGAATGAGGACTTGTTTGCCTTTAGTTTTGTATTTGCTTACTAACTTCTCCAGTAATTACTTGTTTAAATGTATTATTTACTCTTATAAATTTCAGCTCTAAATAAGCATCTGATTCCAACACTGCCATAGGCTCACATTTCATTATTCAGTTCTATAAATTTATTCAACTTCAGGTAAATTGTTAAATTCTACTTTAGTAAAGATCAAGATAAAACCTTTGAAATTTCATACCTCCAATAGGTCTTCTGTGAAGGGACACATTATAGTTTTCATTAAATTAATTTATTCATTTTCCAAATGTGTTGATGTACGTGCATTATCTTGATAGCGTCTTCGTAAATTGGTTGAAATTTTCAAAACTCGTGTGTGGCGGTGCATTGGAAGATTTAAGTTTTGTTAGGCAATCTAGCTGCAGAGAGGGTAGGGCAATATCCCATCATCTCAATATGGTGCAGTATTCCTTGAGCAATATCTCAAAAACTAAGCATTGCTGCTCAACTTCATATACACCTTGATGACAGGAGATACTCAAGTAGTCTTGGTTGTGAACAATATCAAGTCATTTTGTGGTACTGTACTGCACAGTATACTCAGTTATTTTTATCATAGCAAGAATGATTAAAGATGCTCAATTTATGCATCTTAACCTTTGTAGGCCAAAGAAAATTTCCTAGCAAACAAATGTTTAGTGAAGTTGAACATGGTGTGTCTCGCAAGACTGAACCAGTCCAACTAAATACACCCACATTTAAAATAAAATAAATAAAATAAAATGTTTATTTCGGTAAGGTACATACATACAATAAATTTTTACAAAGATTGGTTGACTTATAGGTAGAGCTAGTACATACAATGCCTAAAGCCACTATTACGCAAAGCGTTTCGGGCATTTAATTCTCAAAGTGCGGCTATCATCAAAATTACCATCTGTTAGCAAATATATAAAAAAAATAATTATTTTATTTGTATTATGAAAGGTAGATCTGTATTCAAAAGTATGGAAAAAATATATTTCGTAATTTATCTACCCTTATTTTGGACATTGATCAATGTTCCTCCTGGTATTTGTCAGCATCATGTTGTGATGGGAACCAGGTCCAAAAAATAAAGAGAAAAAATCATATGGTTTCCCATAGTTAGGGACAGAAAATCTGAGGATTCTTGAAGCCTCCCCCCTAGGCCTAGAATCTCAAGATAAGATAGGCCACTTACTGACCTTCTGTAGGATTCAGCCTATAACAATTGCGTAATACCTTGGTACCTGTTTGCTAAATGAATAAAGGTATCAGGTGAAAAGAAAATTTGCCCAAATTCTTGTCATATGATAGGAATTTAACCCAGCACACCTTTCAGCTATAATAAAACTGTGCTACTAAACAAAAACTGAACTACTAAAAATTATAGCGGTCCCCATGGTGCAGTGGTAAAACACTCGCCCAGTGCTTCGTAAGCGATTTGGCCTGGGTTCGTACCCAAATAGGTATGAAACTCAAACTGGAAAGGGGGTTATATTACATACCCAATCAGAAGATAGATCCCTTCTAGGCTAAATACTGACTTCCAAAAACCGAAAAACTGGGCATCCCCTTCAGAAATTCACTGAGAAAGAGAAGCTGACCTTGGAATCTCACCAAGGAGCTGCCTCCCACAATGGAGGCAGGATAGAAGGTGGAGGGTCAAGGAAACAGACCTCTGACTCCCATGGCATGGAAAAAGACTTCCCCCCCGTGGAAAAAAATGAAGGGGGCGAGTTTCTGGGCAGAATCTCATGGACAGTGGTTCCTAAGATTTCCACATAGGCACCTGTGCTTGAAATTTGGGGAGCCGGTCGGCCGAGCGGACAGCATGCTGGACTTCTGATCCTGTGGTCCTGGGTTCGATCCCAGGCACCGGCGAGAAACAATGGGCAGAGTTTCTTTTACCCTATGCCCCTGTTACCTAGCAGTAAAATAGGTACCTGGGTGTTAGTCAGCTGTCACGGGCTGCTTCCTGGGGGGTGGATGCCTGGTCGAGGACCGGGCCGCAGGGACACTAAAGCCCCGAAATCATCTCAAGATGTAGTGACCCAGACAAATTAATACTAGGACCACTGGCCAAGCTAGAAGGATCAAACATACCCTACCTCGTCAACCAGCCGCCTGGCAAGAGAAGACTTCTAACAAGTGAAAAGGACCAGATTTGTAGGTGAATGTCATAAATTTTTGTGGATACCATTGTAGGCTTCAAGATGTCATCACAAAATTTATATGGAAGATGGGACCTCATGAGCATAGCTATAATCCTGTAACTACACTTGGGTAATGACGGCACAAAATGAACTTCTACTTCCCTACTGCTCTAAACACATTGATAAAATAGAAAAGATACATGCCACTAAATGCCACCCAGACCTAAAAATTTTAATAAGAGCTATAATGCATATTTTACAGGAAAATATGACAAAATTTGAAACAGAAGAAAATAGAGATGTGATTACAGTATAGTATTGTGTTAAAGATTATAAGGGGTCTTGATGAAGCAGTAGTCATTATTTAACCCATTAAGTATGAAAACAGGTGCCAAAAATGCATCCAGATATTCTTTTCATACAGTGTCATGCATGTAATAAATCAAATGGAAGAATGCTGTGATGCCAGCATATTTGATAGCATCAAAACTGTATATGATAAGACACTATAAGGACAACAAAATACTACAGGCTTGGCTCTCATCCCATAATTATACAGTATTTCGGTAATTACAAACACACAGTACAGTAGACCCAGTATATCAAGTTTGAATCCACACTTTTAGTGAATACTATGCATAACATCTGTGGTTTGTGCCATATATAAGAAATGATGTGGAACTCCCATTAATGTGTATCCTTCATTCTTAATACAGTATATTAATTACTGGTGTTGGCCTTCTAAAACCTTCATTTCTTTTCTCATTTTGTTATTTATTGTCTTGTTTAATTATTTTAAATTCTTAATGCAGGTTTTGGAAGAAACTTCTTTGAACCAAGGTATAGTATGATTCACTTAAGCGAAGAATGTTGTAAAGCGCTGCTTAGTGTTTGCTACTGCAACCGTAGAAGTTATTACTTATCCTTAACTGGGTTTAGATGCCTTTCTTGCCCTTGCTCTTAATATGCTTTATCTTAATGCTTATCAAAGAAACAAGGGAGAAGCATTAGCTGTAGCTCTAACATCTGTATAGAAGCAACGTTGCTCAAAGAATTATTTAACAAAATGCATTGCTCATGATCGCAGAATTAATAATTTTAATTATTCATTTATTTTATTATAGGCTATTTTCCATCTATTTCATTTCACCATAATTGCAGTATGGCTAATTGTGGTGACAGTGGAAATATATGTGGCGACATAGTGGTGGCACTTCTGGCAACAGTTGGGTGGCACCTGTGGCGACACAGTTGGGTGGCACCTGTGGCGACACAGTTGGGTGGCACCTGTGGCGACACAGTTGGGTGGCACCTGTGGCGACACAGTTGGGTGGCACCTGTGGCGACACAGTTGGCAGGCACCTGTGGCGACATGACATGGTATTCTACATAACAAACTTGTACCACCCTTAGTGATGAGGGAAATAAGAAGAGCATTAGTCAGAGTTTGAGAGGCAGTGGCTGAAGACAGAGGGAAAGCATTATGTTAGGCTGACACATTAGTGGTCCCAAGTTGAAATCTTTCTATTAGTATAGCAATAGATGCTAATTCTGATTACATTAATCCAATTTCTGTATAATAACCGATTCCCATTAACATATGCAGGTACAATTTGTTCACAAACATCCCGGCAAATAGTGGAAATTTACTGTATGTCGATCAGTGTTTGATAATAATAATTGGTTGACATGCTAAAGCCTTATTCCTGCTCTTGCTCTATATGTAGGCAACTTTTGTCCCTGATGACAACCTAGTTCATATATTGATCCCTGTATTTAAGTCAGTTCAGTGAAGCTTAAGTAATTACAAACTTTTTGGGAATGTTCATTAATAAGATTTTGAGAAAATGGTAGATCATGTATGTACAGTACGTACTGTATTCTGTATTATAGATCGCCAATAAAAAATTTATCACATTACAGTACATATAAAAAAACTGGAATAAGTTGCATATGAATTTTGTATGTTTTAATTTATTTGATGACTTTGAATATATATTAGCATATATATTCAGTAATTAATGTTTAGAGGTATCTTGAAGGGTAAAACTGGGTGTCTCTTGTGAGTAAACAAGCAGGGCAAGTATGGTATTCTTAAAGATCAGAATGAAAATATAGATAAGAAAAGTATATTCCATGCAATTAAAGAACCACTACAGACAAATGTCTTTAGTGGGATTTTCTTGTGTTCCTTGTTCTTATAGATGCTTAGAAATTGCCAAACCTAAACAATTAAACAATAATTAGATGTTATAGAAAATAGAAGTCCAGATATTATTACTTACCTGCTTTTCTAATGCTGAAAATGCTTACATATTTGACATTCTGACTTTCATAGCTTTGACAGATTTTGGAATGGTATATTTGTCTTCCAGTGTCCAATACACCACATAATATAAGAGAACAAACTTTGATACCATTTAGTTTTAATAATTATTATTATTAAAACTTAATGGTGCCAAAGTTTGTTCTCATTTATGTGATACAAGTCAAGTGATATATATATACAATACTGATTTATAAGCTATGGAAAATTGACTGCTCATAATAGTGCCTTGATATGACTAACCTCCTACTCATGACATCACAATGTAGAATTATTATACTTTTTATTGTGGTTTTTGCGTGTGGGGGTTTAATTTTGTTTATTTCTGTAGGGTAAGGTGAAAAAAAATTATCTGATATTCAAATGAAAAAAAATTGAGAATGTTAAGTGCTTTAATGTTCAAAACATCAGAAACTTATTGTGAAATGTATGTATGTACTCGCCTAGTTTTTGCTTGCAGGGGTTGAGCTCTGGCTCTTTGGTCCTGCCTTTCAACTTTCAATCAACTGATGTACAGGTTCCCAAACCTATTGGGCTCTTATTACATCTACACTTGAAACTGTGTATGGAGTCCGTATCCACACCACTTCCTAATGCATTCCATTGTCAACTACTCTTGACACTAAAAAATTCTTTCTAATGCCTATGGCTCATTTGGGCACACAATTTCCACCTGTCCCCTAGTGCATGTGCCCCTTGTTTTAAATAGTCTGTCTTTATCTACTCTATCAATTCCTTTGAGAATCGTGTATGTGGTGATTATGTCCCCCCTAACTCTTCTGTCTTCCAGCTGCGTGAGGTTTAATTCCCGTAGTCTCTCCTTGTAGCTCATACCCCTCGGTTCGGGCACTAGTCTGGTGGCAAACCTTTGAATCTTTTCCAGTTTAGTCTTATGCGTGACTAGATATGAACTCCATGCTGGAGCTGCATACTCCAGGATTGGTCTGACATATGTGCTATACAAAGTTCTGAATGATTCCTTACACAATTTTCTAAAGGCCATTTTTATGTTGGCCAACCTGGCATATATCGCTGATGTTATCTTCTTGATACCCCCTCCCCGCTCAGCTCGTTGTCGCCGTGTGGGGGCTTAGTGGGCGGCTGCCGGAGTGTGATGCTCCTTGGGACAGTCCTCTGTCCTTTTCTAGCCTTGTGCTCCTGCTGCCGTCCTCTCCAATTCTGCTGGGCATCTTTTCCTTTTCCTTCTGTTTCGTTTTTCTCCCCCCTCTTCTCCTATCTGCTTGCCGTTTCCTACCGACCTTTTGCTCGTTCTGGTTCTTCCCTTGGACTTCTTCTATTTTGACGCCCGGGTGCTTGAGGAGGCATACTCATGCACCCGTAGAACTGCAGTACCCGACGTCGAGAGCGAGGGGAACCTTTTATTGTCAATCCCCACTTCGTCACTGAACCCGATCTCGACGGACTGTCGGTTTCTTAAGGTGGCGTTTGTGGGGCGTATACTCACGACGCACCCCTAGGAGGCCCCGACAAGATCGGCGATAGCTTCTTGTTGGGTGTCCTGCCTCTAATTGTGGCTCCATGGTGGGTGTGGGGGCACATTCGTGAGTGAATTCTTTCTTTCGTCAAGATGATTACCCCTGCTTCGGCTTCTTCTGGTTTACCTTCTCAGGCTCGTGGGGTGGGCGACCAAGCCCCCGAGTCGGTCCGTATTGGAAGACCGGGCTCTGTAGCCTCCGCTGCATTGGGCCCCGACCTTGCTCCTCCTTTGGCCTCTCTGACTCCTTCCTCTGGCTCCCCTCCCTCCTCTGTGGTTGGGTCGAGCCCCAAGCCCTCAGTGGTGACTACCTCGTCCCCTGGCGCGGCTCCTTCTCTAGTTATAACTACTGCGCCTTTTAACCCCTCTCTCTCTGGGGGTTCTCACCGCCGTCCTCGTCACGGCCGCCCTCGCTCGATTCCTTCCAGTTCTGCTACCTATCAAGCCTTGTTTGGTCCCGCTTCGTGGGCCAAATATTTTGATCTCCTCCCTCTTGATTCTGCGCCTCCTGACGATTTCTCCCTCCATCGACATCTCATTGATTCCGTGGATGCCTCCATTACTTTCAACCCCACTCGTCTCGGTACACGTGTCGTTGCTGCTCCTTCTCAGGATGCTGCTTCCCGCTTGGCTGCCTTATCCTGCCTTGGCGAGACCCCCGTTCGGGTCTCGAAGAACGTTCAGTTGAATGCCAGTGTTGGCACTATTTTGCTCCCGCCCCATGTTGCGACCGGTGTTCGGGACCTGCGCGACTGCCACGACGATATTCGACATATCCTCGCTGCCCAGGGCCACTCTATTCTCCAGGTGGACACGTTTACTCGTCCCCCTCGTGGTAGTCGCCGTCAACCCCTCCGGGTTGTGAAGATTACCTTTGATGGTAGGACCCTTCCACCCTCTGTCATTCTTGCTGGTGCCAGGTGCTCTGTCCAGGAGTACATTCCTTCTCCTCGGCTCTGCAACAAGTGCTGGAGGTTTGGGCATGGTGCCCTCCGCTGCTCCGGGACTGTCTCTCTCTGTCCTTTGTGTGGTGGCGAAGGTCACTCTAAGTCGGAGTGCGCTTCTCCCCAGGCTCGTTGCCTCAACTGCGGTGAGGCCCATCCTACCTTCTCCCGTGCGTGTGTCCATTACAAGCTTGAGGCAGCCGTCCTCAACTTGAAGCACCGGGAGCGTTTATCTTTTCCTGAGGCGAGGCGCCAGGTTCGCCGGCTCCCGCCTTATGCTAATATCTCTTATGCTCGCGTGTTGCGCTCTTCCTCTCCTCGTCCTTCCCGCCTTCCTCAGACTCACAACCGTTTCCGGGCCTTGGACCCTGATGCGCCCACTGCCCCCTCCTCTGTCCCTTTGGGTTCTCTCCCGAAGGATCCTCCTCCTGGTCCTCTGTCTGGGGTTCCCCTTCCTTCTACCCGGTCTGTCGTGTCTTCTGTGTCTTCTTCCTCGTCCCCCTCCGATCCTCCTTCCCATCCTCTTCCTCCATCTATCGGCTCTCCCCGCCGCCTGTCGGTGCGGGCGGATGTCCATCGCTCTCCTAACGGCCGTCGTGTGTGCTCTCGTTCGGCTTCTCCTGTTGAGACACTGGAATCCGTTGCCCGGTACGTAGTTGCTGGGACACCGGTCTCTTTAAGTCAGAAGCGTAAGCCTGGCTCCTCTCCTTCCTCTTCCCCGGCGGGTAAGAAGGCTTCGCTTTCTTCCTCAGCTCCTCCTTCTGGCTCTGTTGCTCCTTCCCCTCCCGTTTCAGTGCTTGCGCCCCCTGTTCCTGCTATGGAGGTTTCTTTGGCCCCTGCTTCCCTTTCGGTTGCTGCTCTTGCTGGGGTGCGCTCCTCTCTTTCTACTCCCCCTCTTCCTGCTGCTGTCCTTGACTGCTCCTCTCCGTTGTCTCCTCCTCCTCCTCCTCCGGACCCTGCCCGCCCACCTCTGATCTGTTCTCCCGTTTCCTTCCCTCCGTCTTTGCTCAGTTTACCCATGCCCCCTAACCCTGACTTTGCTGACCCTGATCCCGACCCTGATATTCTTTAACGT